TCCCTCCCCTCTCCCTCTCCCTCTCTCCCCTTCTTCTCCCTTCCCTCCCTTCCTTCTTCCCCCGTAATATTCAAAAATGGAAACTTAACCAAAAACTGGCCCTGATGTGGACCAAACACAGCCACGAGACAGGGCAAGTGAGAGCACACACCAACAGAAGAGTATTTTCTTTTTTTGGAATATTTTTGGTTTTTTAAGAATAAAAGGCAGGTATTTTTAGAAAATATTCAAAAATGGAAACTTAACCCAAAACTGGCCCTGATGAACAGCTAACACAGCCACGAGACAGAGCAAGTGAGAGCACACACCAACAGAAGAGTATTTTCTTTTTTTGGAATATTTTTGGTTTTTTTAAGAATAAAAGGCAGGTATTTTTAGAAAATATTCAAAAATGGAAACTCAACCCAAAAATGGCCCTGATGAACAGCTAACACAACCACGAGACAGAGCAAGTGAGAGCACACAGCAACAGAAGAGTATTTTCTTTTTTTGGAATATTTTTGGGTTTTTTTAAGAATAAAAGGCAGGTATTTTTAGAAAATATTCAGAAATGGAAACTGAACCAAAAAATGGCCCTGATGTGTGGACCAAACACAGGCAGGAGACAGAGCAAGTGAGAGCACACAGCAACAGAAGAGTATTTTCTTTTTTTGGAATATTTTTGGTTTTTTTTAACAATAAAAGGCAGGTATTTTTAGAAAATATTCAAAAATGGAAAATCAACCCAAAACTGGCCCTGATGAACAGCTAACACAGCCAAAAGACAGGGCAGTCGAGAGCAACACCAACAGAAGAGTCTTCTCTTTTTTTAGAATATTTTTTGTATTTTTTTAAAGAATAAAAGGCAGGTATTTTTTAAATATTCAAAAATGGAAAATCAACCCAAAAATGGCCCTGATGAACAGCTAACACAGCCACGAGACAGGGCAATCGAGAGCACACACCAACAGAAGATTCTTTTTTTTGAATATTTTTGTATTTTTTTAAGAATAAAAGGCAGGTATTTTTTAAAAATATTCAAAAATGGAAAATCAACCCAAAAATGAAGGCCCTGATGAACAGCTAACACTGCCAAAAGTCAGGGCAGTCGAGAGCAACACCAACAGAAGAATCTTCCAACAAAGAGTCTTTTTTCCAATGCAAGTCACAGTCAGACTCTAAGCCAACCCAAAGCAAGCCAAGCCAAAGCAAGCAGCAGCCCTCCCGTCCCGGACCTCTCTCCTCCTCCCTCGCCTCCGCGCAAATGAGCTCTGCGGCCACGCGGAGCCGCTTTTAAAGGCCTTCCCGGCCAATAGGAAACAGCCACGCTGCACTGCTTGGGTGCTTGGGAGCGCCGGATTGGCTCCCAGCCACCAGCAGCCTGCACCCCATTAACGAAACGGGCGGAAGCTCGTAAAAACTATGGGGTTGCCGCCTCGTTATTTTTAAACCCTTCCGGGTTTGAAAAGGTGTTTCAATATCGCTTCGGAAATGCCAAAAATAACGAATGATTTCCGAATAAAGAAATTAACGAACGAAACCGCACAGGCCTAGTGTTAAGTGTTCTCTATGCTATTTAGACACACACACATACATATATAATGGCTGGAGTTACACTTAAAATGTATCTGTCTGACTTACAAAAGCAACTTAAGAACAAATCTACAGATCCTATCTTGTTTGCAACTTGGGAACTGCCTGTATTACTACTTTCTTAGTAGTCCATAGAAAATAGTAAAACAACATAAAATAAATATTTTTTTCAATTAGTTAATTGTGGTTTTTGATTTTTTTTTAAAAAAATGTTAATAATTTTATTTTGTATTTTTTAAAGGTAGGATGGAGTTTGGTTGTTAGTTCTAAATGAAAAAGAATAACTTAATTTTTCTACCCCGCCTCCATCTCCCCGAAGGGACTGGGGTGGCTTACATGGGGCCAAACCCAGGGCAAAATACAATTAAAAACAGAACAATAACCAGTTAAAATAGCATAAAACAGCATAAACAATAATAAACAAACATCAAGGCAACAGCAGACTAATTTTTGGAGGAGGGGGAAGAGGGAACTATGTGAACTGGTTAAAGGATAGGGTGGTTCAAGGGAGGATAGAAACGTATAATAGCATAGGAAATAGAATGGAAACAGAGCAATTTAACAGGATCGATTTAGCTTAACTTGAAAATATATATAGTAATATAGGAATTCAGGTCAAGATTCAAGATGGTAGAGATGAGGGGCTGGAATATTATGGGGTTATGTTTGTATCGATTTTTTATTTGGTTCTTATTTTAGTGTCCATTATTGTTTGTTTTTAGTTTTAGTATGTTGTGAAAATATAATAAAATTTATTGAAATACCTTTGCTGAGATATTTTACTTTGTCTCTTACTTATAGGGTGGTTATGCTGGCCTTATTTTCTGCCATGAAGGATGGCCATTGTGTATCCATAAGAAAATCATAGTGCAGTTGGCATCTCTTCGTAAAGTTTGTTTAAAACCAGGAGATTTTTACTTCCAGATTGTGCCAGTGGGAAAGCAGTCTGCCAACTTGGTATTAAAATGTCTGTCGAGACATGGAGAAGGAATAGAAGAACTTTGTGTACCTGAAACCATGTATGGCTGTGTTTTCACAACAGAATTTTTGGAAAATTTAAATTGTCAATGGAATGGAAGTCCTTTGGAAAGCTGCTTGCTAACAACAGGCCGAGCTGTATATAGAACACCTTGGAAAAATATTGTGAATCCTACTTTTGTTACTACTGCTGAAAAAGCTATTCAAAATTGTTCAAATAATTCTCAGCTTGGGATGTTAAGCAGCAACCTTGAAGCTGAAGTAATGACACAGACCATGGAAAACAACAACTCACATGAGATTTATTCTTCTAGCAATGCCTGTTCTACTGCAATAGAGGTATCTTTTGCAGACTGCCATGGAACTCAAGGCAATGATGATTCTGGCCTTTGCTGTGGACCTGGAAACCAGACTGAAAAACAAAGTTTAGAACTCCCAACTGAAAATCGAAGAGAAGATGACATTAATTCAATAGCACATCCTGAAGAATGCGAGCATTTTGATTCAGTGGCAGAGCATGTGACTGAGCAACCAAGGAAAGGATTTGACTTGACATCAGATTTTTTAAAAGAAAATGCATCAAGCCCTCCACCATCAAGGAGCGTCACAAAAAGCATAGCTTTTGGTTCAGATTTGAGCAACTCGCATCAAAGAGGGCAAGATTCTTTGTATTTTGAGACAAAGCGCTTGTTTAGGAAATCATATATAGAAGCTTTGCAAAATCCAATGAACCTAGGTTCCAGCTCTGAGGAATCTATTGCAGAGGAAGAACCTTCTAAACATGTAAGGGACATAAAACAGATGGGTGATGACTCCAGGAACCTGCCATCCAGAATGGCTGGAAAAATGTGTGAGGACAATGTTCAGCATGAAAGCTCTTGCTCTACAAAATTATCAAAATGTATGGAGGCGAGAGAAGCAATTGGATTTTGTGAGCATTCACAGGATTCTGGACCACTCTCTGTATGTCATAAAAATCCTCCAAATGAAGGTTTTCGACCAGGTTCAAGAAGATCACAGTCTTTGGATAGAACATACAAGAATTCACAAAATAAGGATTATAAACTTGGTGAGTTCCCATATGGAGAATTCAGTGCAAATTCGCCCAAAATAATAAATGGGCATTCTGTAAGACTGGAGAGCTTAGATTCCAATATTCATAATATCATCTCTACGAGAAGCAAAAAGGATAAAGGTAAAAAAAAAAAATACTCCACTGCATGTTGCTTAATAAGATGTCTTATCCAGTTTTAAGATGTATGCCTTTTGTTCTTAATATTTTGCTTCTTTGTGTTTGAATTAAGTAAAGAGATGTATTTCCTTTTAACAGCAGCAACGTAAAAGGAATTAAAGAGCAGGGGAAGATGTACTTAGCAACCCATTGTCTACCAACAATTTGCTTGTTATAATGGGAGATTAACAAGTCACTGTGGACACAGTCCAATATGTCAGAAAATCAAAAACTGCACTGAGCTGTGTTTGACACTTAGAGCCACTTGACTCACAAGCAAAAGGTATACACAGTGATGGATAAAAATGTTGCACATAAATAATAATAATAATATTAATAATAATAAAAAAATTATTTATATTTCGCTCTATCTCCCCAAAGGGACTCAGAGTGGACATAACTTTAATCATATATACAAAGAGTATGAAACTTTGCTTTGCCATAGGTTTTCTGTTTAATTACAATCTTTGTAATTACAAATTATATCTTTGATTTAAAAAATTATGCTCCGTAAATTGATGATAAATCGTAGATTGTATTTTTCCATTTTTCTTGGTATATTTGTATTTATAACGTGCAATATGACTTTTTTCTGGAACAACTCTAGAAACATAAGGTTTCCTTTGCATCCCAGTTAATCTTTGACATTTATGTTCTCTGTGGTATTTTTTTCCTCCTTTTAAAAATCTGCATTTTCTAGCATTATGTTCTAACTGTTTTAACTCATTAGCATGATGATTTAATTTAAGCATATAACACTACTCATTATTAAGCGATACATTATGATTTACTGGTGAAAGTTTACACTGGAAAATCCTGTTGACAGAGGTGATAGTTTTAAGTATATTTGCTTTGAAATATTTGCACAGCATGAGCCTTTTTGTCCCTTCTGGGACAAATAAGCTTAAAATTAGTGACAATATTCTTCGAAATATAATACGCAGAACTAGTTATGGATGAAGAATATTTGTTGGATTAAGATTTGTTTGTTTTCTGCCCAGGATTTGCCCACATGGCTATTCTTAAAGAGCCTTGGCTATTCTTAAATTAGCATTACTCTCATTATACTATTTTGAGATTGGTTTTCCATTGTTCACTTTTTCTTCTTTCTGTATGATATTAAGTTCTTCAAATTTTATATGCAGGAAAAATAAACGACAAAAGTCAATTGCTGAAGAATAATTACCAATTTAGGATTTGAAGCCAGATAGTCTCTGTTTATCTTCGATTGAGGCTTCAATTATAACACCTCATCTTGATACAAAATACTAATCGATGAAAGAAAGGCACCCTGGCCGTTCAGGACAATTTTATACCTCCCTGCTACTTGTAGATACTAATTCAGCTACAATCTACAATGTTGCAGTTTTCTTCAGCTGCATACAAAATCCGTCGGGATGACTGGTCCCAAAAGTTAATTGTGCATACAGTAATAATTTTCCTTGATTCTATAATTTGCTGATAGACCTGTGTATTGTATGTCTTTACCCTGTTTCCCCTTCCGTTCCCTCATCTCTTATTGTGCTTCAGTATTTATATTTACATTTTAAATGTACTAAACGTACCACATTCGTATGAAACTGTGACTTTTATTTCCTGTTCTGGTCTATGACCGAAATAAATGACTTGATTTGAAAGAAAGATATATAATGTATTATCAATTTGGTGTTCCTTTTAGTTGCTGTTTTAAGACTTTCTGAATGATTGATGCAATTAATAAAATTTCTTCCCACTAAAGGGTATGATTGAAGGCAGAAACCTAAGATATTGGTTGTAGAATATAATTACGAAATGTGCATGTATATTGTTGCCTGTTCACAGAGTGATAGGAGCAGATATTGGGGGGGAAATTGGATGCATCTTCCAGAATGATCCACCCAACATTGGAAGTTGTAGTACAAAATGTAAAGCTCTGAGCAATGACAGTTTATATGTGTGTAGGATTATCATGTGCCTACACAAGGAAATTTCCCTGCTTCGTAATGTTAGCATCAGAAGTTGGAACACAATTTTCAGTTTAGAAGTTGATGCTGTAGGAAACAATCCTGTTACCCCAAGCTTCAAAGCCAGCCTGAACTGCTCAGGTTGTATGTTACTGGAAGACCATACTGGAATATATTTGTTTTGTAAATACAGTAAGGATGCCAAAGCCTCAGTTCACTCTGCTTCTTAAGTATCTTAAAGTTAAATTAAATGCCTCTCAACCTTCAGTTCTTGACTCCTTCAGGTTAATAAAGATTGCATTTTCCTGTTTAAGGGCTGAATGCTTCTGAATGAATTGGATTAGAACAAAAGTTTAGGAAAATTACTATACCTGTTCGGATTACAAATCTCAGAAATATCTACCCATACTGGGAATTAGAGTCAAAAAGCTCACTTTTCTCAGTTCTGGTTAGAACCAAGTCCAACACTCAAAACTCACATTATTTTTGTGCCAAGAGCATGACTTCACAAAGAATGACATTTTTCTCAGTATATTTTTGTATGTAAAAATCACTTCCCCTTAGTTTTCTAATCTACACTTATGATTTTCAAGTTGTATAGCTTTTGCCTTCATTTCAGTAGTTTTAAAATATTTTCAAAAGCAGCAGCTATGCATGAAAATGACAATGGTAATGAAATAAACTTTTGGTCCTTTAACTCATTCTTGACATGATGTTTTGACGTGATATTTGTAGAATTAAAATAGCCTAGGATTTTAAAAGATTTGCTGCAAAATTCTATGTGTGATTACTCAAATGAATCTTCTATTAAGTTTAGTGTGAGGTGTGTATTGGATCACAGCCTTGAAACTGCAATCCTTGTCATACTCATGATTGAATTTAGTGAAACGTATTTCAGTACAAAAAAATGCATGTGATTATTTTTGTTCTGTTGCTTTTAGTAGAATGGGAAAGATTTAGATAACTAAATGTCTCTTGACTGCAATGTACTTCTCACTATCTTTAGGCTTCAAGTGGTTGAAGAGGTTGAATGCATGTTGCGATCTAAAATCAAAATGCAAAACATGCATGTTTGGACATGTATCTTGTCCTTCTCTTAATCTACCCTTTATACTCATGTACATGTCTGGAAATTTTAGTCAAAACATCAAGCTCCTAAAAGGAATTACACCCTTCTCTGAGTAGAGTAGTGAAAGGCAGGAGCTTTGTTTTCCCTGAAAGGACATAAAAGAAGCACCGACCCATTTATTCCTTCTGGTGTTCCTTCGAGTCTTTTTGATTGTGTGGTGGCAGTGACCGGGGCAGCTGGATCATTGAGGCAGCATTAGTGCTCTCCCTTCTCCTTGATCTGTAACTTACTCACAGATCATATCAAAATCTATGATCTTGGTTCCAAAACCTACACTCTATTTATACATGAGTACAATTTATACACGAGTACATACAATCGTTTCAGTTGAATCTGATGCCTGGAAAATAATATTTCAAACCATAGTATTGGCTCTCAGTCTAAATGGGTTTAACTGCAAAAATGCAAGTTTAGCAGATCTTTGGATATCTTACAGACTATAGCTCCACAGTAATTTAGTTTAATAAGAACTCCCATTCACACAGAATCCCAGTTAGCAGAAAGCACAGCAAATGTCAAATTGTTCGTATTTTTACTTCAGCTTCTTTATTTTGGAGGATTTCCCATGAACTTTAAATAATATTAATATTATTTTTCTATTTTATACATTTTCTAATGCAGGCCTGCACAACTTGGACCTTGTAAAGAGCCAGGAAGGCAGGCAGCAAAGTACCTGACTGATGAAAGGGAAGTCCATCCCTGCCTGTGGGCTGCCAGGAAGTTCTTTTGCAGGCTGTATCTGGCCCAAGGGCTCTATGTTGTGCAGGCCTGCTCCAAAGCAAAGCACTACAAAATAAATATATTAAACAGAAGGATTGCCATGGATGGTTAACCTGTTCTCTTTCACTTGATTAACTTTTTTTCCAGATTCAGTAGACTTCAAAATTGATTTTTCGGATTCTAAATCTAATGTAAATGATGCCTACCCCAAGAATGAATTGCTGCCTTCAGAGCTTGAAGATCCTGACATTTTGTTGCCGAGCCAGTTGTTGGAAGTTAATCAAGAATTATTGCAGTCTGGAGTAATTTCTCTATGTGGTATGCCGTACCTAATGTTGTATTCAAAGGAATTTTAAAACTATATGTTAAATATAAATCTTATTGCTGTATGTTTATTGCTGAGAAACTTGTGTCAAGAGTTGTAGAATTTGTAGCTCAACATTTAGATGAAAGGAAACAAACAGGTGAAAAATATGGGCTGAAGATGAAATTTGTGCCAGGTAATTACAAATAATAAAAATTATAATAAACTTTATTTATACCCCGCCATTATCTCCCCGATGGGGACTCGGAGCGGCTTACATGGGGCCAAGCCCGAACAACATATTACATCAAAATAAAACCAAACCATGAACAACAAGCAACATCATCAAAAGGAAAAAAATATGAATACAATAACAAAATAACATTACAATAAACAAAAAACACAGTTGCAGTAACAGTGGGCGGGCTACATGTACAGGATAAAAAGTTAAAAACTCTAATGAGATGAAAATAGGAACAAGTTATTTGCAGGGAGCTCATAAAGACACATTGGGTTGTGAAACTAAATTTCCCATTTGAGGGGGGGGGGGCATGTACTCCAGTGACAGAAGCATTGAGGGGAGCAATAGTGTCATGTTGTGCACCTACTCGCCAAAGGCGCAGTGGAAGAGCCAGGTTTTAAGGTTCTTTTTAAACATTTCTAGTGTAAGAGCTTTCCTGATCTCTCCAGGTAATGAGTTCCAGAGTCGGGGAGCCACAGTGGAGAAGGATCTCTCCCTTGTGCCCACAAGTTGAGCCTGTGAGATTGGCAGGGATGAAAGGAGGGCCTCCCCCGAAGATTGAAGGGCCCAGGTTGGTTCATGAAGAGAGATACAGTCACAAAGGTAGACCCGTCCCAAACTGTTAGGGACTTTGTAGGTGATAACCAGCACCTTGATTTGAGCCCGGAAAATAAATGGCAGCCAATGGAACTCCGTAAACTGTAAGTCGACCCAGTTATTAATCTGGCTGCCAAGCGTTGGACAAGTTGTAGTTTCTGGGCCGTCTTCAAGGGTAGCCCCACATAGAGTGCATTGCAGTAATCCAGTCTAGAGGTAACTAAGGCGTGGACCACCGTGGTCAAGTCAGATCAGTAGGCAACTGATGTCTATTGTGAGTAATTTGTTGTTCATTCGTTCAGTCGTCTCCGACTCTTTGTGACCTCATGGACCAGCCCACGCCAGAGCTCCCTGTCGGCCGTCACCACCCCCAGCTCCTTCAAGGTCAGTCCAGTCAATAGGGAAACAAATAGCTCAGGGAAATGCACTTTTGACATGATCAGCCATCACATCAGAGCGCCTCTACATATCAATACATCTTTTGCTTTTATCATTCGGTGTGGTTTGAGAATTTAATGGAAGCTTATGTCACAAAGGCAGTAATAATATCACTGTTAAGTACAGGAGAACAGGTATTATTTCCAGAGCAAAGGTGTTTGAGGGATGGACCATTTTGCCATCTCAAAATACTATGTTTCCTCTTGACTTTCAGAGTTCCCTGCACAACCCATGTGATAGTAAAGGTTTTTGGTTTGGAGGAGAAAGTTGTCATTCTTATTATGGCCACCAAGTAGACAAATTCTGAGGTGACAGAGGTGTTTGATGTTATTATTTCACCCATTATTTCTGATTAGGAAACCGGGATCGTGGTGGAAGAGCAGTAGTGCAAATCTCCCTGAAAAGTGATGTCTGGTTACATGAGAATTCCAGAGTCAATGAGCTCACACAACTTCTAGTGTATCTCTACAGTATTCCTAGGTAAGAAGAAGAATATCTTCCTGTTTTTAGTATAACTAGTTCTTTAGAGGTGAAATCCATTATCATGAGGGGCCCAACCTTGTGGTGTGCAGTGTAATAGTGTAGTCTCCTTAGTGGGTTATTCTTATGTGGAACATTGGTAATACCTTACATATTTATTCAATAGACTGAATTTTCAGCGGAAAAAAAAAGAAGAAACATGTGGATAATAGTCATTTTCTTTGACACTAAAATCTCATAGAAATTCCTCAGAATATTCTTGTTGAAGTTGTTTTCCAATAAATCAAGTGTGGCTGGGCTGGGGCCATACATTTAAAATGCTTTAAATATAAAAATATAGACAAAATACTCTTAAAATGTAGAGTAACTTTGAGCTTAAACCATGAGCATAGCCATTAAAGATTACTGTTTACGTATGATCTAACCCTCCAGCAAAGGATCACTGCCTTGTCGGGGCGCTGGAGCTTGAGCACCTCAATGATGTCATGAGCGAAACCGTGAAGGGACACCCAAGACGGGACGGTTGTGGCAGAGAGGTCAGACCAAGCGTGATCCCTGGGGAAGGCAATGGCAAACCACTCCAGTATCCTTGCCAAGAAAACTAAATGGACCAGTACAACCAGAGATATGTCGGTATGCCATTGGAAGATGGGACTCCCAGGTCGGAAGATGGCCAAAATGACTACTGGGGAGGAGCAGAGGATAAGTTCAACTAGCCCCAGATGTGATGACGCAGCTAGCTCAAAGCCGAAAGGAAGGCTAGCGGCCGACGGTACTGGAGGTGAACGACGAATCCGATGCTCTAAAGATCAACACCATAGGAACCTGGAATGTAAGATCTATGAGCCAGGGCAAATTGGATGTTGTTATTGGTGAGATGTCAAGACTAAAGATAGACATTCTGGGGGTCAGCGAACTGAAATGGACTGGAATGGGCCACTTCACATCAGATGACCACCAGATCTACTACTGCGGACAAGAGGAACATCGAAGAAATGGAGTAGCCTTCATAATTAATACGAAATTCGCTAAAGCGGTGCTTGGATACAACCCAAAAAATGACAGAATGATCTCAATTCGAGTGCAAGGAAAGCCTTTCAACATTACAGTGATCCAAATATACGCCCCAACCACAGCTGCTGAAGAAGCAGAAGTAGATCAGTTCTATGAGGATCTGCAGGACCTACTGGATAAGACACCAAAAAGAGACATTATTTTCATTACAGGAGACTGGAATGCCAAGGTGGGAAGTCAAATGACAACTGGGATCACAGGCAAGCATGGTCTGGGAGAACAAAATGAAGCGGGACGCAGGCTGATAGAATTTTGCCAGGAAAACTCGCTGTGTATAACGAATACTCTCTTCCAACAACCTAAAAGACGGCTTTACACATGGACCTCACCAGATGGTCAACACCGAAATCAGATTGACTACACCCTTTGCAGCCAAAGGTGGCGGACATCCATCCAGTCGGTGAAAACAAGACCTGGGGCTGACTGTAGCTCAGATCACGAACTTCTTATTGCCCAATTTAGAATAAAACTAAAGAGATCAGGGAAAATACACAGACCAGTTAGATAGGATCTCACTAACATTCCTAGCGAATATACAGTGGAAGTGAAGAACAGATTTGAAGGACTAGATTTAGTAAACAGAGTCCCAGAAGAACTATGGACAGAAGTCCGCGACATTGTTCAGGAGGCGGCAACAAAGTACGTCCCAAAGAAAAAGAAAACCAAGAAGGCAAAATGGTTGTCTGCTGAGACACTGGAAGTAGACCAAGAAAGGAGGAAAGCAAAAGGAAACAGGGATAAGGGGAGATATGCCCAGTTAAATGCGCAATTCCAGAGGTTAGCCAGAAGAGATAAGGAACTATTTTTAAATAAACAATGCATGGAAGTGGAAGAAGACAACAGAATAGGAAGGACAAGAGACCTCTTCCAGAAAATTAGAAACATTGGAGGTAAATTTCAGGCAAAAATTGGTATGATAAGAAACAAAGATGGCAGGGACCTAACAGAAGCTGAAGAGATCAAGAGAAGGTGGCGAGACTATACAGAAGATCTGTATAGGAAGGATAATAATATTGAGGATAGTTTTAACGGTGTGGTGAATGAATTAGAACCAGACATCCTGAGGAGTGAGGTTGAATGGGCCTTAAGAAGCATTGCTAACAACAAGGCAGCAGGAGATGACGGGATCCCAGCTGAACTGTTTAAAATAAAAGATGATGCTGTCAAGGTGATGCATGCCATTTGCCAGCAAATATGGAAAACACAAGAATGGCCATCAGACTGGAAAAAATCAACTTATATCCCCATACCAAAAAAAGGGAAATGCGAAAGACTGCTCAAACTTCCGTACAGTGGCCCTTATTTCTCATGCCAGTAAGGTAATGCTCAAGATCCTGCAAGGAAGACTCCAGCAATACATGGAGCGAGAGTTGCCAGATGTTCAAATTGGGTTTAGAAAAGGCAGAGGAACGAGAGACCAAATTGCCAATATCTGCTGGATAATGGAGAAAGGCAGGGAGTTTCAGAAAAACATCTATTTCTGTTTTATTGACTATTCTAAAGCCTTTGACTGTGTGGATCATAATAAATTGTGGCAAGTTCTTGGTGGGATGGGCATACCAAATCACCTTGTCTCTCTCCTGAGGAATCTGTACAAGGACCAAAGTAGCAACAGTCAGAACTGACCACGGAACAACAGACTGGTTCAAGATTGGGAAAGGTGTACGGCAAGGCTGCATACTCTCACCCAACCTTTTTAACTTGTATGCAGAACACATCATGCGATGTGCGGGGATGGATGAATGCAAAGCTGGGGTGAAAATTGCTGGAAGAAACATTAACAACCTCAGATATGCAGATGACACCACTCTGATGGCCGAAAGCGAGGAGGAGCTGAGGAGCCTTCTAATCAAGGTGAAAGAAGAAAGCGCAAAAGCCGGGTTGCAGCTAAACATCAAAAAAACCAAGATTATGGCAACAAGAATGATTGACAACTGGGAAACAGAGGGAGAAAACGTGGAGGCCGTGACAGACTTTGTATTTCTAGGTGCAAAGATTACTGCAGATGCAGACTGTGGCCAGGAAATCAGAAGACGCTTACTTCTTGGGAGGAGAGCAATGTCCAGTCTCGATAAAATAGTAAAGAGTAGAGACATCACACTGGCAACAAAGATCCGCCTAGTCAAAGCCATGGTCTTCCCTGTAGTAACCTACGGATGTGAGAGCTGGACCTTAGGGAAGGCTGAGCGAAGGAAGATCGATGCTTTTGAGCTGTGGTGTTGGAGGAAATTCTGAGAGTGCCTTGGACTGCGAGAAGATCCAACCAGTCCATCCTCCAGGAAATAAAGCCCGACTGCTCACTGGAGGGAAGGATACTAGAGACAAAGTTGAAGTACTTTGGCCACATCATGAGGAGACGGGAAAGCCTAGAGAAGACAATTATGCTGGGGAAAGTGGAAGGCAAAAGGAAGAGGGGCCGACCAAGGGCAAGATGGATGGATGGCATCCTTGAAGTGACTGGACTGACCTTGAGGGAGCTGGGGGTGGTACGGCTGACAGGGAGCTCTGGCGTGGGCTGGTCCATGAGGTCACGAAGAGTCGGAGACGACTGAACGAATGAACAACATGATCTAACCATGACAAGATGTAGCAGAAGACAGAACTCCATTACTTTTGGAAGAGGTGACATGAATGGGAGCATTTTTCCATGTAGAGGCAAGAAAAGCAGCCTTGAGTCTCCTTGTGAAGAGAAAAAATGGGGAGAAAAAATTGGGTATAAATAATTAAATAAGCTGCCGAAGTTGAGTGACTGCAGCAGTCACTCAAGGGCTGCCTGCCCTATTTTTATTGTCCCTGATTTTTATGTAATACTGGCACATGTCTTTTAAAAAAGCTTCACATGATGGTTACCCCCCCTTTTTTTTTCCAAAAAGGCATACATTCTGCAACAATTATGCAGTGAAATATGGTAGCCTAACAGGGACAAACTACCTTATTCTGTTTAAACTTAATTTTCCTGGATGCCTGCTTGTAACATGACAATACTAATGCCAGTGAAGAACCTACATTTTGAGTACTTTATTATGATGTAAATCATCATCATCATCATCATCATCATCTTTATTTATACCCAGCCAATATCTCCCAGAGGGACTCAGAGCGGCTAACAAAATAACACACACTGGTGCCATATAATACATAAAATGCAATACATCAACATTAAAATTGATAAAACATTTACATAAAACCAGACATATACAAGTAACACAAGCAAATAAAATCAGCAAGAACTTTAGGGGTTCATTATAGCCAGGTGGTTCATTTTTCATTTCACTTTTTCATCAGTACAGTTTAAAGTAGGGGCCCTCAAACTAAGGCCCAAGGGCCAGATATGGCCCTCCAAGGTCATTTACCCAGCCCTCGCTCATTGTCAACCTAAGTCTGAAATTACTTGTAAGCACACAGCAACAGCAACAATCCTATCTCATCAGCCAAAAGCCCAAACTTTCCACTGAAATACGAATAAGTTTATATTTATTTAAATTTTTCTTCCTTTTAATTATTGTATTGTTTTAAAGTGTTTTTTGCACTACAAATGAGATATGTGTATTGTGCATAGGAATTTATTCTTTTTTTTTCAAGTTATAATCCTGCCCTCCAACATTTTGAGGACCGGTGACCTGTTTCTTTGTTTAAAAAGTTTGAAGACCCCTGGTTTAAAGGGCGCCTGTCTCTGTGTTTCAGAAAGGAGGTCCATGCTTTGGGGCTACTTATTTTAGTGGATGCTCGCAAGCGTCAGAATGTCTCCTTCCTTTTCAAAGCTTTAGCAACATTACAGGTGAGTAAAACATAGTTACAAAAAGACAGTGGTTCTGATGGCTTCCATGACAGTGGTAGTAATCAAACTGCTCTGGGTTTTATCCCAGATTTTACAAGAGTGTCCAAGAAGTTATAGTTCAGCACATTGTGTAGCTCCTTTAAAGTTCAGTTGGAAACCAGAACAAATTCGTTGTGCTGTCAGCATGGTAGCTGCCATTGCCATAAGGTTTTTAGTATCACAGGATCATTATTCCAACAGTTAGGTCTTGATATGTGTTCAGAAGTTCAGAAATGGTGAACCTATTTCTTTCTTTAATGTTAGGATATTTTCAGAAGCTTCTGTCTAATGATGAATCTGAAACTGTTTTTATTTAAAAAATTAGGCTTCAAAGCATTCCAAGGAAGAATTTTAAATCCTGATTTCATTGACAAAATAATTGTATGGGTGCATTTTATTTAACTGCATTTAGTGTTGCCCTTACAGTTAGAGGCAGGCCTGTAGCCAGGATTTTGTTTCGGGGAGAGCTGAGTTTGATTTGGGGGGGGGGGGGGGGGGGCTGAGTCTGAGTGAAAGAGGGTCTACCCTAGCAAACCTTTTGTATCGTTACCCCAATACCCCCATGCATATGGGATATATTGAGCATGGTGATCAGATCATGATATGAATAAACATAACAGTTTAAATAATGTACCAGTAAGGCCTTTTCACGGACCACCATGAGAATTTCGGGGGGGGGGGGCTGAAGCCCCCCACCCCCCCCCCCCCCCCCCCCGGTTACATGCCTGGTTAGAAGTTAAATATGCTGCCTCGTGTGTTTCTGTTTGCCTTATAAGCCATGAACATGGCTCATTTTCCAGCAATTGTAGCTACCTACGCAATGTAGTAATGAGATCCCACACTAATTAAAAGTTTTTTAGGAAATATGTATTGGAAGAGCATAAGTAAATCCCCATTTGTTTCTGGTTGCTTGAGAGTTACTATTTCAGTTTCTCAAGTCGCTCCTGACATGAAAAAAGAGTTACTATTAAAAATAGGCGACTAATATAACTCATACTATAACAGGTTATCAATCCTTTATTGGCTTGATATTAACATTAAAATATAGTAATTAAAAGCAAATTAAGACAAACTTAACTTAATGTTACACAGTTTTACTGAATTATAAAAACAGCTTTGTATTTATACAAAGTATTATTTCTCTCAAGTTTAGCTGGTTAATGTATTGTCGAAGGCTTTCATGGCCGGAATCACTGGGTTGCTGTAGGTTTTTTTTTGGGCTATATGGCCATGTTCTAGAGGCATTATCTCCTGATGTTTCGCCTGCATCTATGGCAAGCATCCTCAAAGGTAGTGAGGTCTGCTGGAACTAGGAAAAAGGTAGTCAGGTAGTGCTGGTTAATTGAGAGTTCCAAGTTCTGGTTTACTGAGAGCCTACTATAATAGTTAGCAAATGATTTCATTGATGAGGAATGGAATTGTTGTTGAATTCATATCAGTTTAATTCAACTAGTTTTATTATTTGCTGCTCGCTGCAATGTAGTAGCTGTTCCCTGTTGCAAAACAAGTCTGCGCAAGTTGAGGGGCACTAGGGATGCAACAAAGTTTATGTTGGCATAGTGCTGCAACAAGGTTTTGGCTTCAGCTGAAAGCAGTCGGAAATGAAGAATTGGATAAAGCTATTACTTATCATAATACCCTTCTTTGGAAGCATTTGGCATTTTTCCTACATTAACCCCACTTTGAAGGTATTTTGCCTTTAATCACTCTGGATTAAAGCTTGCCCCATCAAGAAAAACAATAACAATTTCCTTCAACAACTTTTTATGGATTTGCTTCCAAAGTCATTAATTCAACAGAAGTGTGATGCCTTTAGAATAATTATCGCCTCCTCCTTCAATGAAAGTTCACTTTGAAATCATTTAAATTTTAAAAGGCTTATAATTTTAATAGGTACAAAGGAAGACATTTTGTCTTTCTGAAAACTTCCAACTATTTTAGGTGATGGGTGGATGGGACTGAACATGTTTTATAATGGAGAGTGAGAAAAGCTTTTCTGGCCTAAGGGCTGAATTAGCTGTCTCAGAATTATCTGGAGCTAGTTTGCACACATTGACATGTACACCTTCTGCCTGTGTGTGCATACATGCACACACAATTCACATGCACACCCATACTCACAGGAATATACAAATACACACAAATGGAGCACCTTCACACACATTCCATGTTCTCCTTCTCTTACAGAGTTTGCCTGTTTCTCACATGCACCCAGGCAAAACTTAGACCATCAAGCAATGCAGAACCAAAGCAGCTCCAAAGAGTCTATGGACTAAAGGCAAAACTTGTTGCCTTTCTTAGCAGTACTTATTTACCTAGGGATCACAACCAGATACAGTGAAGACATCTGCCCTTGTGCTATGCTACTCTGCTGCAGAGTATGCATGCCCAGTGTGGAACACATCTCACCACGCTAAAACAGTAGATGTGGCTCTTAATGAAACATGCCACATTATCACGGGGTGTCTGTGCCCTACACCACTGGAGAAATTACACTGTTTAGCCGGTATTGACCACCTGACATCCATCGGGAAGTAGCAACCAATAGTGAAAGGACCAAGGCAGTGACATCTCCAGCTCATCCCCTTTTTGGATATCAGCCAGCACGTCAATGACTTAAATCAAGAAGTAGGTTTCTAAGATCTACAGAGACACTCGCTGGAACACCTCAGCAAGTGAGAGTCCAAAAGTGGCAGGCTCAAACCCGGAACATTAATCAATGGCTGATACCAAATGAGAGACTCCCCCCTGGGCACACAGAAAACTGGGTGACTTGGAAGGAGTTGAACAGACTGCGCTCTGGTACCATGAGATGCAGAGCCAACTTTAATAAATGGGGCTACAAAGTGGAATCCATGACATGCGAGTGTGGAGAAGAGCAAACTACAGACTACCTGCTGCAATACAGCCTGAGCCCTGCCACATGCACAATGGAGGACCTTCTTGCAGCAACACCAGAGGCACTCCAAGTGGCCAGATACTGGTCAGAGGACATTTAATCAACTACCAAGCTTGCAAACTTTGTGTTTTGTTTGTTTGTTTGTTAAAAAAATGCAATACAACTGATTGGTCTGCTCCTGACACGATAAATAAATAAATCTCTTGGATTAGAGATAGAGATAACGCCTTTATTTCCCTATCCAAAGCTAAGTTAGCTTCTCGGATATCAGCTGACTAGAGATAAGCAGAGGCGGCCCTAGGTAATTTTCAATGGTAAGCAAACAGTATTTTGGTGCCCCCCCCCCCCCAACCAATCACTGATATATATTTTCTGTTCGTCGTGGAAGTTCTGTGTGCCATATTTGGTTCAATTCCATCATTGGTGGAGTTCAGAATGCTCTTTGATTATAGGTAAACTATACATCCCAGTAACTACAACTCATATATGTCAAGGTCTGTTTTCCGCCAAGAGCACCTCAAGAGCGCCCCTGGGCAAAATCGACTATACTGCGAATGCTTACTTTGCGTAATGGGTTGAGCCGCCCCTGGAGATAAGACTTTTTACTTGGGGAGAGGGGTCAGGGAACAGAACCTGATGGGCTGGAGGCTCTCCATGGATGGTGATACTGACAATGAGGATGGCAGTGATGGTGTCAACAGAAAAATTGCCTCAAGGGTAGAACATAGCCTAACATTATACAAATTCTGGACATGATCTATTCAGAGTTCAGGACTTCTTCAGAATTTCACTTTGTATTGTTATTCAAAATTATCATAATACCATCATGATTATCCTGGCTGAGTATGATTGTCTTCTAAGGGTTGAGTATTCGTGGTATGTCTGTCAATGACGGTAATTACTTATTCTGGATCCACATCTTTCACAATCAGGACTTTGTATTGTTATTCAAAATCATAAGAGGTATAGGCCTGCTTACTCAGCATTACATCTTATTAAATGCATTGCACCTAGTAGTGTTTCTCCAACAGAAGATTGAATCAAGTTTTTATCAGTTAACCAAGAAAATATCATTTTGCTGATATCCCCTCTTCCCTGTAACCCCAAGATTTGCTCCAACACATGTGAAGCCTTTGGAACAATTTGGGAGTTGGTACAGGGAATTCCTGGTGTGTAGATTATCAACACAACCCACACTCACCCCACTCGGACAAATGTGCATTCTGCCAGCAGTTTATTCTTCAGTTAATGTGAATAGATTTCTAGCATGAAGTAAAAAATTAATATCCTGCTGTAGGAATGGGTGAGATTTTTAGCACTGTTTTGATTATACCTGATAGAGACTATCACACAACTGAGTTTAAGGATTAAGATCCAGGCAAGCTTATTGGCCATTCTAGTGAGGTAATTTTGGGAATTGCAGTCTCCAAAGACAATTTTTTTACACTGTGCTTGAAAGCCCTTCCAAGTCATTTGAGTCAGAAGAAAAAGCCTTTATATTTATTATTATTTATTTACAGTATTTGTATACTGCTTTTCTCACCCCGAGGGGGACTCATAGTGGTTATCTGAAATCTGATTTTCTGAAATCTCAGGAATCTAAGGGCTTTATCTGAAATCTCAGGAATTGCAATTTCCTTCCTGATTTGTGTTCAGCACCAGGGCAGTACTCTTTTTTCAGCTAGGCTTGTGTATGTATGTATATATGCGTGTGTATGTGTGTGTGTCAGTATGTGTATGTGTGTGTGTCAGTCAGAACTGACCACGGAACAACAGACTGGTTCAAGATTGGGAAAGGCGTACGGCAAGGCTGCATCCTCTCACCCAACCTTTTTAACTTGTATGCAGAACACATCATGCGATGTGCGGGGCTTGATGAATGCAAAGCTGGGGTGAAAATTGCTGGAAGAAACATTAACAACCTTAGATATGCAGATGACACCACTCTGATGGCCGAAAGCGAGGAGGAGCTGAGGAGCCTTCTAATCAAGGTGAAAGAAGAAAGCGCAAAAGCCGGGTTGCAGCTAAAAGTCAAAAAAACCAAGATTATGGCAACAAGAATGATTGACAACTGGAAAATAGAGGGAGAAACCGTGGAGGCCGTGACAGACTTTGTATTTCTAGGGGCAAAGATTACTGCAGATGCAGACTGTAGCCAGGAAATCAGAAGACGCTTACTTCTTGGGAGGAGAGCAATGTTCAGTCTCGATAAAATAGTGAAGAGTAGAGACATCAGACTGGCAACAAAGATCCGCCTAGTCAAAGCCATGGTATTCCCTGTAGTAACCTACGGATGTGAGAGCTGGACCTTAGGGAAGGCTGAGCGAAGGAAGATCGATGCTTTTGAGCTGTGGTGTTGGAGGAAAGTGCTGAGAGTGCCTTGGACTGCGAGAAGATCCAACCACTCCATCCTCCAGGAAATAAAGCCCGACTGCTCACTGGAGGGAAAGATACTAGAGACAAAGTTGAAGTACTTTGGCCACATCATGAGGAGACAGGAAAGCCTAGAGAAGACAATTATGCTGGGGAAAGTGGAAGGCAAAAGGAAGAGGGGCCGACCAAGGGCAAGATGGATGGATGGCATCCTTGAAGTGACTGGACTGACCTTGAGGGAGCTGGGGGTGGTAATGGCCGACAGGGAGCTCTGGCGTGGGCTGGTCCATGAGGTCACGAAGAGTCGGAGACGACTGAACGAATGAACAACAACATGTGTGTGTGTGTGTGTGTGTATGTGTGTGTGTGTGTATATATATATATATATATCTCAGCTGCTCCCTAGCTCTTTGTCTTTTGAGACTTATACTATTAGGACCTACACCAGCCACCACAGAGTTCTATATTTCAAAGCCCTGAGTCTTAAATGAGACCTACCCGCTTTTTTTATTTTCTGGATCAAAAGCATCAGAAAGTGCTGAAAATAAACAGTTGCAACTGCTGTAACAACTTACTAAGTAGAATTGGACTGGATCTTGACTTGTGCCCTTATTCACACCTCCACTTTCCCCTATCCCAGCACACACACTTTCTCGGCCATACTAGAAGGTGCAACCCTACCTCCTTTCTCCCTCAAAATGACTTTTTCAATCTGTGCTTCCAAGTCCTTTGGGTCAGAAGAAAGAGCCTTCTCTGGGGAGGTCCTAAGGGCTTTATCTAAAATATCAGAAACTGCAAATCTCAGGAATAGCCAATTTAAAGTTTGACTGCCTCTGACTCCAACCCACTCCTAGCCATCCAAAGCCTACCCAGCATACATTGCATTGTTCAAGCTGGCTATCTTCTCATTTTGAACATCCTCTCTATTACTGTCTGTTGTTTTTATTAATAAAATTCTTCACTAAAAAATTAAATTGCATTGTCTTTCCCTGCAAATGAATGTTGAACACACACGTGTCTTGGTTTACATCCCGTCTTTCATCAGAATTGTTTTGCTTTCTTTTAGAGTGCAGTCCCTAATTCCATTCACAGTACTCTGATATTGACTGATAAGGAGTCTGCTTTTAGGCTTGAGAAAGATGTTCTCTTTCAGGTAAGAAAAGCCAATCTTTTCATAAACGCCCTTGTCTATTAGGAAGTGCAAATACCTGTTCTTGATCATAGAGCTGCCAAACATAGGCAAGCATCCTCTTAGTGACTTACATGTATATTAACCCCTTTTTGATAGGAAGCAGAGGACTATTTTCTTGTCTTTATGCACTTCCCACCACTTGGCAGCTGTCAAGCCTCAGGAGGTGGTGCTTCTGTTTATTAGTAGGGAAGAGAAGAAAAGGACAGCCAATTCAGGCCATGAAGATCCAGAAGGAAAGAAAAGGTAGGTGCACTCCACTTGAGAGTGCACCCTCATTTCCCCGACTGATCTGAGAACAGCTACTTGCTCTCTCTCACCAGTCAGTGAAAGCAGCAGGGACCAGAATATCAAGGTAGATAATACGCAATATATTCTGGGTTATAAGGCTGTTTGGAAGGGCCCTTTAGGAAAAAAAAAAGAATATCAAGACCTGGCTCTGCCTTTGCACTTTTCGAGAGTAGTCACATAATCTTATGCTATTGCTCCCACAACATTCTTGCCCCAGGAGTACACCCCCCCCCCCCTTGTACGAAGGTCTGTTTATTTCCCTGTCTCTCTATGAGTTCTCCCTTACAAATAGTTCTGCCCTTTATCTCACCCTGAGTTTTAAAATCATTTTATGTACATGCTCATTGTCATTATGTTTGGTTTACTGTTTTTTGTGTTTGTTGTTTATATACTTATATGTTTTATACTTTAATGTTATGTTGTTTATTTTATTGTAATTTGTATCTCATTGTATTGTAATGTGTTGTTTGGGCTTGCCTCATGTAAGCCGCTCTGTGGCCCCATTGGGGAGATGGTGGTGGTATTATTATTATTATTATTATTTAGCAAAAGTAGCAAAATGAGATATGTGCAGTGTGCATAGGAATTTAATTGTAGTGTATGTGTATGTATATATATATATATATATATATATATATATATATATATATATATATATATAGTCTGACCCTCCAACGGTCCGAGGGACAGTGAACTGGCCCCTATTTAAAAAGTTTGAGGACCCCTGGCCTAGTATATTCTTAGATTTGGTCCCATTATAAAACAAATTACAGCCAAGACACTACCTCTGTGGGACAGCTCTGCATGCTCAGTGCCACATCCTCTTACTACCCTGGTACCATCAAGCCCCAGGATGTTTGAGGACCCCTGTACTAGGGCTTTAGACATCATCTTTCAACTACTTTAGGTAGCTACTTAACAATCACTTTGGATTTCCATAGTCTTTGTTTTAAAATTTATGTGTATAAACCAACTTTGTCCTAACTTGATTTTTAGAATTTTGACACGTTTTCACTTTTTAAAATGCGACTCTTGTTCAATTTTGTATAGAAATGAATGTGAAGGATTGGAGGTTGCTTTTGTTGTCTTTTTATACAATTTATAAGGGAAAAAAATCTATATCAACCTGTTTGCATCCTGGAAAAATTCCTCTTATTTCATAACAGAGATTATCATTTGCTTCTTGGTTGTCTGGGTTCCCTAACAATTATCCCAAAGTGACCTGTGCTACATTCTGGAAACCAAGAAATATATGGAATTCTCCAAGGATGTTGCTAGCTGTACGCAGAAGTCCAAATCAATCAAACTTAATAAAGTTATGGTCCAAAGACCCAGTTTGTTCAGCAGTAAAAAAAATGTACAATAGAGTCATAAACTGATAAGACCACTTAAACGCAGGACTAATGTAATGCAAGAGGCATATGAACAAGTCAAAAGAAAGATCGAAAGAGAACTTGTGTCTCTTTCTGCCTTAAGGTGGCAGGCTAGGGAAAATAACCAACAGTCTGCATGTGAAACCACAATGTTACTTTTCCTTTTCTGGTACTCAAATTTCCCTGTCACTCTTCTAAAACCTATGACTTCTCCCAATATTTTTATGGGATTTTAGACCTGAAAATTATATTAAGAAATGCCTGAACCAATCACAAATGACACAGTTCACTTTATCCCTCTCCCCAAACAATCTCCAAAGTTTGAAAAATCTTTAAAAACAAAAAATAGCTATAGACTGGTCAAAATGGGAGCTACAGATGATGTGGCGTTTCCAGTGCAGTGCTGGTGTGATGATGAAATCCACAAAATGTAAGGGAGCACAAAAGTAATACTGCTTCATACAACTGATTTTCTTTAAGAGCTACAATTCATGGAATGTTTATTTCACTTTCTCATTTTTATTTTACTTTCTCATTTTGGTTTAATGTCTCACTTCATCTGTGCACACACACTCATTCATATATATATATATATATATATATATATATATGAATGTGTCTATAGGTCTGTGTGTGTGGGTATATAGGTGCACATAGGAATAGGCATATACACACAAAATATTTTTTATTTTTTATTTTTATTTTTTCCCTCTTTTCTACTTCTCTTCTTCTTTTGGCTTTTTGAATTCTATCTCATTTGGAAAAGACACAATGAAGATACTTACTAAAAAAAGAACTACAATTCCTTTAAAGAGAAGGTAGTCAAGTCATCTTGTTTTCTTGCTTGTCACGCTCTAACCACTGCCACTTCTTCTGAGTTCGTGGAACCAAATGAAGGGTGCAGCTGCATTGTAGAATTAATGCAGTATTGCTATGGCTCAGTCCTGTAGAATCATGGAGGTTGTAGTTTGGTGAAGCACCAGCACTATTTGGTAGACAAGGCTAAAGACCTTGTAAAACTACAGCTTTCATGATTCAAGTTTAATTCTGTTCTTGTTCTTTTGCCTCTGATTCCACCCATGACCAGATCTCCAGGATTGTGAAACCTGCTGAGATTTCTCTTCTCCCAGCAGACATTATAGAATATATGTGATCAATAAGGTTCAGAAAGCCTTCACTTCATCTAATGAAAAAGTCCAATTTGTGACAGCCTTTTCTGATAAGGAGGTACTGGACACCCTTTCTTTGCCATGTGCAAAGGAACCTTGATGTTTTCCTCACAAATCCAGCTTATGAGAGAAGGTCAGCCTCTTTGAAAAAGAAGAAACGGGTTGAGACCTCCTCCTGAGCTTCACGCTCAATCCTAATCGCTTTTAGAGTTAGTCTTCTCAATCATCCACTTCTAATGTCTTCATCTTCTGGAGAGGTTGGATTTGCTGTCACAAAATTGGGGTCAAGACAGATATAAAGATCTGGAGACACTGCCTCTGACAACTTGGCTTATCTACCCGTGACCCCCATCACTTTCTGCTGACCATCATGGAAGTTGCCAAAAATACTCTTACAATGATGGTGACCTATTGAGAGAGGCAAGGAACAATAGATTAAAATACAGCAGATAAATACTCACTAAAACCACAGACCACCATTTAAAACACATAACCTGATAAAAGAATATACATATTTAAAACAATCAATTCAAAAGTTATAAAACTCACAATTTAAAGTAATCTAGATAGTTGTTTTATAAACTCAAACTGTGTATCCAGCTGTTGAATCTCTTCTTTAAAAAATGTATGGAAGGTATTACTTTCGTTCATTGAATGACTCCTTTTCTGGGGATGCAACAAATATTGGAATGCCTGATCCACTTGGCTCACAAGGGTCTCAATAAATCCTCTCGCACAGTACATTTGGCAGTAGTTGGGGCAAATTCTCAGTCTCCATTCTCTTCCTCATGGTTTGCTTTCTCCCCTTTTCAAATGACATGCTAATCTCATTCTTCCAAGATCTCCCTCCGCCTGTGCCAACATGGAGTGAGCTTTGGACAAACTTTCATTTATATTGTTTGTTTAAGTGAATAGCTACCCTTCTCTATATATATAAATAAGGTAGTCAGTCACCCATGAGGCCATGAAGAATAAGAACAAGTTGCTTACTTGTAACTGTGGTTCTTCGAGTGGCCATGAGTGAATTCACACAACCATCCCACCCTGCTTTGAGCTTGCAGATAATTTCTTGAAGAACCAGAGTTACAGGTAAGCAACCATTTTTTCCCATAAGCCACATGACAAAGGTGCTGTCAACCAACATTAAGACTGCCTCATCATCTAGAGATCTGCAGAAAACCATGCAGCCACTTTGGCTGCAGCCTATGTGAGAGAGCTGCCAGAAGCAATTATGTTGACAGCCTATTTTATTTGACCTTTGCAAAATGAGAGCAGGGCCTTGTAACACTAGCTACTAGAGATTGTATATCTAGCTATGAGAAACCTCTCCAGAGCATTCTGCTCTAGAAGGGAGACTGTTGTTCTGAGATTTAAAAAAATCATGCAAACTGTTTTGTACTTGGATTTTTATTGTTTGACACAATGCAAAGTTCACTAAAACTCTGATGACTGCAAATAGCATTTATATGTTAACTTTGTTTCACAGTGTGAAGTTCTCACGTCTCTGAAGGCATTGCATAGGTTCATTGACTGCACCCAACTGACAGCAGAGTTTGATGGAACTTTTCCTTACAATCATAATGACTGGATATGTTTCCGAAGGGTGAGTTAAGGTTTGGAACTCCTTGAATTACTTTTGAGTATTTAAAACATTTTTTTTTTTGCTAACATGCAGTTGATCATGAAAGGTTGGAACTAATATTATTTACCAGAGGCAGTGTAATCTGAGTGAAAGCTCTTGAGTCAATTCAGAAGTGATGGTGGATTGGGATGAATTAATCTTGAGGAGGACTTCACACAGTACTAGCATTTTTTCCATGTCAGAAGCGACTTGAGAAACTGCAAGTCGCTTCTGGTGTTAATGAGTCACAATTATTGGTATTCTTCCATCTCCAGATACGGCTGCACTGTGAAGTTGGAAAACGAAGGCTAGGTGCTCTAAATCTTAAACATATTGTTCTGGTAGTATGTTTCAAAGCACAAGCATTCTAAACTGATGAGTACAAGCCACAACTGGATATCATATTATGAGGCTTTATTTATGTTGAGGGCTATATTTCCTTTGCGGAAATCTCTTAGGGGCTGCATGCCAGGAGTGGTTTGGGCCAAAATCAGCAGCATGAGTGTGTTACTTACTTAGGCGATCCCTTGTTGGCTGAGTAGGATAGTCTTCCAGGAGCAGTATTCTGGTGGGTCCGTAGGTGACTGTGGAGCCCTATTCTTGATCTGCATCTTCTCCAGCAGTGAGGGCATTGGTTTCCAGGTGGAAGGCGGTTTCGGTCGGGGTTGGCTTGACACGCCTTCCTCTTGGCATGTTTCTCTCTTTCGCCCACCATTCATGCCTCTTCAAATTCTACAGCACTGCTGGTCACAGCTGACCTCCAGCTGGAGCGCTCAAGGGCCATGGCTTCCCAGTTCTCAGTGTCTATGCCAGAGATTTTAAGGTTGGCTTTGAGCCCATCTTTAAATCTCTTTTCCTGTCCACCAACATTCTGTTTTCCATTCTTGAGATCGGAGTAGAGTAACTGCTTTCGGAGACGGTGGTTGGGCATCTGGACAATGTGGCCGGTCCAGCGGAGTTGATGGCGGAGGACCATCGCTTCAGTGCTGGTGATCTTTGCTTCTTCCAGCACGCTGACATTTGTCCGCCTGTCTTCCCAAGAGATTTGCAGGATTTTCCGGAGGCAGCGCTGTTGGAATCTTTCCAGGAGTTGCATGTGACGTCTGTAGACAGTCCACATTTCGCAGGCATAGAGCAGGGTTGGGAGGACAATAGCTTTATAAACAAGCACCTTGGTATCCCTACAGATGTCCTGGTCCTCAAACTCTCTCTGCTTCATTTGGAAAAATGCTGCACTCACAGAGCTCAGGCGGTATTGTGTTTCGGTGTCGATGTTGACTTTGGTGGAGAGGGGGCTGCCAAGGTAGCCAAGGTAATGTTACACCATTAAGCTGTATCTCTGGCATTGGAAAGGGGTTGGCTGGTGACTGCTGGAACAGCACTTTAGTTTTCTCGATGTTCAATGACAGGCCAAGCTTCTCGTATGCTTCTGTGAAGGTGTTTAGAGTGGCTTGTAGATCTTCTTCTGAATACGCACAGACGACATTGTCATCAGCATACTGGAGTTCTATAACAGATGTTGTAACCTTGGTTTTGGCTTTCAGTCTGCTGAGGTTAAACAGCTTGCCATCTGTCCGATAGATTATTTCCACTCCGGTGGGAAGCTTCCCATCAACAAGGTGAAGTATCATAGCAATGAAGATGGAGAATAAAGTTGGGGCAATAACACATCCCTGTTTGACACCTGATTCCACCTTAAATGAGTCACATTGTATAATCTGGTTTTGGAGTTAGATTATGTATGTAGTGTTCTGTCTTCTTATACTGAAATCATTAGCTTTTGCCAAGTTATTACAAAAAAAAACAAAACCCACCACGACATACTCATTTTTAAAAGCTGTTTATCTTAACAATGACTTCAAGAGTATAATTTTTAGTGTGTGCGTGTGTGTGTATACCTGACAGTGTGAGAGAGAGAGAGAAGGGGGGGGGGGGCTGGATTGTTCTTATATGACTATATGCTTATTGTAATTTTATACTGTTATGTATTCACATGTTTTATGTAATTATGATGTTGTTGTTTATTGTTTGCGTTTTCGGTTTGCCCTTTCGATTTTACTCTGTTGTAATTTGTTGTTTGGGCTTGGCCTCATGTAAGCCACCCCGAGTCCCCATTGGGGAGATGGTGGCGAGGTATAAATAAAGATTATTATTATTGTTATTATTATTGTTGTTCTTATTATTATTACGACTACCATGTTCTGGTCTATTGACCTCTTCACACGAGTCAAAATTTGGCTTCGGCAATGGTGGTTTCAGCTATGGAATGGCTCCCATCACACCCCAGAAAAGTACTTCCAGGTTGGCGCTATGGCTGAACTGCTACAAACACCTTGCCACCACAAAATTGCCGGAAGCGGTCTACAAGTGGCCCCTTGTCTTTCCATAAGGGGGAAAGCTGTGACGGTGTGGGGCTACAACCTCGCATGAGCACTGCTGGAATCACAATGATCCGCAGCGATACTCAAACATAAAATTAGAATACTATTGTACAATATCACTAAAGTAGTTTGAAAAAGGAATCATCAATGAAACATCTGACGCATAATTTCTGTTTCTTAGTAAAATAGTTGACTGCAGTTTCATGCACTTGAATGCATTGTAATAAGCACAGCTGTGTTAACTATCGAAAACAGTTTTTCCTTTTAATATGTTAATCAGTTGTTATGTTTATATTTGCAGAAACTTGAACCATTTATTACGAACTGCAAAGAGGCTATTGTGTTTTTGCAGCAGTCGGCATGTTCTCTCAATAGTTCTCGGATACCAACTACTTCACAAGTAAGTATTGGTCTTGTTTGGTGGATTTTGAACTTGCTGGTTAACATTCTCTCTGGCAACATAACATTTGCCATTCAGTATATTTTATGTATTTATTTATTTACAGCATTTATATTCCGCCTATCTCACCCCGAAGGGGACTCAGGTCGGATCACAACACACATGTACACTGCAAACATTCAATGTATACCCCTCAGTCCATTTGTTGTGCCCCAGTTCTCAACTATTGCCAAATTCTACTCTAGCCTGTGCATAAGTGATCTTCTTGCATCCCTCACCATGGCTATGTAAAGTCTCTTCTCTTTTATCTATGTATAGAACCTGTTATTGGCCAATCAAATGTAACTCATCCCCTGCAGAGCTTTTTTTTCTTCTTTCCCCACTCCTTCATTCATTCACTGAAACTCATAAAAAATTGATATCACAGAAGGCAAAAGGAGTCTCTCCCTTTGGAAGTTGCCGTTTTGAAGTTTCCTCCCGCTTTTTTTTCATGTCAGGAGCAACCTGAGAAACTGCAAGTTGCTTCTCGTGTGAGAAAATTGGTGGTCTGCAAGGACGTTGCCCAGGGGACGCCTGGATGTTTTACCATCCTGTAGGAGGCTTCTCTCATGTCCCCACATGGGGAGCTGGAGCTGACAGACAGGAGCTCCCTGGATTTGAACTGCTGACATTTTGGTCAGCAGTCATACAGGCAGATCAAACAGATCATTGCATTTTTTTAAACAAACAGATAGACAAAGCACAAAGTTTGCAAGCTTGGTAGTTGATTGAATGTCCTTTGACCAGTATCTGGCCACTTGGAGTGCCTCTGGTGTTGCCGCAAAAGGTCCTCCATTGTGCATGTGGCAGGGCTCAGGTTGCATTGCAGCAGGTGGTCAGTAGTTTGCTCCTCTCCACATTCGCATGTCGTGGATTCCACTTTGTAGCCCCATTTCTTAAGGTTGGCTCTGCATCTTGTGGTGCCAGAGCGCAGTCTGTTCAGCGCCTTCCAAGTTGCCCAGTTTTCTGTGTGCCCAGGGGGGAGTCTCTCATTTGGTATCAGTCATTGGTTGAGGTTCTGGGTTTGAGCCTGCCACTTTTGGACTCTCGCTTGCTGAGGTGTTCCAGCGAGTGTCTTTGTAGATCTTAGAAAACTATTTCTAGATTTAAGTCGTTGACGTGCTGACTGATACCCAAATGGGATGAGCTGGAGATGCCTCTGCCTTGGTCCTTTCACTATTGGCTGCTACTTCCCTGCGGATGTCAGGTGGTGCAATACCATAAATAAACTAACAGCATAAAAGTGGAAATAAGAGAAACTGATTGGACAAAAGTGACAAATTATTTGAAACAGAAGAATGGAAATACAATAATATAAAAGGAAGAGAAAATAAGAGGGAAGAAAAGATAAGTTGAAAGAAAGGAAAAGGGAAAATCACTTGGAAGATACTCAGGAAGTCAATAAAGGAGATGTATATCATCTTTTTCCTGGTTTTTAACTACTTATCTCTATTTCTTTTTCTTTCTTTTTCTCCGGTTCTTTTTTTCCTTTCTCTCTCTCTCTCTTTCTCCTTTTCTTTCTCTTTTCCTTCTTTTCTTCTTTCTATCTCTACTCCCTCTTTCTTTTTTCTTATGTTATTTCTATTTTATTACCTTGTATTTTAAAAGAAAATTCCTCAATAAAGATTATATTTTTTAAAAAGTGAGAGTATTTATTTTGTGCAGGAGGTGAAGGATTTAATGGACAAACACCAAACAATGATGAGACTTGTTCTGGAAGATGAACTGTTGGTGACCTTAAGACTTGAAGGTGGAACAATGCTTGCAAGGCTTAGGAAGGAGGAGTTCTGCAATACAGAAGATTATCGGTAGGTTTCTTCATTGTCTTGTGAATTACAGCTTGCTAATACCAAGTATATTTTTAACAAAAGTTATTTTACTGGTTCTCAAATAATCAAGCTATTGACTGATGGAAATTGTGAATATTTTACATATTGTTATTGGTATTTCTAAACAACCCCATATTGACTAAGAGCTGAGGTGCATATCTTTTGGACTCAGGCCCCATACACCCATCGGTTGTAAGTTGTGCGGTCTCCATCCATTGTTCTGTTGCTGTTATAAGAAGCTAGGTTAGTGTCAGAGAAGAGATTCCTATCCATTGCTGACATCATACACTTGATAAGCAGTCTACATAGAGTGTATTAAAGTAGTTCAACCGGTGTTTCTAGTTTCGTACCACAGAAGCCAGACTATCCCAGTACAGGAATGACTGCAGCTCATGAATCACCTGAAGCTGAAAAAGGAACCAGTGTTACACTGATGATACTTTGTCTTAAAATTGCTTGATGACCAGGTGTTAAACACCAAAGGAGATAAAATGTTACTCTCCAGACCTCCATAGCATAATTATCAATGGCCTGAGAAGTGTCTTAATGCCACTCCCTGGAATCTGCCCTATAGACAGGACTAGAAGCACTGAAATACCTTTCAACCCACTGAGCCAGTACAGAAAAATACTATGGTTAATAATATCAAAAGCTGATGAAAGATAGCAAAAGAGCGTAGCATGGTGCCCAGTGGAGTTGTGATAATTCTATCAAAAAGTTGCTTAATTTGTGTTTGATGAATACTTACTTTGATGAATGCTTACTTTCCCCCCTCAATAGAGATGCCATGGAAGTGGTTACGAAGCTATATAATCAAGTAGATGAGGAAGTTCATAGACTGGTTTTGTTATCTAATAAACGCTTTCAACAACTAGAGAACTTCTTGGCAATGAGAAACTTTGAAGAAGGCTTTGATGAGGTCAGTTCTACTAATGCATGCCTGTGTGTTACTCCTGAAGAGTGAATAGAAGTATTTTTACAGTTTTTAAAACAAGATGCTACACATTCCCTGAAGTGCTATCTAGCTTGCCCCATAAACAAGATGTGACTGCAACCATTCTGAATTTTCCATCTATATAAATAAAAATGTAATGTTCGTTTGTGGGATTAACATAACTCAAAAACCACTGGATGAATTGACACCAAATTTGGACACAATACACCTGTCAGGCCAACGAGTGACCATCACATAAAAACACTAAAAAACACAGCAGAAGGAACTTAAAAGGCCAAAAAATATATAATACATTACAACGCATGCACAAAACCACACATACACATATACATATATACTCACACATATACACATGTATACACATACAAAACACATATACACAAACTGGGCCACAGCAACACGTGGCAGGGGACAGCTAGTTAGTAATATTTAATTTAAAAGGTACTACATTCTTAAGATACCATGTAGTCTGGCCCTTAGAATCCCCTCTCTGCCATGAAACCCCATTGGATGATCTTGGGCAATTCACATTGTCTTCGCATTGGAAAAAGACAATGGGAAATTTCCTTTTAAGAAATCTTGGCAAGAAAACCCCATGAGAGTTTCACCTTGTGGGTCTCCAGAAATGATAAGGTGAAGAAAACAATGGGGTGAAGAAAAGCAATCACAAGTAAACTGCTGTAATAGCATTTTGTTGTCAATAGTTAGGAAGTAAAGAGTTGTTCTTTACACACAAATTCTGAGAACAGTACTCACTTTTTGTTCATTTCAACAAATTGGCAATTACTTCTCAATATAAAGACTTGACTTATTTACAGATAAAAGCCTGGTTTGAAAATGAGAAAGAAAAATATAATGAGCTTTTGAATCAAGACCAACTTTCATGTGAATATGTGAAAAGGAAGCAGGAGGAATTCCTGGTATTTAATGAAAAAGTAGTGGTAAGTTGGAAATTCTTTGTTGCTTTCTGAAATTTTTTTAACATGTGGGGTGAAATTATGCTAGACATCACCTGCCATGCATTGTGTTAGACTCTGAAATCTTGGGTCCGAAATGGCCTAACCTTCAACAAAAAATAGCTGTTCCTTCTAGTTTTGAAGAAATTAGGAGGTATTCTTTAAGTAACCCTAGGTGGAATAAAAATATTAGAAAGTAGAATTGTAATGCAAACAAGAACAGAGGAATGCCAGTTACATAGAGCATGCAGGATGGGAAAGTAAATCTGTCAATGCTCTTGGCAATCTCTGGCTCTATACTGTTAAAATGGCATAGGAAGTGCACTTTTGCTGTGAAAGATAAAAAACAGTTTTTATGTTTCGTAATATATATGGTGATAGACCTTCAATGCTGGTTGTCACTGAATAGTTAATTTTATGCAAATGTAATAGGAGTATTTTAATTGATTACAGTTTTCATAAGTAGGAGACATCTGCAAAATGAGGGCATGTCATACTTGTGGTTGTGTGCTGAAATACAAAGAAATGTTATTACCTTGGCTCCCTCCCATAGAAATAGTTTGTGGCAGGAGGAGGGCTAAGAAAATTAAGTTTAGGGGGGTAAATTGTGCTAGGAAAATTAATTAACCATTATTATTGGTCTTTTTTAAGGTAGAAGAAAAATAAATTATCAGTTTTTGGTCTACTTTAGATTCGGTTTTGGTTATTTGGGGCACTGATTCAGAAAATTTCATTGGATAGATCACATCAGCTCTAGTTTCTGATGCCATCCAGTAGTCGCCATCTGCTTGCCTGTATTTAATAATATAGAACCGATGTGGTCTATCCAATCCAATTTTCTGAATCAGCACCCCAAATAACCCCAGGAACTGGCCTAAAAATTATGGTTGGGCTGTGTTATTATCCATGGATTTTGTTAATGCTCGTGTAAAAAAAAGAAAAGACAAGGAGGGGTGAGGATGAAAAAAATACAAAAAGAAGAGTGCGAGACCCAAGAAATTGTCCCTAATGGTCCTTCTCTCACCTCCTCGCCACGGGTGCATGGCCATGAGAAGGGGGTGTGGTCCATGGGGCGTTGCAATAAGTTACTGTTCCCCATTTCAAACTTCAAGAAAGGAGATTCTATCTGAACATTAGGAAGAACTTTCTGACTGTGAGTGCTGTTCAGCAGTGGAACTCTCTGCCCCGGAGTGTGGTGGAGGCTCCTTCTTTGGAGGCTTTTAAACAGAGGCTGGATGGCCATCTGTCAGGGGTGCTTTGAATGCAATATTCCTGCTTCTTGGCAGAATGGGGTTGGACTGGATGGCCCATGAGGTTTCTTCCAACTTTATGATTCTATGATTTTTGGTCAAAAACTATTTAGCAACTTGTGATCCCTTTATTTTATCAGTTTTAAATTTATTTTATGCAATGCTTTTGACGCAAGAATAAATAAATAAATAAAGGCTCTAAAGAAATATATTGCTTGTTTCAGCAATATTCCCAGAAAGGATTAAAATTAATAAGGGAGAATTCTTTGCTAAAATCTGATGAAGAATGCGAAGCTTTTGATAAGTATCTAAATAACATCACCATTCAAACACAGAAGAAGAGAGATGAGCTAGAGAAAATGATGCAGCTCTATCAATTTTATGAAAAGGTAAGACATGTTTTTCTTCTCTCTTCTGATTTGTTTCAGATTATATCATATTACAGCACTCTACTATGTTCAGCAAGATGTCTGCATCATTGTTCTGCTCTGAAACTGAAAGACTTATATATGTTATTACTTTTAATCAATCTCCCCATAGTTTTGGGTTGATAGTCCACCATTCTGGGAACTATCTACTCCAAAGATGAGTATGGGTCATAATCTGTCATTAAGGCCATTTCTGAGATCTCCAAGCACTTAAAAATTGTATTCCTAAAAGGTAACCCCTTACCCTCTGGCAATTTCACCATGGAGGGTGAGGTGGGGATAGGTTGTTTTCAGTACAGGCAAGACAACTGGGTTGTCACAAACCATGGCATAATTGCCCTTACATCACCCAAGTAGGTACAGAGGCCATTTGAGTTTATTTCTTTAAAGAACAAAAAAAAGTATATCTGAGTTTTGTAGCCCTCTGTGGTCCCAAAAGGCCACAATATCACCCTTTCTGAGGGTGATCCGTTTATTTTATCAGTTTTGAATTTATTTTATGCAATGCTTTTGACACTAAATAAATAAATAAATAAATAAAATCTCTAAAGAAATATATTGCTTGTTTCAGCAATATTCCCAGAAAGGATTAAAATTAATAAGGGAGAATTCTTTGCTAAAATCTGATGAAGAAAGCATGCACTTTCTGAGGTGGGCGTCCACACGTTCTCTCGGGACTAGCCTGAGAGAATGTGTGGAGGCCCTATCCCCCTCCCCTCAAATCCCCAGACCCCTTAGAAAACTAATAAAAACTTACGTTACCTCCAATAGAATCCTTGGTTGGCTCTCCCGGCGCGTAGAAATGACATGCCAAGAGAGCGATTTTCCTCCCTCCCTCTCCCCACTCTCCGGATGTTTCATTTCTACGTTCCAGGAGAGCCGGCCGAGGCTTCTAATGCAGGGTACATACGTTTTCATTAGTTTTCTAAGGGGTCTGGGGGTTTGAGGGGAGGGGGTAGGGCCTCCACACACTCTCTTGGGCTAGTTCCAAAATAACATTGTCTGGACAGCCCCTCCTTTATTGCAGGAGTTCCTGCAATAAAGGTCCTGTCTGGACGGGCCCTAAGACTGTCCTTTCCAAAAGGAAGTGGGGCAACTAGAGTTATCTATGAGAGTCAGTTTGCTGTAGTTATTGAGTATTGGGCAAAGGCTCCAGAAGACTGGGTCTGAGTCCTCTCTCTACTCTGGTGACCTTGGGCAGGTCACAAACTCTCAGCTTAAGGGAGTGAAATGTCTGATCCTATGAATAAACCTTGCAAATAACACCTTACAATAACATTGCCATAAATCAGAGTGGGCTTGAAAGCATGTAACAACAAAAGCAAGGAGTTCCCTAACAGACTTTTCTGTGTCTTCACAAAATTACAATTGTTGTGATTCTTTGGGTAAAACCATGAGAGTTTAAAATTTGTAGTAATTTTAATTTACTACTCTTTAGAAATCATGTTACAGAATATTTTCTTTGGTTTTTTTTTTTGTTTGTTTTTTTGGTCTTCTGCACACAATGATGTCCTATTTTTCTTTTGGAATTCTGTTCATGATACTCTCTGAGATATTCAGATGTTCTATCTGTTCTAAGTATTTTGTAAAAATTGAGATAAAATTTCTCACCAGTCATTGGCTGATGCATGTGCCCCCCCCCCCCCAAATAATAGATATTAAGGTCTCTGTATATTTTACTGTTTATTTTTTTGTTTGTTTTATTTAACATCCAGGCTGACAAGTGGATGGTTCATTGCAATGAGTATCTTAATCAGCTTTCAGCAGAAGCAAAATATTCTCAAACAACAATTCAGTCTTTGCAAGATTACCATCAAGAAGCTAAAAAAATATCTGCTGAAAACTTTCAGAAAGTCAGTGAGGTTTTAATTGCTTTTAATAAGAAAGAGTTTGAATTAAATCAATGGAATGCCTTATTTCGCAATTGTCAGCAAACGAAACACCGGTTAGAAGAAGAGCTTTCAAAAGTGATTCAAAGAGAAGCCACCCTTACTGTCCAGGACACTGGGCAAATGAGCAACCATACTCTGAGCAGCAAATCTGTTCAACACAGCCATTCTAGCCTTTCTTCTAGAAGTGCTGATGACTTCTGGGAGAGAACACCACCTAGCACATTTCAGCATGGCAGCCTGCCAGCAAGTACATCATCTTTGTTAAATTTGGAAGAGACTCAAAACACAGGTCTTTGTTTTCCAGTGAAACCTGCTGTACCACAAACACACACTCCACCGTTGGGTAGGTTTCAGAGGACTACTCACATTTCAGAGGACCTGGACAACATTTCAACCTGCTATTCAGAACCAACCCAGACATTCATGACTCGCCACAGAAAACATCCATTGAAGAAGATTATGAAGAAAACACAAAGCTTTGAGTTAACCCGACATGAGAGCAAGCACTACGAACTGCATCACCCTGGATACACTGGAGTTTATATCAGAGGACTAGAAATTGCTAGTAATGCTGCTGTAGAGAAGAGAAATACACAGCGGTCAAATATTAAAAGCCCCTTGACTAGTAAGAAACATAGTTTAGTACTACCATCAGAAATCTACCACACAGAAGATCAAGAAGAAAAGAAAAGAGGGGGAAGGTGAGAAAGATGATAATCATGAAAATTATTTTGGTAAACAGACAACAGTCTGAAAAGTGCTGAAAAGGTATTTTATGTAATGTTATTAGATAATTTAGTCAATTAACTGTCTTGCTTTTAATTACCCAGATTGATTAGGACTAATATTGCAGTATTTCTGTGCAGATCAACTTTTGGATGTTTTCAGGAGTAGTAATATTTACCCTTGGATGAAAGGAGACAAAAGGCTTATTTGTGTGTAATACTGAACTCTGTACTGACCAGCATAGTAGAGCCATCTTGAACAATTAAGTTGAAAATGATGCTGTTATTTTTTTGTCAAATTTAAGATTTATATGTATTAGTTGTAGTTCCCAACAAAAGTTGGATCAGTTAGCAGCACAAAATAAGTATTTAAGCTGAAATTGAGGCTTTATTTCACAGGTTCTGATATATTTAGGTTTATTTAAACTTGGGCTCCATCCATATTAATTGGTTTACTATGGATTAAAGTGTGCCCCCAGTGCCACAGTGGGTTAAACCCCTGTGCCGGGAGAGGCGGATGAGCTCCCTCTATCAACTCCAGCTCCTCATGTGGGGATATGAGAGAAGCCTCCCACAAGGATGATAAAAACATCAAATCATCCGGGCGTCCCCTGGGCAACGTCCTTGCAGACGGCCAATTATCTCACAGCAGAAGCGACTTGCAGTTTCTCAAGTCGCTCCTGACACCACGACAAAAAAACCAAAAAAAAAAAACGTGTGAATGCACTACACCAGTTGCTCTCAACCTGTGGGTCCCCAGATGTTTTGGCCTTCACCTCCTAGAAATACTGACAGCTGGTAAACTGGCTAGGATTTCTGGGAATTGTACGCCAAAACACCTGGGAACTTATAGGTTGAGAGCCACTGCATTATACTAATGCAACTGCTACATTGGATTAAATGGCAGTGCAGATGCAGCCTGAGTTTGTTGCCTGTGAAAAATGAGATTCTTCCTATTTTTTGTACTGGTCAGGGAATTTATTTTTTATCAGAAGGTGGTGGTAGTGACAGAAGTGGTCATAGTCATGGTTATAAACATTAGATGATATTAAATTTAATGTAGATTAGTTGTTAATCTCATAAATTCATAGAATAATAGAGTTGGGAAAGACCATGAGCTGGTGTTGTATCTATTAGTCATTTGTTTGAAACTAGAAAGAATTGAGTAGTAGTTACCATGTTATGGATGTCAGTGTTTTAGCTTCACAAACACAAAAGGAAAGGATGTGGTTGGTACTGCATTAAAATGTTGAAAAGATTCAGAGATAAACTTAATTCAATACAGAATTAAGAAGGTAATATGTAATCAGAAACATTTGAAATACTTCTGTTTCATTAATTAATCTGTTTACATCTGTTCATCTTGAGAGTAATCACTGCTTTTTGTATACCACTCTGCCTGAAGACTTAATTTTATTTAGTCTTATTCTTCTTAAATATGTTTTATTAGACCAAGCATTATATGCAAGACAGAAAGTTTCACATTGTTTCCATACTATACATAATTGTCATAGCCCTCCTTACTTGTCTTTTTCCTCCTTAGCTAAACAGTCCCACATATTGTAAATATTCCTATAAGTGAGTTACAGTTGAGTGTCCCTTTCTCGTGTCTTTTTGTGCTCTACAATGCAGATGCACTGATTGAGGTGGTACACAAAATTCTAAAGCATGATTACACCATCTATTTTTTGTAGAAAACCTTTGCGACAGGACTGCATTCTTTCCTAATAACTTCCTATATGGCAATCGAATTGTGTGTGCTGCAGTAGCTTCACACTGACATTTCCATCCATGAGATATTGCCATCAGTGTTCCTTTCCTGTTCAGTCACTGCCAGCTCCACAGACCTCTTCAGCATATAAGGGTTGTGAAGCTGGGGTCTATACTGACTCACATGCGTTTGTGAAGTGGATATCCCCTGGTTTTGAGACAATCTTCTGAGATTACGGATGTCATTTTTTTATTTAACAAGCTTAAATTGTCATAATCAGCAACTCTAGTTACTTCACTGTACACAGTGATTCCAGATAGTTGATGACCAAATCGTATCTATTTATTTATTTACTTTATTTATACCCCACCTTTCTTTCTGTGGGGAGAAATAACACTGGCCCCATTACATGTTCTTGAGATATTTATTTATTTATTTATTTATTTCAAATGTTTCAACCCCGCCCTTCTCTACCCCCGAAGGGGGACTCAGGGCAGCTTACAGCCAGCAACAATTAAATGCCCCACATATATAACAAATAAACAATGATTACATAATAAGTTAAAACATTAAAATTAGATTTAAAACCATTTAAAATAGTACAAATTGAATTAGTTGGCATGTCAAGTCCACGTTCTATGATCAACAACTTAATCAGAAGCATGTCCATAGTCCTTTTGCCATATTGTCAGCCTGCAATCCGAATGCCTGGTCCTATATTCCACTACTATAGGGGTGGACAGTTGTTATGGGCTAATTCTTCCCCCATGCCAAAATGACCATATATTTTAAGATCCAGTAAATAGAAGGCAACATTCACAGAACCATTCTCTTTTCATAGATGTCATATCCTGCTCTTCTTTCCTTATTCTTCCAACAAGGGTGCAAGGTCTCCATCCTTCAAAGTCAACTGCCACTTCCAAGATTTAACTACCTCAAGAGCCCCCACAGATATTTCTTCCCAAGGATTTGTTCCTATAACCTAGTTTGGAAGGGAAGACCGGCATCTCTCCATTAGTTTCCACTAAAACTCTCAACAGGTTAATCAACACGAGAGACTTGTTGCCCAACTTACTTGGTAGTTCCAGTCTGGACCAATAAGAGTAGTTCTGAATACAGTGTTTCAAAGTTGATTCTAGACCTTTCTTTGCTTCATGGTTCACCCATCCAAATTCTGACATGCCAACCTATCTGAGTCATGTACAGGCCCGTAGCCAGGATTTTGTTTCGGGGGGGGGGGGGGCTGAATTTTTTTCAGGGGGGGTTTCGGGGGGGGTGAGTTTCGGGGGGGCTGAGTCTGAGTGAAAGAGGGTCTAGCCTAGCAAACCTTTTGTATCATTACCCCAATACCCCCATGCATATGGGATATATTGAGTATGGTGATCAGATCATGATATGAATAAACATAACAGTTTAAATAATGCACCAATAAGGCCTTTTTGCGAACCACCATGAAAATTTCGGGGGGGGGGGCTGAAGCCCCCCGAGCCCCCCCCCCCCCCCCGGCTACATGCCTGGTCATGTAGATCTGTTTATAGACATTTTGGAATCTGTGGCATAGCAGGTGTTCTTCAAGTTACACAGTAGTCTTGCTGTAAAAAGCAGACCCATTCTGCAAGCATGGAACCCTTTATCACTAGTGGAGTTTTAATGTTTTCACCCATGGTGACTTCTTTTCTCGAGCGCGGAAAGAAAGATCATCATCATCATCATCATCATTTAATTACTTATTAATCGCCCTCCATCCAAGATGCTCTAGGTGATTTACAAGCTAAATTGTAAAGAATAAAAATACATACATACAGATATTGATAAAATTAACATAGATCAAAAGCTCTAGTAAAAATCCAGGTCTTAAGTGCTAAGGTAAAAGGCCCTAAATCACGCATGGCTCTCATATAGGACGGCAAGGAATTCCGTAAGGCAGGGGCAGAAATAGAAAAAGCTCTGCGTCTGGTCCTTTCCAAGTGCACTTCTCTAGGACCCGGTATATAAAGTAAGTCATGTTGGGATGGTCGTTGCGACCTCCGATGATGGGAGAATGAGAGAGGGTCCCTAAAATACGATGGACCCTGGCCGTAAAGAATTTTAAAGATCAGAACTAGCATCTTATATAGACCACAGTAATCAGTTGGGAGCCAATGCAAATGACGCAACACTGGTGTTATATGGCATTTCATGGGTGTTCTTGTGAGTAGCCTGGCTGCCGCATTCTGAACAATACGGAGCTTTCAGGTCGTAGACATCAGAAGGCCAACATACAGGGCATTGCAATAGTCCACCCTAGACGTAACTGTGGCATGGATGACTGTTGCCAGAGCCTCATCAGATAGGTAGGGTGCCAATTGCCTCGCTTGTCGTAGATGGAAAAAGGCCTGTTTGCTGGCAGTAGCGACCTGAGCTTCCATTGTCAGCTGCGAATACAAAACGACACCCAAGCTCTTAACAGTAGGCGAAGGAGATAGGGCAGCACCATCGAAGGTGGGTAGCAAATGGGTCAGACCAATTGAGCGGCCATGCCAGAGAATCTCAGTCTTTGCCGGGTTCACCTTCAGTCTACTAGCACGTAGCCAGTTCGACAGAGCCTCCAGACATAAGGTGAAATTGTCTGGTATTGGCGTTGCTCCAGGCTCCAAGCGCAGAAGGAGTTGGGTCTCGTCCGCATAATGATAGCAGTCTAGGCCGAAACTCCGAGCCAAACTAGCAAGGGGTCTAACATAGATGTTGAAGAGAAGAGGGGAGAGAATTGCACCTTGGGGTACCTTGTGCAAGATGCCTGTGTTTATATCTCTTTTTGCAATTATTGAGTGTTTACATCTACTCTTACTTCTTGGTTGTTTATGAAACTTTGGTAAGAAGCATGTGAAAATTGCTTTGAAAGGTCATGGCTAGTGGATCACTCCTGTCCACACCCCTATTGACTTGCTATCTGTGTTTAATGGAACAGGACCTTCAATAAGTAAAGTTGTTTCTTATTAATAAAACATTGAACAGGAACACCACATTCAAAATATTTCACAGGGTTCCTCCCCATTCTCCGCCATTATTTTATAAAAGGTTGAGCTCCTTGGTCATGGGCCCTCTTTCTGTGCATGTGCTGCAAAGTATCAAAAATAATCTGAAGTCCTTCATGGAACTGACACCTGATCTCTTGCTTCCTTCTGCTGTGTCTTGGCCATGTTCCTCAGTAAGGAAGCCACTTGGTCATAATTTTTCTTCCTTTTCCTTAGAATCATAGAATCAAAGAGTTGGAAGAGACCTCATGGGCCATCCAGTCCAACCCCCTGCCAAGAAGCAGGAATGTTGCATTCAAATCACCCCTGACAGATGGCCATCCAGCCTCTAGTCTTCTTCTCTTTAGTTTTAAGTATCCTCTTTCTTTACAGTTTCAGGGGGGTATCTACACTGCAGTTTGACATCACTTTAACTTTTAAGGCTAATCGCTGAGGAATCTTGGATTTATATTTGATGAGGGAACATCTCTTCTAAGATGATACTTATGCAAGTATGTGTGTATCGATCTATAAAAAAGCAAATATTATTTATTTATTTATTTATGACATTTATATGCCGCCCTTCTCGCCCCGAATGGGACTTAGAGCGGCTTACAAGTAATATACACTATAATAAATAAAATAAATACAATATCTTCCTGGACCCCTTTCTTTACTCTGGTCCCAGAGCAGCAGTTGGTGTTGGTGGGAGGGCTCCCAACCGATGACACTGAAGACAAGATGGCACTGTCTTTACTCTCTTTTTTATTATGCTGGATTATGAAATGTCTTTAGTAAATGTTGATGATTTAATGAAGCAAGTTTGCTTTAACTTGTTGACAAAGTACTAAGGAATGCTTGGGCTTTCTTGAATTGCAGTCCCTCCCTCTGGAAGATATTCACATTCACACATGCATTCAGTATACCACACAGCAAACAAAATTGTTTGCAGAGGGCTTTAGTATTCAGATGGCGGAAGGGGTAAATAACCTTTCTAAATATGCCATTCTTTGAATCCTTGCCTTCATCTATTTGATTGCTTTCACTGTTTGATTTTTTATCCTGCATTCTCTGGTGTTGTTTTTTTTTAAGGAATTCCTTATGCACTAAATTTTTTAATTGTATTTATGACATTGTAAGCATTGAATTTTGCCCTGTTAACTGCCTTGTCATCTATGGGCTGAGAAAGGTGGTATACAAATACAGTAAGTAAGTAAGTAAGTAAGTAAGTAAATAAATAATGGTATTGTTCATGGGGAAGAAGCTGTGTGTTATCTGAGGAATGTTAACATTGGAAAGGTCAGGTAATGCAGATGTAACAGGAAACTTTCCTATACTATGTGGAAAGTGTTTCAATAGCAAAAAATATTGTAGGTTCTTGTGGGTTTTTTCAGGCTATAGGGCCATGTTCTAGAGGCATTTCTCCTGACGTTTCGCCTGCATCTATGGCAAGCATCCTCAGAGGTAGGGAGGATGCTTGCTATAGATGCAGGTGAAACGTCAGGAGAAATACCTCTAGAACATGGCCCTATAGCCCGAAAAAACCCACAAGAACCTAGTGATTCCAGCCATGAAAGCCTTCGACAATACAAAAAATATTGTAGCTTCCTGATTAATCTTGTTGCACAGCTTCTGTGTTCAGCTGGCAGTAAGCCATGGTTAATCAATGCATACTTGCTTTTACCAAAGGGAGATGTAGAGTGAGAAACTAGCTGCATCAGAAATTTGCAAGAGCTGGATCTGATTGCTATTTTTGAAAATCATAGCAAAGTCCGTTGGGCATGTATTTAATGCAGTCAACACACTGCATTAACAGTTTAGAAAATAACTGGAGAACCATTTTTAAACAAACTTTAACTGTTTACTCTTCTTCAAATCTTGGATGAGAATCATATACAAATAATTTCAGATGAGCGCTGTTTTAATTTGAGTCTTGTTTGTTTTATGCCTATTTGTTTTGTTGAATTGTATTTTGTATTATGTTTTATTTTATGTTTTGTTTTTTGGCACTTTGTAGCAGAGTAGCATAGCGCAAGGGCAGATGTCTTCACTGTGTCTGGTTGTGATCCCCAGGTTGTGCCAGTCAGCTTTCGTATGATATCGTTTCTAGCACCCACTTTTTGCTTTATGTTCAGACAGTGCTTCTTGTAGGTCAGAGCACGGTCCAAAGTGACTCACAGGTATTTGGGTGTGCTGCAAGGCTCCAGTGGGATTCCTACCTAGGTAATCCTCAGAGCTCGGGATGCTTGTCTGTTCTTAATGTGAAAGACACATGTCTGTGTTTTAGATGGATTAGGGATCAGCTGGTTTTCCCTGTAATAGGCAGTAAGAGTACCTAGAGCTTCAGAGAGCTTCTGTTCAATCATCTCAAAGCTCCCTGCTTGAGCAGTAATGGCACGATCGTCAGCATAGATGAAACTCTCTGTCCCTTCTGGCAGTGGCTGGTCATTTGTGTAAATGTTGAACATTGATGGAGCAAGCACGCTCCCCTGAGGCAGGCTGTTCTTCTGTTTCCGCCATCTGCTTCTCTGGCCCTGGAACCCAACAAAAAAGCTCCTGTTTTGTAGCAAGTTTCCTATGAGGCGGGTGAGATGGTAGTCCTTTGTGATATTATACATTTTTCTCAGGAGGAGGTGGTAGTTTACAGAATCATAAGCCGCTGACAGGTCTATGAAGACAGCTCCTGTGATCTGCTGCCTTTCAAAGCCATCTTCTATGTGCTGAGTCGGGTTCAGCAGTTGCGATGTGCAGCTTTTGCCTTTCCTGAAGCCAGCTTGCGGTGGAATCAGAGAGGGGTCTATTTTTTCCATAATTCTATGCAAAATAAGTCTCTCCAGAACTTTGTAGAGGTGGCACAACAGGGTGATTGTCTGTAACTTTTTGGATCATTATGGTCTTTGCCTGCCTTCAAGATGGTGATGACTCTTGCTTTCCTCCAGATTTTGGAGATCTGACAGGATTGGTCGGTGCTGTGTGTTTGGTATTGGTGGTCCCACTGATTTAGTGCATTGCTGTACAATGCTGTCGCTCACAAATAAGAGGTCTGGGTTATATCCTCGGTGCCATCCCCCGCTGTTGTAGGATGGTGGGTGCTTACTATCATGAATGAGTGATAGTTTGTGCAGTTCAGACCAGGAGAGGACAGCCTCTCCATTTTTGTTCTCTTGAGCATAGCCCCATACATGGCTATGGCTGTTGAAGTCACCAACTTTGGTGCCTATCAAAGTTCTCGGGGGAGGAGAAACAGAACTCTTCATTTGGGGGCTTGTACACAGAGGTGATGGTGATGTTATTAAGCTCTACTGTTATAACCCCGATATTGTGTTCTTCAGTGTTGTGGGCACTGCTGAGTTGGAGGCTTGATTTGACAAAGACAGCGCTTCCATACTGCGCATGTGGTCTTTCCGCTACTAAGACCATTCCTGGAACTTTTGGTCGTTTCTTTTGTTCGTCCGTGTGTGTTTCTTGGACACACAGCACATCGCATTTCTTATCTTGGCACAGTTCATAGAGCAGTTGTTCTTTGGCAGCTGACATGCCTTCAATGTTAATTGAGATTATTGTCATGGTTGGTCCTGAAAAGGTCTGTTGGTTGTTTTGCTTGCTTGCTTGCTTGCATGCTGCAAGTCGCTTCTGGTTGCTTCTGAAGTGAGAGAATCAGCCGTCTACGAAGACATTGCCCAGGGGACGCCCGGATGTCTTGCAATCCTGCGAGGAGGCTTCTCTCATGTCCCCCATAATGGTGTTTTGCCATGATTGACTCATTTACTAGTATATGATGGAGCCATATATGTTTGCATTGCTGTGCTTTCGGTTTGAAGGTAATGTTTTGGGTTAAAAGTAAAATTCTTGTATTGGAGGAGGGACAATGTAGTTAATGCAGTTGGGATAAAAAGCCTGGTGTCTTCCAGATGAATCAGACTTGTTGTTGTTGTTCATTTGTTAAGTCGTTTCTGACTCTTCGTGACTTCATGGACAGTCCATGCCAGAGCTCCCTGTTGGTCATCACCACCCCCAGCTCCTTCAAGGTCAATCCAGTCACTTCAAGGATACCATCCATCCATTTTGCCATTGGTCAGCCCCTCTTCCTTTTTCCTTCCATTTTCCCCAGCATCATACTCTTCTCTAAGCTTTCCTTTCTTCTCATGATGTGGCCAAAATACTTCATCTTGGCCTCTGTTACTAAGAGGACAGTTCCATCTTGTCAGACCACAGGTCCTATAACCCCCAGGCAGTACAATAATACTTAGGAATTATGAAAATTATAATCTAGGCCATCTAGAAAGATAGTAGAGTGCCTGCCCTATCTATGTCATAAAGATACTTGTATATTTATTTCACTAAAATGTTGATAAATTAGTAATCCTTTTTTACCAAGTCCCTATTAATTTGAAAATCACTGTTGATCTGGCTTTTATGTAGTTCCTCTGTTTCTTTCAGCAGTAAACTAAACCACATAATGGATGAGATGATCACGACAGAAAGGGAGTATGTCAGATCCTTAGGCTATATCATTGACAGCTATTTTCCTGAATTGGAAAGGGGTGACTTACCTCAGGATTTACGTGGGAAGCGGAACATCATCTTTGGAAATTTAGAAAAACTCTATGACTTCCATTGTCAGTATTTCCTGAAAGAATTGGAACACTGCGTAGACTTTCCCTTGCGGGTTAGCCACTGTTTCCTCAGACATGTAAGTCTCATTTTCGAAGAAATTGATTGTTATTGGTTTCAGTTACCTCTTAATTGGTCACAAAATTGTATCAATATAATGTCTCTTCTTTGCTCATGAAGAGTAGACTACTATTGTTCGAGGGATACTATTTCTGGATATTACATGTTGAATTGGCATTAATTCTCCAAAGGCAGAGAATGAACTCCAACCTTGGAGGAGGATGACATTTATCCTATCCTCATTTCCCATCACACAGAGAGCTTTTTAACTTGTAATTCCCCAACAGTTATGGGACATATAAATGGTTAGTGTACTGGAGGTATGGCATGAATGGCTCAGATTGTTCTGGATATATAGTGTTTGGTGCTTTGACCCACCCCTAATATGAAAAACATTTAGACCAGGGATTTCTAAACTTACTTAACCTTATTTTTTCAAAATAAAAATTACTCAGCGCAAATTAAATGTGATGCCTATATTCTTTATTTCAGGAAGAACAGTTTGGGATGTATGCATTATATAGCAAAAACAAGCCCAAGTCAGATACTTTACTTATAAGCCATGGAAATGCCTTCTTTAAGGTAACTTCCATTCAGCATTTTGTCTTTAAGTGTCTCTATAATTTTGTTGGCTTTTTTGTCTTTGGTTGTTAATCGTTATGTGCTGTTCCCTGGATATTCCCACAGAATAAGCAACAGGAATTGGGTGATAAAATGAATTTGGCTTCTTACCTGCTGAAACCCATACAGAGAATGAGCAAATATGCGCTCCTTTTGAAAGATCTCATCAAGGAATGTTCAGCAGGACAAGAGCAAGAGCTTGAAGCTCTCTGTGCAGCTGAAGAAATGGTCAAATTTCAGCTTCGCCATGGGAATGATTTGCTTGCAATGGATGCCATCAGAGGATGTGATGTAAGTGCAGTCACCTCCCAACTTCCCGTCATGCCTTTCAAGTAACATTAAGTTTTAAACTACATTTGCCTAGTGCAGCATAGGGCAAAGCTGCGAACTAGAAAGGGCTCCATTCATATTTTGCCTTACTCATTCAGCTAGTATTACACAAGTTAGTCTTTTTCAGCCCCATTTCTGCATCAACCATACAGAAATGGTTGACATACAGAAATACAAGTAATGCCTATCTTATGTTTGCTATTAAGAAGGAAACGACAACCGAAAACCCCTTTGCTGAATATATGTGTGAGTGAGTGTAGTATGTCATCAGTTGGGGGCCCCTCCCCCCAGCACCAACTGCCGCTCTGGGCCAGAGTGAAGAGAGAAGGAGCCAGGGGACAGTTCTATCTTGTCTCCTGCATATGTCATCAGTTGGGGGGCCCTCCCCCCAGCACCAACTGCTGCTCTGGGTCAGAGTGAAGAGGAGGGGGCAAAAGACAGTTTCATCTTGTCTCCTGCATATGTCATCAGTTGGGGACCCCTCCCCCAGCACCAACTGCCGCTCTGGGCCAGAGTGAAGAGAAAGGAGACCAGGGGACAGTTCCATCTTGTCTCCTGCATATGTCATCAGTTGGGGGTACCCCCCCCCCAGCACCAATAACTGCACTGGGCCAGAGTGAAGAGAGAAGGAGCCAGGGGACAGTTCTATCTTGTCTCTTGCATATGTCATCAGTGGGGACCCCTCCCCCCAGCACCAACTGCCGCTCTGGGTCAGAGTGAAGGGGGGGGGCAGAAGACAGTTCCATCTTGTCTCCTGCATATGTCATCAGTTGGGGACCCCTCCCCCAGCACCAGCTGCCGCTCTGGGCCAGAGTGAAGAGAAAGGAGACCAGGGGACAGTTCCATCTTGTCTCCTGTGCTATGCTAATAATATAATGTAATATAATGTATATACATAGAATATTTATAATATTACTAGCCATCCCCTGCCACGTGTTGCTGTGGCCCAGCCTGTGTATATGTGTTTTGTGTGTATATATATATGTGTGTGTGTATGTTTATATATGTGGTTTTGCGCATGTGTTGTAATGTATATTTTAATTTTTGACTTTTTAAGTCCAATCTGCTGGGTTTTTTTCAGTGTTTTTATGAGTGATGGTCACTCGTTGGCCTGACAGGTGTCTTGTGTCCAAATTTGGTGATAGTTCATCCAGTGGTTTTTGAGTTCTGTTAATCCCACAAACAAACATTACATTTTTATTTATATAGATAATGTAATGCAATGTAATACTAATAATAATATGATATTATATATTTATGTTATATGTAATATTACTAGTAATATTACAATATAATGGTAGTACAATATAGTAATATTTAATACTTATTTATTTATATATCCACAGATATTTATATATCCACAGATATATAAACCCATTTTTCCTAGTCCCAACAGACCTCATTACCTCTGAGGATGCTTGCCATAGATACAGGCGAAACGTAAGGAGAAAAATTGCCTCCAGAACATGGCGATACAGCCCGGAAAAACCTACAACCCAATATTTAATACTGATATTGTACTATGCTAATAATACAATATATTGTATGCACATATATCTTGTAAGCCGCTCTGAGTCTCCTTCGGGGTGAGAAGGGCGGCATATAAATGTCGTAAATAAATAAATAATAAATAAATAAATAGATTTCTCACTGTATACTTACTCACTTCTGGCTCTGCCCACCCATACTACATGGGTTAGAGAGGGAATGAAAGCTGGCTCACCAAGCTGCAGGAGGTCAAGGTACCTTTGCTCACATTGCACCTCTCGTTTAGCAAGCAGAGCCAGAATCCAGAAGACAAATTATATTAGGACTGTTGCCAAGCTCCTTTATGTTTATTTAGACTATAGAGGGCTTAGTGAAGATGATCAAGGCCCTTCGCCATCTGAAAGAACATGCCCCAAACTTTGCACTGAACCCTGCTGTTTGAACTCCAACATTCAAAAAGACCATATGAAATAGGAGTAGGAATTGTGCGGCCCTTCAGATGTTGTTGAACCACAGTTCCCAGAATTCCACATAATTATTTATGCTGTCTAGGATTCAACAACATCCAGAGATCTTCCAAAATCCACCCCTAGTCTAACACCATAGGTAAGTTGGCACACCTCTACTGTCATGGACTCTGCCTCACAGAAACTCAAACAGCTCTTGTCACAAATGTTAGCTTGTGTAGTGCCAGAATAGACAATGATTTTATATGAGAGTGTGTGTGAAGAAGACTTGGAACCGGCGCATGTGTTGAGGGCACACTCTTGAAGAGGGCACCTATATTTCCTCTTCATCTATGTCTTCTTGAGGTTTGCAGTTAATGGCACTCATTACTTAACAAGTGCACATAAAATCTGGTTATGAAAATAGATACTTTATATAAAATGCTGCAGAGCACTTCTTTTGTGTGAGTCTTTAAGAATGAAAGTGGATATCTTTTGCTCAAGGATTTAGATTGTTGCTGCTGTTGGCAAGGCTTAAAATAGCTGTGTCCAGAGATCACCAACAGGATTTTCTTTCTGAAACTGCACAAAGTATAGAAAATGGCTCTCAGAGAAATTTGCATATAAGCAAAGTTAGCAAAGATATTGCAAAACAAGACTTTTAAGTAGTCACGTATTATCCATTTGCTCTGCATGCCCACACAGAATGGTCTTTTCATGGGCTGTTGATCTATTTTAACTAATTAGTAGCTGTCCCCTGCCACGTGTTGCTGTGGCCCAGTCTGCATATATGTGTGTGTATATGTGTATTGTGTATATGTGTGTGCATGTCTATATGCATATTTGTGTGTATATATGTATGTATGCATGTGTCTATTTGTGTGTGTTAATGTGTATATGTATATATGTGTGTTTGTATATGTATGTGTGTGTATATTTATGTGTGCTTGTGTATATATATACATGTGTGTATATATGAGGTCATTTGTATATGTATATGAGTGTATATATGAGTATATATGAGTATATATGGTCTATTTTGGAGGATTTTAAATCTGTTCGGGGGGGGGGGGTGTTTTTAGGGGTGATGAACACTCGTTGGCCTGATAGGTGTATTGTGTTCAAATTTGGTGTCAATTCATCCAGTGGTTTTTGAGTTATGTTAATCCCACAAACGAACATTACATTTTTATTTATATAGATTACAGGAGTGTTAGGATAGGGATTTGTGGTTATTGTGTCTTTGTATACTTGTCTTTTGTCTTTTACTGTTTATATGGTCCGAGGAGTAATCAATAAATAAACCCTATCTATCTATCTATCTATCTATCTATCTATCTATCTATCTATCTATTCTTCCAATACATAATAATAATTTTATTTTTTTCTAATTTTCAGGAAATTTTATTTAATTCATATTGTTAAAAGAATAATCTATTCTCAGACCTAATAAAATCAACTCACCTTTTTATTTGGGAAATTTTATTATTTTGCTCTCATCAGGTCAATCTGAAAGAACAAGGACAGCTGAGATGTCAAGATGAGTTTACTGTGTACTGTGGCAGAAAGAAGTATTTGAGGCATCTCTTCCTTTTTGAAGACCTCGTCTTGTTTAGTAAAACGAAAAAGATTGATGGAGGTTATGACATTTACATGTACAAACAGTCATTTAAGGTAAATCCATCTTTCAAGCTTGAAAAGTTATGATGAAAGCACATGGTACACTTGAATCTAAGCAATTCTAAATTTTATCAGAACACCACATTTACACAATTTTGAGAAGAAATATGAGATATGAAGGCATTTAGATTCATCAGTGTAGTTTTAAAACATATTTTATTATGTTATAAACACAAATCAATAGGCCAAATTCCAAGTGTTACACATATACATCCTAAGTAATTCAACAAATATTAAAGACATTTTGCTAATTTACACTGGTGTATATTACATTATAAAAAAACAGGACTGCCACATTCACATTAAGTAGAAACAACTGGTTCTTCTCTTGAAATATAAAACAAAGTCTTCGTATGAGTAAATGTCCTGTTCTTTATTACATATGAGTAGACTCCAGTAGTCACATGAGTTGACTCCAACCTGCAACCGGTTTCGACTCACAAGAGCCTTCATCAGGCGGTTGGGTCTACAAACAACACATATCATGAATACACACATACAGTTGAACAATTTGTTATATCAAGTTTGTAAGAATATATACAGACACCCTAATTACTCAAATTATCAAAAAAAGCATGCAATAAAATTTCAACAGCCATTTTTGAAAGAAGCCATAGGGGTAGTTGTAGCACAAAGAAATGTGTAACTGCTTTCCTGGTAATCTTTCTTTTCTCCAAGCATGTCAACTTCCACCCTGCCCAGCATCATTTTAATTATTGTATTGGTAATGTAAACACACACATTTGGAATGCTATATATGCAAAAGCTCCTTGGGAGAACAATTTGGGGCAAAGCAATGGCGAATGGGAATGAAGTACAGTTGCCCCTTCACTTTCATGGTGGTTAAGGGCACAGCTCTCCTGGGAAAATGGAAAAAAAACTATGATTATCTCTAGTGGAGTTGGGAATAGGGTGCCACCACTGTGGTTCCTGGTGGAGAAGGTGGCCTCACGTGCTAATTCACTTATCCTGCAAAAGTTGGCTGCTTTTCCCCTTCCTACATGGCTCATCCCTCTTTCATCTGGGCAAAGGAAAGGAGATATGCAGCAAGCTGGAAGAAGACAAAGGTCTAGCTCAGTCGGATTTGGTGGTTCCTCCTCCTCCTATGTGCTGTATATCCCTGTTCTGCCGAATACTCCTCTACCTCTACCTGGGTGGAATGGATATTCACGACACACAGGAAGAGGAGCTGGATTCATGGGATAGGTGAAAGGTGAAATATTGTGGTGCCTGCTCGTCTCTTTACCTCCATACTGTCTTATTTTGCCTCAGAAACAGCCTTACAACAAGAGTTAAAGCAACTTTTTTTAAAAAAAGGTTTACGCATTGAGTCGCCTTTCTGGGCTGAAAAATGCGGTATAGAAATAAAGCAAATAAAATAAATAAATAAATAAATTTCCTTCAGTAAAATGACAATGTAACAAACAGTAGCGAGGAAACAGAAGGTAAATCTCAGAAGCGAAGCAAAAAGTCTCACATCAGACATGAAACAAGAGTCTTTTGCAAAAAAAATTTAGAAGGCACTTCGCAGACGCTGGAGCTGCAAGCAAGGAAACCGGATCACAGAAGCACTAAGTAGAATGGTTGCTGCCAGCATTAACCACTTGCTTTGCTGCTGATTTATAGCCCCCAGCTCCCAGCACAGGTATTCCTAGGGCGAGGTCTGATTGCTCAGCGTCCTTGGCAGCAGTTCTAGCTAAAATTTTCCTTTCTTTTGCCCTTCAGCATTCCTGAAATGTAGAAACTGTCAGAATGTTTTCCTCACCCTCTTCTTCGTCCTCAACACTTAACCCCAAATCCACAACTCCTACCTCTTCAGCCTCCTGTTCTACCTCCTCTTCAAAAGAACAACACATGCTTCAAGTCTTTGTTTCCTCTGGGAAAGGAAGTGAGATTCCAGATGGAACAGAGACTTGTTTCCCAAAGATCCCCCTCACTTCTTGAAGATGGGCTGCTATGTGAAGAGAGGTTGAGGTGTTTCAAACTTGCGAATAATCAAAACCCTGAATGGAAAATCTGTAAAAAGTGAAAGGCCTACTGTAATAATCTCCATGCCTCCAAATCAGTCTTTCCTAAATGAGCTTCTTAGTTTTAAAGAGAAAATAGGAATCCAAATTATTTGACAAGCATCTACTTTTACCTATGTAATTGTACTTGGTATCAGGTTTTATTGGAAAATGGAGGGACTTCAGATAGGTGAAAGTTGAGAAACTGGAAAGGTAGCAGGAATCCCACAGAAGTTACTTGCTCAAAATTATCCTTCTATGGTTGAAAATCAATATCAACACAATTTTGCAGCTGTCAACAGAGCGTACCACATACATCTTAGCAAAACTAACATGTTTCTTTCTACTGAACTTTGCTGAGCTCTACTAATTTATTTTTTGCTTCACATTTGCTGGTAGACAGCTGAGATTGGAATGACAGAGAATGTTGGCGATAGTGGATTGAGATTTGAAATCTGGTTTCGAAGGAGAAGAAAATCCCAGGACACCTACATCCTTCAGGCTAACTCAACAGAAATAAAAAATGCATGGACCGATATCATAGGAAAGATTCTTTGGAGACAAGCCTTGAGAAACCGAGGTATGTCTAGTCCACTGTATAATGTACAATGAATGCAATGCTTATTAGACAGTTCTTTTTGGATCTATAGAAAAGATCCCCAAAAAACACCTTCTGTTTTAGTTAGGGTTGCTATGAAGATAGCTTTCAGGCAGTGTTCTCAAAGTAGTTCTATTATCTGTATCAAAAGTCAAAACAGCTTGATCTGATTTCTTAATGATTTCTGTTAATTCCTCAGTTGCAAGTAATAACCAGATACTGAATTATTTTTTAAACCTTGCACAATCACATAGTTGGATTTCTTTTTCCCTGTTAGCATATGTGGTTTTCATCTTGAAAATACTCTATAGCATTGGTGGGTAAGCTGCAGCCCACAGGCCACATGCAGCTTCCAAGTCTATTTAGGGGTGGTTTCTAGTCACTGGCAGAGCTGTGTGTTGCCCTTAGAATGGTGAAGGAGTGATTCTCCTGTCCAGACCATCCAATTACTAGTGCTCACTTATGAATTGCTTTGGAATGTCATTATACTAATTTTTAAAAAAGTTCATTTCCAAGTTTTAGCCCCATTTCACCTCCAGTTCTACTCCAAAGGGATGTTATTAGGAGGATCAAGCCCAGTTGCATGACTAGATGTTTCCTCATATGATGTTGGATTTCAGAATCATTTTGCATCATGCGACGAGACCTTCAATCCGTTTGTGTCATTGCCGTCTCTTAGAAGATACACTTATGGCAAATTTTCCATTCTCATTAGAATATAAAACAAAATCAAAACAAGAATAAATACTTCCCAAAATTGTCTCCGTGTGGCATAAATAGCCATCAGTGTTCACAACTGGAACCCGATTTGTAATTTTTTTCTCCTTTGATTCTTATTTACATTGCATACATTATAACCCTTGAGCTATGATTTTAATTTCATTAATATAGAGTATCCAGTCCTTAAAAACTATTTAATCATTATTTCTTCTACTAGCCGTCCCCTGCCACACATTGCTGTGGCCCACATGGGGGTTCTGTGTGGGAGGTTTGGCCCAATTCTATCGTTGGTGGGGTTCAGAATGCTCTGTGATTGGTGAACTACAAATCCCAGCAACTACAACTCCCAAATGTCAAGATTCTATTTTCCCCAAACTCCACCAGTGTTCACATTTGGGCATATTGAATATTTGTGTAGAGTTTGGTCCAGATCAATCATTGTTTGAGTCCACAGTGCTCTCTGGATGTAAGTGAACTACAACTCCAAAACCAAAGGACACTGCCCACCAAACCCTTCCAGTATTTTCTGTTGGTCATGGGAGAACTGTGTGCCAAGTTTTGTTCAATTCCATCGTTGGTGGGATTCTGAATGCTCTTTGAATGTAGGTGAACTATAAATGCCAGCAACTACATCTCCCAAATGACAAAATCAATTTTTTGAGTGAAGGACATACATTGGGTTGTTAGGTGTCCTGTGTCCAAATTTGGTGTCAATTCATCCAGTGGTTTTTGAGTTCTGTTAATCCCACAAATGAACATTACATTTTTATTTATATAGATGATTTTCATGGTTTGTTTCAGAACTCCGAATGCAAGAAATGGTGTCTATGGGCATAGGAAATAAACCTTTCATGGACATCAAGCCAAGTGAGGCAGCTATAAGTGATCATGCTATAGACTTCATCATGAAGAGAACAGGTAGTGTTTGGTACTTACTCTAGTTTCTTTGGTGACTTAGCAGCACCTGGCTCAGTTTTCCAACCAAAGTCTTTCCCAAGCCCTTTTTAGACAACAGGGGACTGTGCTTGAGTTCTTGGTGTGTAAAGCAAATGAAGCGCATGGTAGCTGTCAGTGAAGTAATGAATCTGTTATGCATTTTAGTTCAAACATTTAAAGAACTATCAAAGTGGTAACCCTTCCCCCAAAAAAGTACAGCACCCTGGATGGCTGATTAACAGTTCAGATGAAACTCTCCCAGTGCCACAGGATCCACCAAGTGCTATTGGCCTGCAGCCTTTCTCTGTCATTGTCTTCTTGTCTCAGGCATTTCCCATTTCTGATTTTGGGCATTTTTTTTCTTTCAGCCAAAGGAAGGCAATGGTACTTTAATAATCAGCTTGAGGGAGATTTTTTAAAAAATATATCTTTATTGACAGTTTTTTTATATTACATCATACATCAGGCGTTACTTACTATTATAAGGAAGGGGTGGGGGGGTTGGGGGGTGAACTGGAGTGGGAGTGTGTGGAAGGGATGAGAGAGGGGAGGGATGAGAGAGGTGAATCCACTTAAAAAACAAAGTTGACTTCCAATCTAGATTGCGGGGCTATCAAGTTCCTGCCGTTGTTGTGTTTCTTCTTTTCATTGTCACCTTCGCTTCACTATTCTGGTAGGGATATGTTTTTCCATTCTTTTAGAAACTTCCTTAGCGGGTGCCAATCTATCTTCTTTTTCTTGCTCTTGTCAAATACTAGGTTTGCTAGAGTGTCAGATTCCATCAGATCTCTGACCTTGAGTAGCCAGGTTTTTATTGTGGGTAGTTCTTTCTTTTTCCACATACTTGCAATCAGCATTCTTGCTGCAGCCGTCAGATGGGAAAGTAGCTTGTCTTTGTTTTTGTCCAAGTTAAAGTCCATCAGATGGAGGAGGTGATACTCCGGTTTGAGTTCGAATTTGATCTGTAGAATTCTTTGTGTTTGCTTGTGTATCTTGAGCCAAAAACTCTTTACTCTTTTGCACTGCCACCAAACGTGGAAGTAGGAACCTAGTTGGTTGCCGCACTCCCAACAGTTTTTACGGAGTGATGTGCCAGCGAAAAAACATTTTTTTCCAGTTTTCCGTTATATTGGCTGGCTTGGCATATTTAATTTTTCCCCTCCAGATGTTTTCCCATTCTCTCAGTAGGATGGAGTGCCCGAAATCCGTGGCCCACTTGTTGTCTTTGATTAACTCTGTCTCTGTATTCCATTCAAGCAGCTTCTGATACAATGCTTTTATTATTTTCTTTTCTTTTTTCATTATCCGGTCCCAGGTTGTGTCTTGGAGGGCAAAGCCCTTTTTTTTTTGTCTTCCTTATAGCTTTCTTTTACTTGAATGTAGTGAAACCACGATAGGTTCATCTCTAGTTTTCTTAGTTGCTCCAGAGACTTTAAATTCCATTGGTCTTCTTTTTTCTCTAAGAGCTCTCTATAGGTGTACCACTTTTCACTTGGGACTTCTCTTTTGTGAAATGCTTCCGTGGGGGAGAACCGGATGGGTGTTTTATCATAGAAGTTTCTTTTGTATTTCTCCCACACTTTCAGGAGGGCGGCCCTGACATAGTGGTTGGTGAAGTTCTTTTCAATTTTCGCCTTGCCAAGCCATAAGTAGGCGTGCCAGCCCCTCCTGATGTCAAAGCCTTCCAAACTTAGCAATTTCCTCTTTGTGAGGGTTGGCCAGTCCCTAACCCAGGATAGGGCACATGCATCGTAATATAGTTGAAGGCTGAATAATCAGCTTGTAATTTTCAGATGTTTCAACAGTTTTTTTTTAATTTAAACTGACTTGTTTTAATAATAGTATGTTTAATTCCGCTTTCATTATTTATATTTGTGAATATTGTTTTTAAGGTTGCAAGCCACTTTGGATCTTGATCTAGAGAGGAAAGTGGGATACAAAAAAATATAATAAATAAAATAAAATAAAATAAATGCATTTGTAATTTTCATTACAAATCCTTATTATAGCTACACTTTTTTGTATTTGCAAATAGAAAAAAAACCTTTACACTTTTTATAAGCAAGTATTCATCAACCTGTACTTCAGAATTAGTCTTTCAGCCACACTAATGCACATTTACTTTGTCTTTTGAATATTCTAAGAGTCGTCAGAAAGATTTTTCTTTGTCTCACCAGAATCAAGGACTCGTGCCTCTATAGCCGTTTCTTCATTTGACCACTCCACCCCATTTAAGAGGCCTCATTCCACGATCTCAAACAGCAGTACATCTTCCTCCAGCAGTCAGTCCTCCTCTTCCATCTTGGGGTCACTCAACCTGCATGTATATTCTGCCGCATCTCATCTTGGCTTAGTACGGCCACCAATCAACCACTGGTCATATGATGTCAGAACCTGTATTGAAGAAGATGAGTTGGAACAAGAAGTTGGAAGCCAGCCCTCAGTGGGTAAGTGCGTTATAGTGCCTGCATTTGAGAAGACCAGGATGTAAATAAAAACTCAGTTCACCAAATAAAGAAGAATCGGTATGTCATACTATGGCAGCATTTTTGATAGTGTCTTCAGATTATATCACTAATCGCTCTGACCAATTGCTTGTTGAGTTTTAATAGTTTTGCTCTGAGTAATTACAATTCTAAAAATATAGTATACAATTAGAAGGCATTTTGCAAACACATGGCAATGAAATGGTAAAGAAAAAAGGTATAATTTATTTGCCCTTGTTATTTAATTGCGCCACATACTGCATTAGTCCACTGGTTTTAAACTTTCTGTTATTGAAGAAATCCTTACTGTATCAGAGGAAGTCTGCAGAAGAAGCCCACCATGTGCTATGACCTTTAGCCAATTCTGGGTGTATCTAGACCAGTGATTTCCAACCTATGGGTCATAATCCCATATTGGGTCACAAAGAGTTTTCTGTGGGGTTGCTGGGCAGTGATGAGCTATGAAAAAATTTAAAAGGGAAAAAGTCACATCATCCAAATGAGACTATTCTTGTGCTTTGAATTTTACTTTCTTTGTTTCTACATATCTTATTTTATTTATTTACGACATTTATATACATCCTTCTCACCCCGAAGGGGACTCAGAGCGGCTTACAAGTAAAAAGTAAATACAATATATTATATTATTATCATAGCACAATATTAATATTATATATTACATTGTATTATAACATTATACTGTAATATTATTAGTAATATTACATTTAATATAAAATATATAATTATAATATCATATTATTATTAGTAGTAGTATATTCTATTACATTATAATATTATCAATATTATATGTATATATTATATTATATTATATTAATTATATTATATTAATTATATTATATTATATTATATTATATTATATTATATTATATTATATTATATTATATTATATTATATTATATTATAAGCACAGTGCAGAAGACAAGATGGAACTGCCTTCCTGGCCCCTCTCTTCACTCTGATCTCAGAGCAGTGGTTGGTGCTTGGGGGGGGGGGGGCTCCCAACTGATGATACTGGAGCAAATTTTCAACACTCCTTCAACTGAAAACCAAAACACGAAACAGATTAAATGTTGAGAATGACATAACGTCATTAACAAAAACTCAACCGTGAATTTTTAAGCTTGTTAAGTAGTTACAATTTCAACCATCGCATTAAATATGCCATAAGTTAACATTATTTTGCATTATATTATACTGAAAAATCTATTTTTATCTGTTTTTGTTTACCCTATTGAAAAGCCTATTTTTAATGTATTGGGGTTGTAGGTCACTTTGCTTCTATCAAATGGGGTCGTGATTTGAAAAACATTGAGGACTGCTGATGTAGAGTATACACTCAGTTCATTTAGATTAGAAATCCAGTCTGTTGGACCTTGTTACTGCTCTGCCTGAAGTGAAAGTATTTCCTCACATTTTCCTGCAGCCTGACTTTGAAAGGAGTGATAAACAGGAATTGACAATGGAGAATTAGGTGTTGGAGAAACTTTCCTGCTAGTACTACTACCAAATATCTGGTTGTCTCTTATAGCCATTAGGAAGCAACATTTGGCCCAATCTGGCCTTCTAGACCACAGCAACCTATTGGCAGTTTTTCTGATGTCTCAGTTCTCTTTTATCTGGCCAGAAGTGGATGACTCCTCAAGCTGAACCATTGACCTAAGAATGTCCTTTATAGTGTTGGAAAGTTAGGAGTTGGTGTGTATACAAAGAATCATCATGAATTGTCTTTCAGATGTCTTGCTAGAATTCCTGTTGAATACTAGGCTGACCATATGTTTTGATTCATGTTGTTGCAGAGAGTTCTGAATCCTCCCAGGACACATCACGTGAGAGGACAAGCAGTTTCAGCGGCTCTGTCCACTCTGAGTTCTCCCCAGTCCTTACCAAGACATTTCTGGATGAAAGATCCAAGCTTTCATCAGAATGCAGATCTCCTTCTCTCGCACAGAAGAATCCTAGGTCAACACCCAGCACAGAGTATATCACAGCGGTAAGTAAATAAATGTGTAAAGATTGTGAATATGTTATTGCTTCAGTCAGTTTTCATTTTGGGCATTAAGCATAGAAGATATTCTTTTATCTTGCCAGTGTCATCTTGAAGGGTCACCAGCGATGCAGAGAGATGAGACAACTCACACTTTGGCACAGTTTAGATCAAGAGTGAGGAACTATCAGAGGTTGAGAGGTGGCATTAGCCTTTCACAGAACCTTGGAGAGCTGCATTCTCTTGTTGAATATCTTTTACTTTATTTTGATCGAGCCTCACACACACACACTGGAAGTCTGGCAGGCAATTTTGTCGTTTAGTTTCAAGTTCAAATTGTCTATTGAATTGGGAGGGCTTTGGATAATATTTGGTATCTATAGCCTATCTCAGGGGTCCACAAACTTTTTAAACAGAGGGCCAGGTCCAGGCCCGTAGCCAGGATTTCGATTCGGGGGGGGGGGGGGGCTGAAGCCCCTCAAGCCCCCCCCCTTCCCGGCTACATGCCTGGCCAGGTCACAGTTCCTCAAACTGTTGGAGGGCCAGATTATAATTTGAAAAAAAGCATAAAATAATTCCTATGCATAGTGCACATATCTTATTTGTAGTGCAAGAAACACTTTAAAACAATACAATAATTAAAACGAAAAACATTTTTAACAAATATAAACATTAGTATTTCAATGGGATGTATGGGCCTGGTTTTGGCTGTTGTTGTTCTGTGCTTTCAAGTCATTTCAGACGTAGGTTGACCAAGCGAGGTCTGGGTAAATGGCCTTGGAGGGCCGTATCTGGCTCCCTGGCCTATCTAGTTCTGCCTTTGCAAAGCTCCAATATACCAATTTCCTACTTCTTTGACATCAAAACTCTAACCCTGGAAAGGGTATGTTAACATAATCTGATGTTTTCTCTGTCATTTTACATATCTTTAAGTTCTCTCCCTCACCTATTTGAGTTGGTCACCCTTTTATATAAAAGATGCAATTCTACTGTGTCAAGTTCAAGTCAGAAGGTTCTTGGGTTGTCTTGATATGAGCACTTGTTTCAAAGTTTTACATTTCTCGACCCTTAGACCTGATGTGTTTGTGCTGGACTGTGATCTCATGATCTGGTGAACCTGATGTGTCATTGTATATAATGGGACTTGGGCAACCATGGATTTTGGTCTCCATGGGATGGGCGTGTGTGTCCTGGAATAAAACCCCAGCAGATGTCAAGGGCCCTGTTGTACAGTGGGGGTCTAAAACTGGATTGCAATATAAAAAGCTAGTATGAACATTTGAATCCTACATGGGAGAAAAGTGGGATTTAAATAAATTAAATAAATCAAATAAACACCTTTTACTAATTCCTGAAAAGAATGGTGAGAAAAGTTTGCAGAAAGTAGTGTCTGAGAGTAAATATTGTAAAATTGCAGAGCAGTGTTAGAATCATAGAATCATAGAGTTGGAAGAGACCTCATCCAGGCTATAGAAAATGAATGCATCAGAATAATTGTTGGCATCGCATTTCCTTTATTTGGACAATGGGCATACTAAGCCCCAGGAGACAGTGGGTTATCTTGCAATAGATACAGTAATATAATATCAATATCAAGAACAAATTTCTACAACGACAGACTATTTAAAGGAGTTCTACATTATAGTCAACATAATGTAGACCCTTATTTTCAATGGGATCAACCCCAGAACTTTCTTCCCCATAGTGAGATTTCACTAGTCACATTAGGAATATAGGATGTTGTCTTATATTGAATTCAATCCTTTGTCCCTCTAGTCTATTGTCGTTTCTAACAGCAACAATGGTTTTCCAGGATTTTAGCAGGAGTTTTTCATAATTCTGTCTGGAATTCCCCGATATTAATCCAAACACTAACACGGCTGAACTCATCTTATCTTCAAAAATCAGTGTCAGATATGTTAATTCTATTCTCTCTCTATCTCTCTCACACACACATATAAACTCACTCTCAAACACAGACTAAAAGTGTAGACCAATTTTTTTTATTTTATTTACTATTTTATTTTGAACATTTTTACCCCACCCTTCTTAACTCCTAGGGCGGCTTACAATTGGCAACAATTCAATGCCGCTTCATAAAATACAATAGCAAAAATAACAATTAAAACTATGAACATTAAAATAAAAATTAAACAGTATACTTAACGATCCATTTAGCTATTGCCAGTCTGCTGGCTATTTATCTAGCCATATACTAATGATTACTCTGCTTCACCTATCCAAATCCACTTCTAAGCCATTGTCAAATATTATCCATTGTCCTTTAACCTGATTGCTTGAAGGCCTAGTCCCACAACCACCATTTTACCTTCTTTCTGAAGGTGAGGAGGGATGACGATGATCTATTTTCCCCGGGAAGCGTATTCCACAGGTGGGGGGCTACCACTGAGAAGGCCTTGTCACTCATCGCTGCTAAACGTGTTTGAGAACAGCGGGGCCGAGAGCAGGACCTCCCCAGAGGATCTTAAGCTCTGAGGTGGGACCAAGGTAGTGAAGTTTTTTCTGAGCAAACCCAAATAATATTTTGGGGGCTAAATTTATTGGGTATTCTTCCTTTCATAAGCAAGCTGTACTTCAACACTTTTTAAGATACTTCTGAATGATGAGATGTGCTTTCTTATTCCCTAGGACAATTCATGATAAGCACTACGGAAACTTGAACCACATAACACCAGCAGTACTGGTTCCAGGTGATTTTCTTCTTTTCTTTCAAGAATAAAATATATGCTTACTTGTATAAAATAAATATGGTTTTCTCTCCCCATATTTACGTTTTTGTATAATTGATAAGATATAGATATTACTGTATTTTTGAAGAATCTTGTAAATTCAGAAAACATAATGTATACATATTGAAATGTATAAATTGTGCTGAACATATTTGTAAATATTTATTGTCCTGTATTATAAATTCTTCAATACAGATTGTAAAAGAAATTTGCTAGCATTCTCGAATATGGGGTTTTTTTCTAGATGGGAAGCTATTTCAAAGCAAGACTTTGAAAATGATTGCGCCTCAGCAAGTATGTTTTCTAAATACCTCATAATCACACCAGTGGGCTCTTGGTTGCAAACAGCACCTCATTCTGGGCACATTGTGACAAAGGTGAACCCCTGTGAATCTTGTGTGATCATATAACATGATGGTGATTTTAGAATTCAACCTGAAACCTTTTTTTTCCCATTCTTTTCTTATGTGAAGAACAGACTTGAAAGTGAGAGGGGTGACTGATTTTCCTCCAAATAGTCTTTACTGTTTCTTTCCTTTCTTGTGCCTAATAAAAGGAGACTGAGGATAATTGAAACAATGCATCTGTCCTTTACAGCCTTACAAAAAGATCTAGAATTAATGTATTGTCGAAGGCTTTCATGACCGGAATCACTGGTTTGTTGTAGGTTTTTTCGGGCTATATGGCCATGTTCTAGAGGCATTCTCTCCTGACGTTTCTCTGAAATCCACAAGCATGTGGACAATTTCAACAGAAAGGAGGAAACCATGAAAATGAACAAAATCTGGCTACCAGTATTAAAAAACTCTAAAATTACAACAGCAAAACAACAGAGAGCAAAAAATCAGGTACATCTAATCACCTCTCAACAAAAGATTGCCCCAGGCACTGCCAGGCCATCAAATGCTAATCAAGGTGGTCAGTTGAAACATTCACACCTAGCTCCAGCAGACAAGAGTTCTTTGTATTGTCGAAGGCTTTGAAATCCACAAGCATGTGGACAATTTCAACAGAAAGGAAGAGACCATGAAAATGAACAAAATCTGGCTACCAGTATTAAAAAACTCTAAAATTACAACAGCAAAACAACAGAGAGGAAACAACCAGGCACAGATTAACACCTCCCAGCAAGAGATTTTCCCAGGCTCAGGCAGGCCTTCAAATGCTAATGAAGGTGATCAGCTGAAACATTCACACCTAACTGCAGCAGGGAAGAGCTCCTTGCCCCACCCCAGTCATTCCACAGATATATAAACCCATTGTCCTAATTCCAACAGACCTCACTACCTCTGAGGATGCTTGCCATAGATGCAGGCGAAACGTCAGGAGAAATGCCTCTAGAACATGGCTCTATAGCCCGAAAAAACCCACAAGAACCTAAGAGTTCTTTGTCTCACCCTGGTCATTCCACAGATATATAAACCCATTTTCCTGCTTCCAACAGACCTCACTACCTCTGAGGATGGTTGCCATAGATGCAGGTGAAACGTCAGGAGAGAATGCCTCTAGACCATGGCCATATAGCCCAAAAAAACCTACAGCAACCCAAATCTAGAATTGTACCCTTCGGTAACACAGAACCCCACTGTTGCCATACATAAAACTGTCAACATGTTTCAGCTGAGCTTTCTGCTTAGACCAGAAGCTTGGTCATTTGCCTCTATTTCCCAATCAGGGACACACAATCTAAACTTGGAAAACTTAATGGGGGATTGTAGACTCTCTTAGTCTGTCTGTTTGCTTAAGGCCTGCCACATATACTGAGAATGCTTAATTTACATAGAGGTAAATATTTTTAAAATATGCTTTTTTAGCTTCTCTTAGTCAAACATCACAATGTATTGGTTTTTTTTAAAGAAACAATAAAATTGTTAGTACTGTATTATGCATTACATTTTTCTTTATTAAACGTATTTATTGTGGAATTGCATTTTAAAAGACTCAATATAAGTGTTGAGATATTGGTGGTCATGGTGGCTGGTGGATTCTGAGAAAGTTTTCCTAACTTTTAGATGAATGACCATTAGCCCTTCATTCTAAATAGCAACTTTATGCCCAAGCACAGGCAGTGTACCTCTCAACAGTAAGTATTAGGGCAAACAGAAGATTGCTTTGCTTGTGGGTTTCCCATAAACAACTAACCCTCAATTGCTGCAAACGAACTGCTGGAGTAGATAGGGCTGGGTTTGATCTTTCAGGGTTCAGAATGTAATAGACTCTGCACATCTTATATTGTGAGAGATGTATAGGCAAATTATATGTGCAGTTTAGAGATCCTCACTCCATATCTAGGCATGTTTGTAAGTAGTGCTTTAGATAGTTGTGGGGGTCCCCAAAATATTAAATATTCACTATCATTCCAAACCCCAGGTAGATTGCAGTAATTTTACTTAAAAACACAGGTAACATTATATATACACCTCTTGCTTTGATCAAGTGACCAGCGCCACAAGTCATACCTGCCCCTGCATTGTGGACCCCAACGAATCCCTATAAAACAAAAACAGACCTCAGCGAGACAAAAGTTCCCTGGCCAAATTTCAGGGTACATACTTAAACATGTTTCTGACTGTGTATGTCTACATAAGTGTTCATGAAAATATGCAAATACTTAAAAAAAGGGAAAAAAAGAAACCATGTGTAATGAATCTTACCTAGTAGGCCGGAAAGGGAGCCTGGATAACAGTATGGCAATCCTCCATTTTGGGAGTGTATGCCAGGGAAGCAGCCATCTTGAGTGAGGATAGACAGAAGATGGGAGGAGTTTGAGGTCTCCTAGGATTGGCTAGAGCAGTTGGGAGGAGCCAGGGCTTAGGAGGGAAAAGATTTCAGCTTCTGTGGGAGTTGAGAACTGGGAGCTGGTGTGTGAAGAAGTGTTTTTGAAACTGGGTTTTCAGGGAGAGAGTGTCTGTGTCAGACAGTGCTGTTAGCTGACAGGAGAAAGGTCAGGCAGCAACCTGATTTCTTGTGGGAGTTAACACAAAAGATTAGCTCTCTAGGCTGGGTTAGTTAGCAGGAAGAACTCTAGGGAAGAGTTAGCTAATAACTCAGGGAACTACCTAGGATAAGTTAGTCGAAACTCATTTCTATTTCTCTGAAGTAGAGTGAGGGATTTTTGTTACTAGCAGCTAGATCTGTTTGATTAGCTCTGTTTGTAACTAAGTGAAGAAACTTATTCAAGCAACCATCAGGCTGAAGTACTTTTGTAACAAGCCAAGCTTTTTGTACCTCTGAGAAGTAGTTAGTTGTCTGTTTTTATAAATAAATCTTTTTCTATTCAACTTTCAAAAAGGTTTCCATTGTACATCTTTCCATCAGCAAGCTTTGTGATAGTTCCAGCATTTTTAACATCCTGATACTACAGAAAAGCCTCATATCAAACAGTCATTTTGGGAGCCAGGGGAAAAAGCAGTGTTGGCAGGAGTGGGAAAAGTTTACCTCAAATACTCATTTTAAAATCCTAAAACTACTTAGGTTGGTGGCAGCTTTAATCCAAAAGAAGACTAAAAGACAAGCAGTGTTCACTCTACCATAACATCTAACACCATCTCGTTACCATATTGGAGGCACAGGGGTAGGATTTGTGAAGAAAAGGCAAATCTTTGAGGAAGATCCATCCTGCCCAGCTATATTATCAATAAGCCTCCAGCCTCACGTCACTGGCTGTGATGTAATCCTTTATACTGGTGTCCAGTTGTGTGATATAAGATATAATCTTTTACAGTGGTGTTCAGCTGTGGGAGATATAGTATATTCGTTATAATTGGTGCAAGTGGCGGGATATATTATACGTGTTACTGTGGTGGCAAGCGGCGTGATTTATGACAGTATAATATACAATATTTACACCATACAATCGCCAATTTATCTTTCGTCTCAAAAGATCTCTCCAACTTCATCTTTAAAATGACCTCTGTTGTAAGTTGTTGCAAGAATAAAAAATAAAAATGAGATAATGTAGGCGGAGAGTGATCCAAACGATAAAATTATGACGATAATCAGTAGAATGGAGTTATGCAACTTGAAGATGCAATGCTAACTTCAATCAAGGAATATTTTACAATAATTTATTTCAAACTGTTACACTAAGGAATGATGGGTATGCATCAACATAAATGTATGGCAATGTTAAAATAATACATATATCAGTAAAAACAGAAAGTGTTGCAGTTATGAAATGATAGAAAGCCAGCATGGTATAGGGTCCTCAAACTTTTTAAACCAAGGACCAGGTCATAGTCCCTCAAACTGTTGGAGGGCCGGATTATAATTTGAAAAAAAATATATGAATGAATTGCTATGCACACTGCACATATCTTACTTGGAGTGCAAAAAAAACACTTAAAAACAATACAATAATTAAAATGAAGAACAATATTAGCAAATATATAAACTTATTAGTATTTCAATGGGAAGTGTGGGCCTGCTTTTGGCTGATGAGATAGGATTGTTGTTGTGTGCTTTCAAGTCGTTTCAGACTTAGGTTGACCCTGAAGTGAGGGCCGGGTAAATGACCTTGGAGGGCCATATCCGGCCCCTGGGCCTTAGATTGAGGACCCCTGGGCCTTAGTTTGAGGACCCCTGGTATAGGGGTTTGAGTGTTGGCCAAGGACTCCAGGAGACTAGAATTCAAATCCATGCTTGGCTATGAAAACTGAGTGATCATGGGCAATTAACACTTTCTTAGCCTTAGGAGCAGGCCATGGCAAACCTCCTCTGAGCAAATCTCACCAAGAAAACCCTGTGAAAATTTCACCTTAGAGTTGTCCTAAGTCAGGCAAACAAGAACATTTCCAAGTAACCTTACTTCAGAGTAAACATATAGGTTCTACTGGATTGGATGTAAGTGTGCATCAACAGTTGAAACATTAAAGTGTCCATTGCTATACAATGAAAAGAAAACCCAATTGATTCAGTTACCAGATTTTGCTAGGCAATAAAGACCTTTTGTAAAATAATAAGACCTGACTGCCTACTTGAAATTGGGCCCTTTCTGATATGCATTACAAATAAGAGGGTGTATGCACTAGAAACTTCAATAGATGGGACTTTTGTAATATTATAGATCTTATCTGAAAGGATTCTTTACCCTATTTGTCTGAAATAATGCTTCAGATAGGAAGATGCTCTCTCACTATAGTTCCAGTTCATGGAGCTCGAAAGAGTGAAATTGTTAATCATATGGATTCTGATTCAGTACAAGAAAGCAGTCTACAGATGGCACATGAAAACAAATGAAAAATTCAGAGGACTTGGCACATTCAAGGTGAGCTGTGGGATCAAAGTATGGAGAACTGCTGGAGGTCCTAGTTAATGTGCTCATGCATATGTGTGAAAGCCAAGCAAACCAAAGGCAACGAGCAATCACTTTATTAGTTTCCCTTAAAAATGGACAACATTTTCAGGATTACTTAACCTAATCAAGCACCAGTGTAAAATATTAAATGACACAAGGCAAATATTTTAAAACGAAGTTTGGATGATCACCAAATTGGGGATTTTCTGCTGTGGATTCCTGCATTAGCAAGGGATTGAACTAAATGGCACTTGGGATCACTTCCAACTCCATGACAACAGATATTCTATGTCTCCAAGTGCTCCGGTTTTAATTTTATAACATTTCACTTTCACATTTTATGACACAGGACATATAATAACTAGGATGACACTATGTAATATGTCTTATTATTAGAGATCGAAATTCGATGAATATGATCTTTTAAATAATACTCAAGTTCTGAGCAATTTAATATGCATTTAATTTGTTTCCCTTTTTAGGAACTACTTCATAGAATCATAGAATCAAAGAGTTGGAAGAGACCTCATGGGCCATCCAGTCCAACCCCCTGCCAAGAAGCAGGAATATTGCATTCAAATCACCCCTGACAGATGGCCATCCAGCCTCTGTTTAAAAGCTTCCAAAGAAGGAGCCTCCACCACACTCCGGGGCAGAGAGTTCCACTGCTGAACGGCTCTCACAGTAAGGAAGTTCTTCCTCATGTTCAGATGGAATCTCCTTTCTTGTAGTTTGAAGCCATTGTTCCGCGTCCTAGTCTCCAGGGAAGCAGAACAAGCTTGCTCCCTCCTCCCTGTGGCTTCCTCTCACATATTTATACATGTATGTTGCACTTCTTAGGAGCTCACTGCATACTGCCTTGTTCATGATGAACTTGAATTCTTTAAATTTCTGACATACTTTGCATGAAATTGCATCATCTTAACTATTCATCTCCCTTTGCCCATTATGAGTGCTAACACAAGTGCCACTATAATGCTCAGCGTTCACGATATACCAGTCTTTTATTAGTAGTGAGATCATGTGAATGCTTATTAAAAGGTGAATACAATTACATTCAAAGGGCTTTATTCTCAGATGTTTTAGGATTCAAGGTGTTAACTTCAGATTATCATTTGCATGGCTACAATTTTTCTGGAAAATATCTGATTACATTATAAGAAAGTACCTTAAGTTAAACATGAGCCAACAATGTGATGTGGCGGCAAAAAAAGCCAATGGGATTTTGGCCTGCATCAATAGGAGCATAGTGTCTAGGTCCAGGGAAGTATGCTACCCCTCTATTCTGCTTTGGTTAGACCACACCTGGAATATTGTGTCCAATTCTGGGCACCACAATTCAAGAGAGATATTGACAAGCTGGAATGTGTCCAGAAGAGGGCGACTAAAATGATCAAGGGTCTGGAGAACAAGCCCTATGAGGAGCGGCTTAAGGAGCTGGGCATGTTTAGCCTGAAGAAGAGAAGGCTGAGAGGAGATATGAAAGCCATGTATAAATATGTGAGAGGAAGCCACAGGGAGGAGGGAGCAAGCTTGTTTTCTGCTTCCTTGGAGACTAGGACGCGGAACAATGGCTTCAAACTACAAGAGAGGAGATTTCATCTGAACACGAGGAAGAACTTCCTGACTGTGAGAGCCGTTCAGCAGTGGAACTCTCTGCCCTGGAGTGTGGTGGAGGCTCCTTCTTTGGAAGCTTTTAAACAGAGGCTGGATGGCCATCTGTCAGGGGTGATTTGAATGCAATATTCCTGCTTCTTGGCAGAATGGGGTTGGACTGGATGGCCCATGAGGTCTCTTCCAACTCTTTGATTCTATGATTCTACCTAACTACTCATGATCATTGTTCTTGCTGTTTTCAGTCTGGGGGGTGGATATATTTATCTGTCTATGGGACAAAAGAGAAAGCATGCTTAAAGTGCATTTAATATGAGATAGTGATACCGTATTTCATTAGATAATAGCTAAATTTCCCCCTTTTGGGGAGGAAAGAAGGGGGTATAACTATTATGCAAGGAAATATTTTTGCATCTATGGGGCTTTTCTCGACTGCCAACTGGCCAAGCCACCCACGTGCCTGCTGGTAAGTGCTACAAGGCTCTAGCTGCTGTCAGCTGAGGGAGGCTCAGCAGCTCTCACTGCCAGGTGGATGAAGGCTCACCTGCCTGTGGACCTTTCCCCTCCGAGCTCTGGAGCGAAGAGGCAACTTGGAGGGGATCAGGTTTACCTACCATAACACCTCTCCCCTCTAAGCTATGGAAGACTGCCTTGACCACTGGGTGAACAAGAGCTCCTCTCGTGCCTCCACCCACACACATGTCCCTCAGAGCAACAGTAACTGCTCCAAGGGGCAGGTGCGCGGGTGGCAGTGCAACTATTATGGAAGGAATCCTTTAATCCCAAAACAAGGACCCTAAAGGCGGTGTGACTATTATGCAATGAAATACAGTATATTTGTTATATACCACATAATATATATTCTTTCTTACAGAATGTATTACTTTGTCTCTTCTCCAATAGACCAAAGTTAAAACTGTGGTCTGTTTTTAGTTTATAATTTTGGCTTATTGGGAAAGACTTAGATGTTGGACTATAAGCCAAGAATAAACTGCACTTTATTATTCTGGATTGCTGCGAAAGTAATAAGAACATAAGAGTGCCAAGTCTGAACACCTCAGAAAGTGAAATATGCACAAAAGCAATCAGGCGGAGTATGCCAGCATGATAGCCTCACACCATTTCTGTATTTAACTAGATCAGGGGTCCTCAAACTTTTTAAACAGAGGGCCAGGTCACAGTCCCTCAAATTGTTGGAGGGCCGGATTATAATTTGGAAAAAAATGAATAAATTCCTATGCACATTGCACGTATCTTATCTGTAGTGCAAAAACACTTTAAAACAATACAATAATTAAAATGAAGAACAATTTTAACAAATATAAACTTACTAGTATTTCAATGGGAAGTGTGGACTGATGAATGTGGGCCGATGAGACAGGATGGTTGTTGTATGCTTTCAAGTCGTTTGAGACTTAAATTGACCCTGAGTGAGGGAGGGTAAATGACCTTGGAGGGCCGTATCCGGCCCCCAGGGCTTAGTTTGGGGACCCCTGAACTAGATAATTACCATATATGTGACAGAGTAACTAATAGTACCAAATCTAAAGAAAATTAGTCATACCTGATTTGAGTCGCATATAAACAATCATACTTTTCAACCTCTAGTTTTTCCTAACATGGCATTTTCTACCCGCTTGAACTTTTTCAGTTCAGCACATAGTTCCCAGTATTGAAGGTAAAGCCACATTAGCTTTCCATTCTGGCGTTTATTGGTGTTTAGCAAATTGCTGCAAAATGTATCGTGCCTGAAAATATCGTTTAAGCCAGTTTCTATTTTCAGATCCACAGCAATTGGATCTGTTGCTGCTTTAACTAGCATTTTCTTCTCAATTTCTAGTCGCTGGTATCTTGGTACCACAAGGCTGCAATAGATATCCTGCCTTTGGGTAAGGGCTCCTTCAAACTCTTTTAGTAAGGCAATAGCTTTCTTTTGCCACTGATCTTCCTTCTCCAGGCAGTTCTTGTAGAACAATCCTGCAGCTCCAGAGTGCTGCAGAATTTGCTTTTCTTGTTCCAATTTTGTTTGTTCTTGTTCCAGAGCTCTCCTTTCTTCTATCAGTTTATGACTCTGTGAGACAAGAGCTGCACGATAACTTTGTGTTCGGTTCTGTTCCTTTTCCAGTTCCAACTCTAAGTGAGCAACTGTACGGCGGTTTTCAGTGATTATGTCACGGTATTTAGATTCAAGCTCTCTCTGCACTAATGTCAGTTTTCTGTGGTAACCTTTTTTCTCTTTTTCTATCTCTTTCTGAGACTCCCTCGACCAGATCCAGCCTGAAAAATGAGCACATAAAATTAAACTGCAACATTGAACCACAATTCATATTACTCATTTGAACAACATGGATTTATTTTCAGAAATACATTGTCCACAACATTACCATGCAGTAATACATAGCTATCTGACAAACAACAGACAAGTCGATTATGCCCAGGAAGCATCTGTTGCCACTACCTGTGAGGAGAAAATAATTAAAGACTCCTTATCTTTGCTCAGAATGAGCCCAGGAGTAGAACTAAGGTCCTTGCTTCTGTTGGGTTTAGAAAATTTTCAATGTTTGAAAAAAAATTATCAACCAAAGCTAATTTTCAAGAACACAGATGGATTTGTTTTCTGTAATATAAATATATAAATATTATTATGGGTTCCAGTTAATTTAGTTAGTTACAGCTAAATAGGAGCCCCCGGTGGCGCAGTGGGTTAAACCCGTGTCAGCAGGACTGAAGACTGACAGGTCGCAGGTTCGAATCCAGGGAGAACGCAGATGAGCTCCCTCTATCAGCTCCAGCTCCTCATGCAGGGACATGAGAGAAGCCTCCCACAAGGATGATAACATCAAAACATCCGGGCGTCCCCTGGGCAACGTCCTTGCAGATGGCCAATTCTCTCACACCAGAAGCGACTTGCAGTTTCTCAAGTCACTCCTGACACGACAAAAAAAAAAGCTAAATTAATCTTGTTTAAGCACCTGTGGTGAACGTTTTTGTCAAAAGCCTTTGGAAGACAAAAGAGTAAGTACTATTGGATTATTCATGTCCATGTGTTTATTGTCAATAGCAAAGAATTTTAAAGTCTAGATTTCAAAATGAAGAATTCACCATTCTTCTTCAGCAGGCTTCCCCTCAGTATATTTAAAATATTATTTTTAATAATGCTTTTCACCAAACACTTGGAGCAGTTGTTAAATTAACTAGCTTAAAATCTTTAAGAACCCATTTGATATATTTTTTTAAAACTGAATTTTAATTTGTTATTCTCTAGAAGCTGATCTCTCATGACATGCAGCGATTCCTTGTAGATCTGCTCTCTGGCAGAGGGGTTTGGAAACACTTTCCTCCTTGGCTCCAATAAGGTGCTGTAGAGACCCAGTTTGCCCAATCTAATTGCCCCCGGTGGCGCAGTGTGCCAGCAGGTCGCAGGTTCGAATTCAGGAAGAGGCAGATGAGCTCCCTCTATCAGCTCCAGCTCCTCATGCAAGGACATGAGAGAAGCCTCCCACAAGGATGATAAAAACATCAAATCATCCAGGCGTCCCCTGGGCAACGTCCTTGCAGACGGCCAATTCTCTCACACCAGAAGCGACTTGCAGTTTCTCAAGTCGCTCCTGACATGACAAAAAAAAATGCCTGCTGACTATGAATGCGGGCTTGGGGAAGGGTTAGGCCAGGGGGTGTTGCTTAGTAATGTATATGGTATAACAGTAGAAAATATCTGGTGTAGAATATCAGCAAAACATGAATCTTTATGTTACTATATCTGCACACAGTGATTTTTTTCATGTATAGTGCTATCCTATCATATGTTAGATTCACTCCATTGGCAGGTTTCTGCAAACTGCTAAAGTCTAAACCGAAGAGATCTGTCTAACCCAGGGGTCCTCAAACTTTTTAAACAGGGGGACAGGTCACAGTCCCTCAAACTGTTGGAGGGCCGGATTATAATTTGAAAGAAAAAAAAAACATGAATGTATTTCTATTCACATTGCACATATTTTATTTGTAGTGCAAAAAACACTTTAAAACAATACAATAATATTAAAAATATTAACAAATATAAACATATCAGTATTTCAATGGGAAGTGTGGGTCTGCTTTTGACTGATGAAGTAGGGTTGTTGTTGTTGTTGTTGTGTGCTTTCAAGTCATTTCAGACTTAGGTTGACCCTGAGCGAGGCCGGTTAAATGACCTTGGAGGGCCGTATCTGGCCCCCGGGCCTTAGTTTGAGGACCCCTGGTCTAGCCTATCATAATTTCTTCATTGACAACTTAGCCTATAAACTGCAATGTAAAATAAGACTTTCTTATGTCACTTACGGAATGCAGCCAGCCCCAACATTGGAACCAACAAGGCATAATTCCATTTGCTTCCACGGTCATCCTCATTCCCTGCATTAGGCCGGATGTTCCAGTTAGGAGGATCATTTAAATTATTCATGGAAAAACCTTAAAATCAGGGAAAAAATTATAATTTTTAGGTATCTAATACTTGGTTTTAAAATATACTGTTGGTTGCACATTGTTGGGCCAACATATATCGCTAACATGGTCTGAAAATTGTATACGGAAAACTGCCATGAAGATGGGCAATAATTAAAAGGAAGACTGAAACTAAGGAAGGGTTCATATACACTGTAAAATTAATACTGTTTGATGCCACTGTCAGGGCTCAATGCTAGGGAATCCTGAGATTTGTATTACCAAGGCACTTGCATTCTTTGGCATAGAAAGCTAGAGACCTGATTGATTGTTTGATTGCATCTAGCTTTTTCTCCCTTAAATGAGACTCAAGACAGCTAAGAATGTTTTAAAAAAACAACCTAAAATGTACTATTTAAAACCAAGAACATTAAAATAGAATTAATCATAGGAATGTTAAAAATAAATCATTAAAACAATTGAAATAATTTTAAAATCTACTGAAATACATAAACATCAGTCAATATCCTCTTTCTAACACCTTGCAACACTACAGCTCCCAAGATTCCATAGCATTGAGACATGGTAGGTAATCAAACAGCATTAATTCTACAGTGTAGATGCACCCTAAGTTTTACTTCCTTTCCTTCCTCTTAGCTCTTAGTTTCCTCCTTAACTTGGTTTTCCCCCTTTGTTCCCAAAGTCACCTGTCCCTTCATTTATTCCCCACTTACTTCTCTTGTCTCAGCCATGAAACAATATCCTCATAAAGAGAATAGTTAATTTTGAGTGCTCTTCTACCACGTTTTAAAAGACTTCCAATACAAGTAAATTAGAGAAAAAAGGAATCTGGTTTCTGAAATTCCAGGGGACCATATCCTTTACATATATTAAATAAATATGAAAGTCAAGAATGAAAGAGATAATGAAACAAATCCATACCTTTTATTTCTGTAAAATAATGATGCAAATATAATCACTCAAAACACAAAGATAGAAGTCGCTTGATGAAAACCATCCTAGAATTAAAATAAATATACCTTTTAGTTCCTGATTTGGAAATAAAAGTGATACATAATAATAGTATAATAATAAACTTTACTTAAACCCCGCCACTATCTCCCCGATGGGGACTCGGAGCAGCTTACATGGGGCCAAGTCCGAACAACATATTACATAAAAATAAAACCAAACCATGAACAACAAGCAATGCCGTCAAAAGGAAAAAAAATATGAATACAATAACAAAATAACATTACAATAAACAAAAAACACAGTTGCAGTAACAGTGGGCAGGCCACATGTACAGGATAAAAAGTTAAAAACTCTAATGAGATGAAAATAGGAGCAAGTTATTTGCAGGGAGCTCATAAAGACTTGGCTTCCCCCCTGGGTTGTGAAACTATATTTCCCATTTGGGGGGCGTGTACTCCAGTGACAGAAGCATTGAGGGGAGCAATAGTGTCATGTTGTGTACCTGTCATGTTGTGTACCTGTTAAGGAAGCGGTCTGCAAACACTTAGAAACAAATGCAGTCATCGCTAATAGTCAACATGGATTTATCAAAAACAAGTCATGCCAGACTAATCTGATCTCTTTCTTCGATAGAGCTACAAGCTGGGTAGATGCGGGGAATGCCGTGGATGTAGCGTACCTGGATTTCAGTAAGGCCTTCGACAAGGTCCCCCATGACCTTCTGGCAAGGAAACTAGTCCAATGTGGGCTAGGAAAAACTACGGTGAGGTGGATCTGTAATTGGTTAAGTGGACGAACACAGAGAGTGCTCACTAATGCTTCCTCTTCATCTTGGAAAGAAGTGACAAGTGGAGTGCCGCAGGGTTCCGTCCTGGGCCCGGTCCTGTTCAACATCTTTATTAATGACTTAGATGAAGGGCTAGAAGGCATGATCATTAAGTTTGCAGACGACACCAAATTGGGAGGGATAGCCAATACTCCAGAGGACAGGAGCAGAATTCAAAACGATCTTGACAGATTAGAGAGATGGGCCAAACTAACAAAATGAAGTTCAACAGTGACAAATGCAAGATACTCCACTTTGGCAGGAAAAATGAAATGCAAAGATACAGAATGGGGGACCTGGCTCGAGAGCAGTACGTGTGAAAAAGATCTTGGAGTCCTCGTGGACAACAAGTTGAAACATGAGCCAACAATGTGATGTGGTGGCAAAAAAAGCCAATGGGATTTTGGCCTGCATCAATAGGAGCATAGTGTCTAGATCTAGGGAAGTAATGCTACCCCTCTATTCTGCTTTGGTTAGACCACACCTGGAATATTGTGTCCAATTATGGGCACCACAATTCAAGAGAGATATTGACAAGCTGGAATGTGTCCAGAGGAGGGCGACTAAAATGATCAAGGGTCTGGAGAACAAGCCCTATGAGGAGCGGCTTAAGGAGCTGGGCATGTTTAGCCTGAAGAAGAGAAGGCTGAGAGGAGATATGATAGCCATGTATAAATAGGTGAGAGGAAGCCACAGGGAGGAGGGAGCAAGCTTGTTTTCTGCTTCCTTGGAGACTAGGACGCGGAACAATGGCTTCAAACTACAAGAGAGGAGATTCCATCTGAACTTAGGAAGAACTTCCTGACTGTGAGAGCCATTCAGCAGTGGAACTCTCTGCCCCGGAGTGTGGTGGAGGCTCCTTCTTTGGAAGCTTTTAAACAGAGGCTGGATGGCCATCTGTCAGGGGTGATTTGAATGCAATATTCCTGCTTCTTGGCAGGGGGTTGGACTGGATGGCCCATGAGGTCTATTCCAACTCTTTGATTCTATGATTCTATGATTCTACTCGCCAAAGGTGCAGCGGAAGAGCCAAGTTTTAAGATTCTTTTTAAATGTTTCTAGTGTAGGGGCTTTCCTGATATCTCCAGGTAATGAGTTCCAGAGTCGGGGAGCCACAATGGAGAAGGCTCTCTCCCTTGTGCCCACAAGTCGAGCCTGTGAGATTGGCAGGGGCGAAAGGAGGGCCTCCCCCGAAGATCGAAGGGTTGGTTCATGGAGAGAGATACGGTCACGAAGGTAGGCGGGTCCCAAACCGTTTAGAGCTTTGTAGGTGATAACCAGCACCTTGAATTGGGCCCGGAAAATAAACGGCAGCTAATGGAGTACCTGGTACCTGAATTAATAAAAATGGACAAAAAGTTCCTTTCTACAGTCTTTTTTACAAAATCCTTTTTACTTTTTTAAAACATTTGAATTGTGAGTGTAGTAAAGGAGGGCTATGGAAACATAGGGCTCTTCTACACTGCCATAAAATCCAGAACATCAAAGCAGATAATCTACATTATCTGCTTTGAACTGAATTATCTGAATCTACACTGCCATAGAATCCAATTCAAAGCAGACAATCTGGATTTTATATGGCAGTGTAGAAGGGGCCATAGACTTTAGGAGTCAGGTTTTCTGCATTCTAGCCAATCTTAGTGTAGTTGGTGTGTTTGCTTACAACAGGAAAGCGAAACAGTACCAGCCTCCAGAATGACTTACTGAGCATACATGAATTGCAAAAACAAAAAAAAAACAAAAAAAAAAACAAAAAAAACGGGGGGGGGGGGAGGTCATGATTGAAATGTAATGAAGGATACATCATATCTTTTTCTGATGTCAACTGTAACATTTTCATTTCCTATATAATTGTAAGGGTACAGTCACACTAAATGGTAGGAGATAAAGACATCATGTTTCAAGTGGTGAATTGTTCTGCACCTCAAATTCTATTGTAGGTACCAATGAGAAAACATGAAGAAAAGGAAAAAGGGTGTTTTGTTCCTCACATCAGCTTATACAATTCAAATATTTCAAACTATTAAAAATTAATTGGTGTAAAAAATTTTGAGAAGGAAGCAGCAACCTAAATTATTTTTAAAACTGACTCCCTACTTTTCTTGGTTTTCCCAAGCAATGAATTGCTATTTGAGAGCTTTTAGAGTTCATACACATCACTTTTTAAAGTTGACCTCTAAACAGTGCCCTATTGTTATTGGAATCTACTGTTAAGTCAGCTCATTTATCTGCTAGAGTCCAAATAAACAGGCACCATGAACTTGTAAGCTGTAGAGCCACTTATTGACTGGCTGTTCAGTATAGGAACTGATTTCACTGGAGATGTCACCTCTTGATTAAAGAGTAATAACTAACAATCCCGACCGAGACCTCCCAACCCTGCTATATGCCTGCAAAACGTGAACTGTCTATGGACATCACATGCAACTCCTGGAACGATTCCATCAGCGCTGCCTCCGGAAAATCCTGAAAATCTCTTGGGAAGACAGGCGGACAAAAGTCAGTGTGGTGGAAGAAGCAAAGACCACCAGCATTGAAGCGATGGTCCTCCGCCATCAGCCCTGCTGGACCGCCCACGTTGTCTGGATGCCCGACCACCATCTCCAAAAGCATTTGCTCTACTCCGAACTCAAGAACAGAAAATGGAATGCGGGTGGACAGGAAAAGAGATTTAAAGATGGGCTCAAAGCCAACCTTAAAAACTCTGGCATAGACACTGAGAACTGGGAAGCCCTGGCCCTTGAGCACTCCAGCTGGAGGTCAGATGTGACCAGCAGTTCTGCAGAATTTAAAGAGGCACGAATGGAGGGTGAAAGAGAAACATGCCAAGAGGAAGGCGCGTCAAGCCAACCCCAACCGAGACCACCTTCCACCTGGAAACCAATGCCCTCACTGCGGAAGAAGATGCAGATCAAGAATAGGGCTCCACAGCCCCCTACAGACTCACAAGAATTCTGATTATGGATGACTATCCTTCTTGGCCAACGAGGGATCGCCTAAGTAAGTAAGTAAGTAATAACTAACAATCTGTTATTTAAAGTGAGGCAATTTAGGAAGTATCAGTGCTCCCAGGCAAAGGGAAAAGGGGATAATAATAATATAATAATAAACTTTATTTATACCCCGCCACCGCCTCCCCAGTGGGGACTCAGAGCGGCTTACATGGGGCCGAGCCCGAACAATATTACAGCAGAATAAAACCAAAAATATAACAACAAACAACATCATCAAAATTACATAGAAAAAAAACATTCCAATAAACACCGTCACGATAACAGTGGGCGGGCCACATGTACAGGATAAAACAATTAAAAGATTCTAATGAAATAAAAATAGGAGCAGGTTATTTGTAGGGAGCTCGTAAAAACAGAGTTGTGAAACGAAACTTGAAATTTTCGGGAGGGGGGGGGTGAAACCTGCCTCCTAGCTCACGCTGAAGCAAAGAGCACAGCAGGGAGCAGAGCAGCCTTCAATAGCCTGCAGCTGCTCCTGTCAACCACCTCCACCAAGTCTGGCCTCCTTAATGAGAGCATTCAACACCCCCCCCCCCAACTTGGTTGCTTCGCTACATCGGCTATTGCTGCAAGTAATGACAGTGTGAATAAATTGTCAATATTTGCTTGAGATGGTGCTTGCAGTTCTGGAGGGACTCTTAATTTTTTGCATCTCATAGACTTAGCATGGGGATTTGGTTAACCAGTTAAAATTCATGAGTAAACCAGGTTTATTTTTTTTTAACCTGAAAAATTTCGGGGGGGGGTTTGAACCCCTTCCCCCCCCCCCCCACCTCGCTACAGGCCTGGTTATAGTTCACCTACTTCCCAAGAAACTCTGACCCCCACCGACAATGGACTGAGACCAAACTTGGCACAGAGAAGCCCCACGACCAACTGAACATACTGCAGAGGTTTGGAGGAATGGATGTAGATTTTTGGGAGTTGTAGTTCACTTGCATCCAAAAAACACTGAACCCAGACGATGTGAGATCTCAACCAAACTTTACATACACTAACATGGCCAACAGTGCGTACAGGCTAGGTTTGGGGGCGATTGCACTGGGAATCTGGGAACTGTATTTCATCCTTATCCAGAGAGCACTGAACCCATCCAATGATGAATCTGGACCAAACTTCAGGGATATTACCTACAAAGCCCTAAACGGTTTGGGACCTGCCTACCTGCGTGACTGCATCTCCATTTATGAACCCACACGTTCTCTTCGTTCATCCGGAGAGGCCCTGCTTGCGATCCCACCTGCGTCACAGGCGCGTCTGGTGGGGACGAGGGACTTTGGAACACCCTCCCCAAGGACATCAGACAAGCCCCTACACTGGCAGTCTTCAGGAAGAGTTTGAAGTCCTGGCTGTTCCTGTGCCTTTCCAGAATAGGAAACTCCAGCAATATGTCCCAGAAGCACTTTATCAGAGATTTAAGATTGTCTGCACATTGCACATACCCTAAAATCCTATATCCCACCTGTCATACTCTGCACTTTTTAATCTGTACCCATTACATTCGGCCCGGCCCTAGTTTTATTGTGTCATGTTGTATTGTTTGTATCTATCTATCTATCTATCTATCTATCTATCTATCTATCTATCTATCTATCTATCTATCTATAAATGCTCTGTGCATAATGAGTACCCTAAAAACAAAAGAACCAATGAACGAAATCACACCAAATTTGGCAACAAGATGTCTCACAACACAAGGAGTGACCATCACTCAAAAAATTATGATTTTGTCATTTGGGAGTTGTAGTTGCTGGGATTTATAGTTCACCTACAATCAAAGAGCATTCTGGACTCCACCAACGATTGAATTGAACCAAACTTGGCACACAGGACTCCCATGACCAACAGAAAACACTAGAAGGGTTTGGTAGGCATTGACCTTGAGTTTTGGAGTTGTAGTTGTACTAGAGAGCACTGTGGACTCAAACTATGATGGATCTGGACCAAACTTGGCACGAATACTCAATATGCCTAAATATAAACACAGATGGAGTTTGGAGGAAATAGACCTTGACATTTGGGAGTCGTCGTTACTGGGATTTATAGTTCACCTACAATAAAGGAGCATTCTGAATCCCACCAATGACAGAATTGGGGCAAACTTCCCACACAGAACCCCCATGACCAACATAAAATACTGTGTTTTCTGGTGGTCTTTGGCAACCTTTCTGACACCTCCTTGCAACCCCCCAGGGGTCCCAAACCCCAGGTTGAGAAATGCTGCCTTAAAGCCATCCAGTCAAACTCCCTTCACCAGGGCAAGAAAACATAATCAAAGCCCTCCTGACAAAGGGCCATCCAGCCATTCACACACACATATAATTGTATATGATAGATGCAGTATCATAGATTTGAAAGGCCCTAAAAGGACTGCGAGAAGATCCAACCAGTCCATCCTCCAGGAAATAAAGCCCGACTGCTCACTGGAGGGAAGGATCCTAGAGACAAAGTTGAAGTACTTTGGCCACATCATAAGGAGACAGCAAAGCCTAGAGAAGACAATTATGCTGGGGAAAGTGGAAGGCAAAAGGAAGAGGGGCCGACCAAGGGCAAGATGGATGGATGGCATCCTTGAAGTGACTGGACTGACCTTGAAGGAGCTAGGGGTGGTGACGGCCGACAGGGAGCTCTGGCGTGGACTGGTCCATGAGGTCACGAAGAGTCGTAGACGACTGAACGAATGAACAACAACATGTTCCATGTTTCAGAGTAGGCAAACCAGACATCAACACTGGCAAAGAAACAGCAAGAAATACTGTTTACCCACAAGCATAAAGATATATATAAGAAACAACTTTCTCATTACTTTATTTTCCAGATCACCAGACTGGGACACAGCAACGCGTGGCAGGGAACCGCTAGTTGTTTACTGTTATTGCTTAATGTTTTGATCTGCTTTATAATGCTATGTGTATTGTTATGTTGTTGTTTTATTGAGGCCTTGGCCTTTGTAAGCCACGTCGAGTCCTTCGGGAGATGCTAGCGGGGTACAAATAAAGTTAATAATAATAATCAGGGGCGGCTCGTCCATTACGCGAAGTAAGCGGTCGCAGAACACTTTTTTTTTGCCAGGGGCGCAGAGGCGCCTCTGTAAATGCCCCTCGACCGCCACTTGAGGAGCGCCCCCTCAGCTCACAACAGCCCTAGCAGTCTGGGGGGAGCCTCGGCTTTCTTGCCTCGCTGCCGGGCGATCCTCTTCCCAAAGGGGCCGGGCCCTTGAGCCTCGCCTAGCCCCTCTAGTTCCTGCTCCACCCAGCCACCAGGTGCGCGAGAAGAGCCGGCGATCAATCATTCTCCGCATTCAATCCCTTCCCCATGACCGGCTCTCTTTCCCGATCCCCCGGCGCTCCACCCGCCTCCTCTCCTCTCCCCAATCCGTGGGTGGGCCAAGGGGCAGAGCCGCCGCGCCTGGCCCGCTTCGGGTTCAGAGGCGTGTCTGAAGACCCCAGCGTGTGCACCAAAAGTCGCCTCTTCTCCTGACTTTCTCTTCAGCCATTGAGACCGAGAGAGATAGAGAGAAAGCCCCTCTGGCTGGAGGTATCTCCCACCTCCGCTTCCTCCTTAGTTTTTGCGCCTACCTTCAGGAAAGGTGGGCATCTCCACCTCTCTCTCTCTCTCTCTCTTGGTCCCAATGGCTGAGGAGAAAGTCAGGAGAAGAGGTGACTTTGGTGCACACGCCGGGGTCTTCAGCACGCCTCCGGACCCAAAGCGGGCCAGGCAAGGGAGCAAGTGCGGCAAGTGTAGTTACTGGGATGTATAGTTCACCTACAATCAAAGAGCATTCTGAACTCCACCAATGATGGAATTGAACCAAATATGGCACACAGAACTCCCACAACAGAAAATATATATCAATGATTGGTTGGGGGGGGGGGGCGCCAAAATACTGTTTGCTTACCATTGAAAATTACCTAGGGCCGCCTCTGATAATAATATTATTACCTAACATCCTAAAACAAACAATGCTTTCTTCTAATGGCCCGGGCACTGCTGGGTTCCCAAGCTAGTTAATAATAAGCAAGAGCAGCAGAATTCCCAGCCTTTACACAGCCTTCAAAGGCAGGGCAGGCCTCGCCCGTTTCCTCTCTGGCCCCTCGATGCTTGTTACGTAAGAGGCAGGAGGGGGGCAATGTTGTGGGAACCAAGGGGCGAGAGAGCGGGGGAGGCAAAGGGGCGAGGGGGCCTCTCCCTCCCACCTCAGGCGGAGGCCTTGATGGGAAGACACCCGAGCCTTTGGCGAGCGGCTTCTCCAAAGGCGTAGCCCATTGCGGTCTTTCTCCTCAAGGGCCTCACAGGGGCCTGAAGCCAAGCCGGCAAGAGGCAGGCCTCGGGGAAAACCATGCGGCCCTGACAGGACCCCCTCTGTCTGTTGTGGACGAGTCCCTTACCCGAGCACACGCTGATTCGCGACCACCCATTCTGACGTCACGACACGAGGGTGGGGAAGAGGGCAAGAATCCTCAGCCAAGCTCCCTCCAACGCTTTGCGACTGCCATTGATTCAAGACGCATGCGCAGTAATGGTTCCTTTTCGGAATGAACCATTCTGTTAGGAGGGGTGACGCTTTCATATTAGTGGGGGTCGCTATATTGCCGCTTTTTGTTCTCATTTCTATCTGTGTGATGGACTTGGGGCCATGACTTATTCTCCCCTTCTTTCTCCAGGGACTGTTTTTTCCCCTTCTTTCTCCAGCCTCTAGTTCTGTTGAATGTTTCCCCAGGATAGGCGCTCCCGTTGGTTTGTCCCGCCCTGACTATCCCTCGCTCCCTCAGGACGCCCTTCGCTCTTGGCGCATGCGCAGTGGCTCTTCTCCCGGCCGGTGCGAAATGGCGGCGCTGGCGACGGTGGTTCTGCGGAGGCTGCAGCAGGTGCCCTTGTTCGGCCCGGTAAGCGGCAGGGGGCACAAAGGGGGCTGTGAGGGGCGGGCGCCAGGCGTCGCTTCTTAGGAGTCCAAGCGCAGGCCCACTTTCGAAAGCAGCCCGGGAAGAGGAGAGACGGTGTGCCTGAGGCAGAGGGCAAGGCGGGAAGGAGGCGAGCAAAGGGCGCCGGGCCCGGGCCCATCTTTTCCTCAGCTGCCCTCGTCGCCTCTGTGGGTCGAAGGGGGCGGGGGCGTGGCAGGCCGCGAAGCCTTGAGCGCCCGCCCGGAGGAAGACCTGGCAGAGGGGAGGCCCCTTCTTCCGAGTACCTTGGCAAGCAGGCGGAGGGCTCTTCGCCTTGACCTTCAGGAACTGACTTTATTGGGGACAGGGCCGGCTCAACCCATTACGCAAAGTAAGCATTTGCAGTAGAGTTGATTTCCCCCCGGGGGTGCTCTTGAGGCGCTCTTGGGGGAAAATAGACCTTGACATATGCGAGTTGTAGTTACTGGGATGTATAGTTCACCTACAATCAAAGAGCATTCTGAACTCCACCAATGATGGAATTGAACCAAATATGGCACACAGAACTCCCACGACGAACAGAAAAAATATATACTGCCCCCGTTGAAAATTTCCTAGGGCCGCCTATGATTGGGGATCCTGGCTTTGGACCCCAGCAATGCCCGGATTAGATCTTATGTAACGCCCTTATGTAAAGTCGTCATTCATTGCTTTGGGTTTTTTTTTTAATGAAAGCACCAATTAGTAAACGCGTAAGAATGATAGCGAACTACAACTCCCACCATCCAAAGTCAATTCGCTCTAAAACCTGCCAGTAAAATTTTTAAAAGAAGCATTCTCTTCTGACATTTCACCCACATCTATGGCAGGCATCCTCAGGCAACATTCATACTTGCCTGAAATATAATAATATTTAGGTTCTTGTAGGTTTTTTCCGGGCTATATGGCCATGTTCTAGAGGCATTCTCTCCTGACATTTCGCCTGCACCTATGGCAAGCATCCTCAGAGGTAGTGAGGTCTGTTGGAACTTGGGAAAAGGGTTTATATATCTGTGGAATGACCAGGGTGAGACAAAGGACTCTTGTCTGCTGGAGCTAGGTGTGAATGTTTCAACTGACCACCTTCATTAGCATTTGAAGGCCTGGCTGAGCCTGGGAAAATCTCCTGTTGAGAGGTGTTAAGATGTACCTGGTTGTTTCCTCTCTGCTGTTTTGCTGTTGTAATTTCAACAGAAAGGGAGAGACCATGAAAATGAACAAAATCTGGCTACCAGTATTAAAAAACTCTAAAATTACTACAGCAAAACAGCAGAGAGGAAACAACCAGGCACATCTTAACACCTCTCAACAGAACAATTTCCCAGGCTCAGCCAGGCCTTCAAATGCTAATGAAGGTGGTCAGCTGAAACATTCACACCTAGCTTCAGCAGAGAGCTCTTTGCCCCACCCCAGTCATTCCACAGATATATAAACCCATTTTCCTATTTCCAACAGACCTCACTACCTCTGAGGATGCTTGCCATAGATGCAGGCGAAACGTCAGGAGAAATGCCTCTAGAACATGGCCCTATAGCCCGAAAAAACCTCCAAGAACCTAGTGATTCCAGCCATGAAAGCCTTCGACAATACATAATAATATTTATTTATTTGATCCGTCATATGACCATTTCAAAATAGAAGACGAGTAAAAAACAAGGCAAAAAAGTGAGGACAGCAGCTGACCTTTTATTTATAGTCAGAATCTTATTTTCCTGGTTCTTCTTTCAGGACATCTGCTCTTTTCTTGATAGCTTTCAGAATAAAAAGGCTTACTCTGATTATGCTGGATCTTTCCTGCCCTTGCAAGAGGGATGTCAGAAGATCATTTCTGTTGGGGGACCTGCGGTTGGATAATAGAATCATAGAATCAAAGAGTTGGAAGAGACCTCATGGGCCATCCAGTCCAGCCCCCTGCCAAGAAGCAGGAATATTGCATTCAAATCACCCCTGACAGATGGCCATCCAGCCTCTGTTTAAAAGCTTCCAAAGAAGGAGCCTCCACCACACTCCGGGGCAGAGAGTTCCACTGCTGAACGGCTCTCACAGTCAGGAAGTTCTTCCTTGTGTTCAGATGGAATCTCCTCTCTTGTAGTTTGAAGCCATTGTTCCGCGTCCTAGTCTCCAAGGAAGCAGAAAACAAGCTTGCTCCCTCCTCCCTGTGGCTTCCTCTCACATATTTATACATGGCTATCATATCTCCTCTCAGCCTTCTCTAATATTGGACGTAAATATCTGTCTCGCAATTCAGTGTATGCTGGACACTCAATTAAGAAATGTTCAATATCTTCCACTGTTTGTTCTCCCCATACACAGAATCTCTCACTTCTTGGGATGTTACAGTAGCGCCCGGTTTGCATCATAATACCGAGTTGTTCAAACCTAGCCCTAGTATATATTCTTCTTAAGGCTAGTGGAAGTGGAATAGTTAGGTATGGGGAAGCCAAAAACCTTGTGGCTGAAGACCTACCTATGCTCTCTAGGTCCAGCTGTGCATAGACCCCAAATGCGCTTGCCCTGCCCCCGGACCTGCCAGTACTTAGTTGGACATGATGACTGTGAGTGCCAGTCATGGTCCAGATCCATCGTCGGTTGGCTGTGGAGTGCTCTCTGGATGCGGATGAATTATAACTCCCAACCTCCGAGGTCAATTCCCTTCAAACCCTGCCAGGACTTAAAGTTGGCTGTACTCAGTGTTTGTGCCAAGTTTGCTTGAGATCTGTTCTTGGCAGGAGTCACAAGGGCCTCTGGATGTGGAGTGAACTATAACGCCCATAATCCAGTGTAAGTCCCCTCTCAGACCCTTACAGTTTGTTCTGTTAGTCATGGGGTGGGTGTGTCTGTGTGCCAAGTTTGGTCTAGATCCATCATCTGAGGGAGTCACTCAGTTCTTTGAAATTGGGAGCAATCTTGGAAATCACCCACAAACATAAAATACAAACATCATAGAATAATTGGAAGAGGCCACGTGGGTCATCTTGTCCAATCCCCTGCCATACAGGAAAAGCACAATCAAAGTACCCCTGACAGATGGCCATCCAGCCTCTCTTTGAAACTCCTTTCATCACACTCCAAGGCAGAGAGCTCCACTGCTGAACAGCTCTTACAGCTTTCTGAAATCCATCCTAATGTTCAGGTAGAATCTCCTTTCCTGTAATTGGAACCTATTGCTCTGAGTCCTACTTTCCAGGGCAGCAGAAAACAAGCACCCCCTCTTCCCTATGACATTCTTTCATATATTTATACATGGCTATCATATCTTTTCAACCTTCTCTTCCGCAGGCAAACATGCCTAGTTCTTTAAGATGCTCCTCATAGGGCATGGTCTCCAGGCCTTTGACCATTTTAGCTGCTCTCTTCTGGATGCCTTCCAGTTTGTTAATATCTCTTTTAAACTGTGGTGCCCAGATTTGGACACAGTATTTCAGGTCTAACCAAGGCAAAATAGAGAGGCACATGACTGATCTAGACACTACACTCCTTTTGATGCAGGCCAAAACCCAACTGGCTTTTTTAGCTGCTGTATCACACTGTTGGCTCATGTTCAGCTTGTTGTCCACGAAGACCTCAAGATCTTTTTCACATGGACTGTTATCGAGCCAGGCTTCCCCCATCCTGTATCTTTGCATTTCGTTTTTTCTGCCTAAGTATAGTATCTTGCATTTGTCCTTGAAATTCCTTTTGTGAGTTTTGGCCCAGCTCCCTAATCATTTAAGGTCATTTTGAATTCTGATCCTGTCCTCTGGAGTATTAGCTGTCACTCCTAACTTGATGTCATCTGAAAACTTGATAAGCATTCCCTTTCAACCTTCATCCAAGTCATTAATGAAGATATTGAACAGTTCTGGGCCCTGCAGAAGTCACTTTTTTCCAGGATGAAGTGGAACCATTGGTCAGCACCCTTTGGGTTTGGTTGCTTAACTAATTACAGTCGCACCTAATAGTAGCATTACCTAGCTCACATTGACTAGGTTTTTTTTTTTTTTGCAACAAAGGCCATGGGGGACCTTGTCGAAGGCCTTGCTACAAGAAATGCTAAATCTACAGCATTCCCCACATCTACCAAGCTTGTAACTATATATAAAAAAAGAGATAAGATTAGTTTGGCATGACTTGTTTTTGAGAAATACATGCAGACTTTCAGTAATCACGGCATTTCTTTCTAAGCCGTTGCAGACTGCCTCCTTAATGATCTTCTCCAGGATCTTTCCTCGTATTAATGTCAGACTAACTGGATAGCAATTGTTTGGATCCTCTTTTTTCCCCTTCTTGAAGATAGGGGCAACATTTGCCCTCCTCTAGTCTGCTGGGACTTCTCCAGTTCTCCAAGAATTCTCAAGGATTATTGCCAGTGATACTGAAATTACTTCTGCTAGTTTTTTCAATACTGTTGGACCCTGGAGACTTGAATTTATTTAGAGGAACCAGGTATTTCTGGACTACTACTTTACCTGTTTTGGGTTGCGTTCTCTGTATTACTTCTTCAGCGTCATACTGGTCAGGTTGAACACCAATCCCCTTTTAGGAAAAGACTGAGGCAAAGAAGGTAATCTGTATGTATGCATCATGTTTTACATACATACAAACATAATTTCACTTTTATATATATGGATAAATAGAAAATAGATAGATAAATATTTGTCTAGATCAGTGGTTCCCAACCTGTGATCGGTGAACCACCAGTGGTCTGCAAGAACTAAAATATGGGTGCGCCTCACCGTTTCTACACTGTTGCAACACTTCTTGCAAAACTCTCTTATAGTGCCAAGGCTTATTAAATGTGGTTTTCTGTGGGTGAGCGGATGATAACTACTGGATAGCGTATGTTCTGTATTAGAAACTAGAACTTATCTGATGTATCTAATGCAATTTACTGAATCAGCACCCCAAATAACCAAACCGAATCTAAAGTTGACCAAAAACTGATTCGTCACCCTTTTGGTACTAACTTTGGAGATTAGTCCCTGGTTAAGTGGTCTCTTGTCAAAGAAAGGTTGGCAGAATAGAGGAAATGGCAGAATAGAGGAAACTTATAACTGTAGTTTTGATCTGTTAATCAGAGAACACACTTAGGTTATATCTTGTTGTCTTCCATTAAAATGGTTGAAGACTCAAAAAGTAGAGGTGAATTTATAAATACAATTATTGTAAATTATTGTAAGTATTGTGCTATTTCCTTGCACTGTAGCTGACTTTCATTGGCACATGGGCATAAGCCTTAAGTACATGGAAAATAGGGCACAACACAAGAAATTGGCAAAACAAATGAAAAGGAATAATGTGTGTTACGCTATCACTTTCGATCTAGGATGATAGACGCAGGCCATTATATTTACAAGTACAGTGTCAGATAAACTAACGATGCCTTCCCAGCCCTGCCATCTTCCTCTCTTTCCACCTTTTAGATGATATGCTTGACGTCATGCTCATTATTGCAGATGATAGGAGTAGTCAAACGCTGAGAAATGACAAATAGGAAGAGCCATGTGTGAATTATGCTTTGTGGAGATGCAAAGATTTCATTTCATTGTCTGAGTTAAGATATGGCAATCCTAAAACTTGTGGTCAGAATGGAAGAGGGTGGGGAATGGTATAACAGTACTAACATTAAGCAATAGCCTTATTCAGCCATAAAATTAAACTTGTTATTTAGTATTGGTGAAAAAACTGGAATGAATTTGCTTCTCTTTTTGTCTCTTCTGGCAAGATTCCAGGATCAGATGATTTTACTTCCATTTTAACCACCAATTTTCATTGATTGTGAATTGTGTGTGTGTGTGTGTGTGTGTGTGTAAAACACTAAATAGAAAACACAGATAGACATTTTAGATATACAAAACTATCATAACTACAAAGCTATATAGTAAACACTACAACTTTGCAACTATAAAAAATACAAACTTCCTACACTTTGCTTGATGGTAACTTTCTCTTAAGAGTCTCATCCATTTAAACAATGATGTAAAACCAAACTCTACTATTTATAAATCCCAAAGGTGATAAATGCCTCTGTCATAACTATGGAAAGATTTTGGACAGGTCTCAGTCTTTCTTAAAATTAGTCAGAGTTCTCCTTAATCAGCATAGTTAATTTTTCTATTACTGCTGTTTCTTAATGGTCAAAGTATCTTGTAAATACTTGTAATGAACATTGTAAAGTTAATAGTTAACATCTCTGGTGCCGTAACTCATGTATTAAGAGTGCTTCTTATAAAGTAGGAAATAATACTAAGAAATTGGTGTGGTAGACTTACATTGCATCTACACTAACCATATAATGTAGTGTGTATTCTGGCTCAAAATTTAAAGTGTCCCCTTACTTTGGAACTGTATAAACAGTTGGGCTGGTTTCTAGATGGAACCAGACACAACTGTTTTCATCACCATTCCTCGTTTCCTGGGCTAAGGGAGCCTAGGGACATGGGATAGCACTTACTGTCCCCCTATGTTCTCCATGTTATGGCAGTCTCGGGGCACAAGCTGGGTCCTACTGGTTGTCTATCATCTGCAGTAACATCAGCCGGGGTGATTGAAGAAGGGAGTGGAGAGATGATCAGGCGTTTCCTCTTCCCTCATCACTACAGCCAATGTCACTGCAGCTGATGATTGACCAGTGGGACCCATACTGTGGCATAAGAATGAGAAGGGTCAACCAGCAGTACTTAATCATATTCAGAACCACAGGGTGGTTGTGAATATGATTCAGTACCACAGTGGCAGAAGCATTTTAAACTTGTTAGTGAGCCTTGTTGTGAAGTGTGAGAAGCCTTCTGATCCAGTGTCTTAAAACACCTGTAAACTCTGAAGAACATAGCTTAAAATCCACTAGAAGTTCCCAGGAATAGCAACTGTAATTGAAAATATAGGGGCCCGTCTCTGCCTTCTCCCTAAAGTGTAAATAGTTTATACTGTTCAATGGCATTATGAAAAGAAAGAAGTGAATTTCAGTCAGCTGCATTCTACTGCTTTAGAGGCCTAGGTTTGCAAAACCACAGCAGGACTGTTAACAAGTTTTCTTTGAAGTCCTTTTAATAGGGTCACTATAAATCAAAAATAACTTGATAACATATAACAACAGCCTGATATTGGAATAAATTGATTCATACATCCGTTGAAGTTTTTGGAATAGTTTAATTGCTTTTCCGTACTGTGTTCATATGAATTATGTCAAGCAATAAAAGAAAGTAAGGTTATGTTAACTGTAAAGTTATATCAACAAACGAAACGTTAACTGTGCAAATACACAGTGAAACATAATAGGGCAATGAGACATAATAACAAACCTTATATGTGTAAAATGACTCTAGATCAAAGGAATTCTGTGTTAAAATTATATTGTGTTCATGTTATCTCGTTTTAGGAGATGTCCAGTAATAAATCTATTATGTCAAGGTAGCAGTTACATAGACATGCAATTGGAGTAGTTTAAACCAATTCTATTTTTAAAGGAAACAAACAAAAAAAGACAGCAAACAGAAAGCCACATGAAAAGTAAATGTTTCTGCCTCATTCCATTATTTCTCCCTTTGTCTGTGGCAGCTGTGGGAAAAGCTATGAAAATGTTAAGTGTCACACAGCTGTAGAAGGTATAGGAGCCATGACAGAAAAAAGTGATAAATTCTCATTATACTGTCTGAAATAGCATCTTTCCTCCTGAATCTTGACAGTAAACATTGAATGGTTTTTATTTGCTTATTGCATCAACATTTTTTGTCATCTTTCAGCAGGGATTTGCTGCTGGCCAGGTTTTCTCTCGTAACTTTCACTTTACAGTTTATGGAAAGAAAAATGCATCTGCTAAAGTATCTGATTCAGTAAGTACTTATTTGCCCAATATTTGCCTGAAATGTTAGTCCCTTCGTTTGATGTTTTGTGAAGAAAATAAAAAAGCCAATAAACAAATGTTAGGTATGCACCTTTAAGAGTTCCAGTGCCACAGCAAAGTGTGGCTGGGATTCTGTTTGTCAGCTGTGGTGGCATGACTACACTGGTACAGTAATGGTTGGTGGAAGAAGATCCAAATGATCTTTCAAGCAAGAATTGCTAGAATACTGTAACTTGGGCAGGGATTGCGCAGATACCCTATTTGGGGCCGTCAGTCTTCCCCTCCCAGCAGCACAGCAGTGACAGATTTATTTATCTTTCCTAGAGGTAGTGCTTCCTTCCTTATCACTGTGCAACCCTGACAAAAGTGCAGTTGCTTATGTAAAATTACATACTGGAGAAATACATGAAAAGAATCTGAAATGTGGTTGGAAGGAAGCAAGTCTGTAGAGCATATTTGAGAAAGGACAAGTAAAAGTGGTGCACCTGAACACATCAATGATTCTAGACTGAGAATGTAAAAACTTCCTGTTGGGATAGATGTGGCTTTTGTAGAATTCCTTTTAGGCCTACGGGCTGCTAATACCTTTATTTCCAATCATTGACAGAGGGAAGAGGGTATTCAAAGCTATGTAGACTTTAAAAAACCCTTGCTTTTTAATACTTTGGTTTTTGTTTTGTTTTTTGCGTAAGTGGATACTGTTATACTGAGATTCATTTCTGAGGAGGTATGCATAATATTAAACAATGCTTTGTAGGCTTGATGAGAAAATGCACACATTGACGAAATCTGACCCTGTCCATTTAATCCTTGTTTTCATCCCTATCCTTCCAAAGTTGGAGCTTGACCAATTTTGGTTAAAAAAAAAACCTTCCACCCTTGTTCTAAACCAATATTACTTTACACACCTGAGTACATCCCTCCAAGAAGGACTGGAGGCACTGTATAACAGTGCATTCAGTCGCAGAGAGTCAGTTCAGAAGTATACCAAGGTCAATGGGCATAGAAAGTCACAAAAAGCTCTAACAGTATTTTTTAAACTCTGCCTTTCCTGACTTCAGCTCCCAGAATAACTGATAGTTACCTAAGGCAGCTGAGGTTTCTGGGAGTTGAAGTCCAACATACCTGAAAGACCAGAGCAGGCCTGCAGAACCTGTGACCCCCTAGGTATTTGGGCCTCCCAACTCCCAGAAGCCCTAGTGAGTTTGCCCAGTGATCATGAATTCTGGAAGCCAAAGTCAAAAACATCTGGAGGGCAATAGGTTGTGCAGGCCTAGACTAGTGTTTGAGAATCATTTTCTGTAGCATAACCAACAGACATTCACTCCCTCATCTAGTTGCCTGCATTGGCCATCCACCAAGTAGACCAAAGCTATCTCTGTTTCAAAAACAGGCCTGAAACCAAACTAAAGTAGATCCAGGTAATCCATTTCATCCAGGAACGCTTGGAACTGTAGTCTTAGTTCCACTCATTTCATCACCACCAGCTCCATTCTGTGGGAAAAGGCACCAACTTTATGGGTCCACTCTATGGGGAGGGACACTTAGGAAAGCAATTATGTCCACTATCCTAGCCATTTCCCTATTCCGGAGATTTGTCAGGTTTTGACAGGATCAGTCAATGCAAAAGGAAGTCCCCAAAAGCTATCAGAAATCCATCTTCATCCACAAACATTGTGTGAACCTTTTTTATCCAGCACCATCATCACTGCAAAGGCTTCATGTGAGCCTCTAAATTCCATGACAATGGAGCTATAGAAAATTCTGTTTCCCAAGTTTATGGCTGTTCTTTCAAATTTCTCTTTCAGATTTCAACACAATATCCTGTAGTGGATCATGAATTTGATGCAGTTGTTGTGGGTGCAGGTGGTGCAGGTCTGCGAGCGGCATTTGGCTTATCTGAGGCTGGGTTTAATACAGCATGTGTTACCAAATTGTTTCCTACCAGATCCCATACTGTTGCTGCACAGGTAAGGAAACATTTGATCCCAATCGTAGACTGGCCACGAGGAGTAAGGCAGGCCCCATTCTATATAGAATGTTGTATCCTGGTATTTATTGTGTAGAAGCAGTGCTGAAACCTTTTGTTTAAATGTGTATTTTGCGGCTTAAATTTTGAAGGACAACATTTAATCCAATTGTTCTATGAATCCATTAATATGATTTATAATTTATTAGGAAAATGTTTTGAGACAACAGTTTGCAAGAATGCTTATTATAATATGGAGTATTCAATTGTGTAAACTTAACCTGCAGTGTGAAGTTAAAAAAATGTTCACTATGTTAGTAAGAACTATCCTTTAGAAACAATAAAGCCATATTATTCAATTCTGTGGATTTGTGGAATTATAGGGGACATTTCAATAATTGCAAAAATGAACAATAACAAAAAAAGTTCAAATTTCTGGTGTTGTTCCAGGTCTATTATCAGAGCCTATCTTTGCGTTTAGTAATGTGTTTGGTGTTAAACATTTGTTAAATTTATAGGCCATTGAAGCTTTTTCAATTAAAAAATGCATTACAAATGCCAACATATTAATGGAAATACATAGCAAATGTAAAAAAATCCTTAGATTTGCTCAATTTTGTGATGGAACATTAGTCACTGAACATACTTTTATCCACATTGAAAACATCCCTAAAGCAGCAGGTTACTAAATTATCTGTGTAGAGAAATGCATTTATTAATTTCATCTTCAGGGAGGAATCAATGCTGCTTTGGGGAATATGGAAGAGGATAACTGGAGATGGCATTTCTATGATACTGTGAAAGGCTCTGACTGGCTGGGTGACCAGGATGCAATTCATTACATGACTGAGCAAGCCCCTGCTTCAGTTATTGAGGTAGGAATAAAAACAGTTAAATGTGATTTATTGCTATTTCTGTTAAAGTAAAGTTATTGGACTATGAGCAAAACCAATTAAGTAATAAGTTTGTTTAATTTGTATGTGTAAAGTATTGTCTGTCTTCTGGAATATTCAGCTTTCTTGTCTTCCAGTTTGCAGAATTTTTGAAGTTATAGGTAGAAGTTTTTTGGGGGAATTTTCTTTTTCTGGAGTAGAAAACAATATGAGTAGCCTTTACAAATCGAAAGTGACCTTGTTACTTTAAAAACATAAAATCTATTATATCCTGTTTGGTTTGGATTAAAATTATCATGCTTGGAATATTTCATGGACAATTTATTCAGTCAGTATTTGCAAATACATGTTTGAGTGTATGTGACAAATGATGCTACAAGGAAGTCCTGAACTGTAGGGAATCTTTTGGTTTTGTCAATGATTAAGGAACAGGCAAAAACAATCAAATGTAAGAAATCATTAGTATTACTAAATTTTTCTGGTGTTCCATAGTATTGAGCAGATATAAAGCACTCATTCTCATAAAAGAAAGCGAGAAAAGGAAACAAAGAACAGCAGTTGCCATGTTCTGACACTATGTTAAAATCTAACTGTTAAATACTTTTTAGGAATGATTTTGGTGTAGCATATTTATTAATAGTTCTAAAAGGAAATACTCTGTCAGTCATTATGTGGTGTTCCTGAAAATAACAGGGAGAAAAAAAGTGTCTTAAGATGGAGAAAGTAAACTGAATGGGTTTCTGGTGGATATGTAGGGTTGAAGATAGAACTGTCAATGTGTAATAAGGATGCAAAGACAGTGGTTGCTGTGCACTTTTGAAGCCAAAAGCATGGTGGGAACCAAAAAATCAATGCATTGTTATAAGTTAATGTGTCAGTACTGAGCAGAAGTACTTGGAAATCTTATGTCACAAAGCTGGAGATTGAATTTAGATGGAGCAGTTGGCTAACACACACACACAAATATTATCACATAGTGGCTGGATAGATTAGAGCCTAGTAATGGAAAATGCTCTTTTCCACCATGAATGAAACTTGCATTTTGTTTTGCTTTGTGGTGAAAAAGTAATACTGCAGCTCAAGGCCGTAGCCAGAAAAAAATTTCGGGAGGGGTTGAAAATTTCAGGAGGGATTTTGAAAATTTCGGGGGGGGGGGGGTTGAAACCTGCCTCCTAGCTCACGCTGAAGCAAAGAGCACAGCAGGGGGCAGAGCAGCCTTCAATAGCCTGCAGCTCCGCCCCTGTCAACCACCTCCACCAAGTCTGGCCTCCTTAATGAGAGCATTCAACACCCCCCCCCCCCAACTTGGTTGCTTCACTACATCGGCTATTGCTGCAAGTAATGACAGTGTGAATAAATTGTCAATATTTGCTTGAGATGTGCTTGCAGTTCTGGAGGGACTCTTAATTTTTTGCGTCTCATAGACTTAGCATGCTGCAGCTATATTTTGAGTAACAACACAAAACTTTTGTAATATGCTACAAGATATCCCAGGGCATTTCATGACATAGATCTCCTAACCAATCTCTTTAACTTGTTTAAGGAAATCTTCTTTGACCTTATAATATCCCAATTTATATAAGTGTTTATACTGTCCTTTGTTTGTGATTCTGATGTAAAGTTTTCTTATGCTTTTTTTTTTAAAAAAGAGTTACCTGTTAGTAGTTTTTGTTTCTGTATTTACAGTTAAATAGCTAACAATCTCTGCCTTGATGTCTTAGTTGGAGAATTATGGTATGCCATTTAGCCGGACAGAAGATGGGAAGATCTATCAGCGTGCCTTTGGGGGACAGAGTCTTAAGTTTGGGAAAGGAGGCCAGGCTCATCGTTGCTGCTGTGTAGCTGACCGAACAGGACACTCCTTGCTGCACACCCTTTATGGACGGGTAAGAAATCATGGATTTGTATGGGGCTGGAGACCAAGCTCTCTGATCTAATGATTAAACATGAAAAATGATTGCTTTGGCTTGTGGCATTTTCTATGCTGTCATGGCATTAAGAGCCAAGTTGTTACGGCTGCTATGAAAATACTTCTTAGCATAATCAGTGAAGTAACATATCTCATGTTAGTTTGAGAACATTTACATGTAGAAGTTATATAAAAACGTTTTATACATTGAGAACAGAGTCAAATATTTGAGGTTGATAATAAACTCAAATTATAATTACAGATGAAAATGAAAGTTTCTTCAATTCTTCTTTTCCCAGAAAGTATTAATTATTGTATATTCCCATAAATTTACAAGAATAATATTTCTAAAGTATCTAAAATAGATGCTTTATTTACAAAGGAAAGAAACAGCAAAGTTCAATTTTACTGGGGTTAACCAATAAAATGAGCCGAGCTCAATTCATTGGCTAAACGTAACAAAACATTTCCTAATGCAACAAAATGGATATTGCTTTGTATGCCCTTTAATATGAAGCAATACATTTTTCTCCTCTCATCCTCACTTCTAGTCTCTCAGATATGACACCAGTTACTTTGTGGAGTATTTTGTCCTTGATCTCCTGATGGAAAACGGAGAATGTCGTGGTGTTATTGCACTTTGTATAGAAGATGGCACCATACATCGTATAAGAGCAAAGAATACAGTTATCGCCACTGGGTAATATGTTAATAATTATGTTGATGTAATGTTAATGTACCACTTGTAAGTACTTGTAAGTTTGTGATTAAACTGGCCTCAGACAGAGTAGTGGAGTGAACAGCATGTTGTGCTATCCCTGCTTCGTTACCTATTGCCTAATGCACCAGCTTCTCCAGGTGTTTTTGTGACTTCAGCTCCCAGAAATCCTAGCTAGTTAACCAGCTGTTAGGAATTGTGGGAGATAATGTCCAAAACATATGTAAGGTTTTGAGATGTTACCAATGTCATATTTCGCAGTTTAAAAAAATCGCATTTAACTTTTGTTAAGTGATTCAAAGAGATAGCGGTGTTACTCTGGTTCATTATACAAAGAGATCCATATATCTCATGAAGCAGACTTAAGTCTACAAAAATTTATGTGAAAAACTTTTTCTCTGTTGGTGTCAAAGGTATTACAAAATACCCTTTAACATTAACTGGCCAACACACATTTTGGTGCCCCAGATGTTAGTCCGGTTTCTGGGTATATTTGACCTGCTGATTCCAAACATGGCACCTGTTTCCCTCTATCAGCTCTAGTTTTTGAGATATTGAACATATGCCACCTATCAGGCACCATCTGCTCACTCATAGAAAATAATGACAACCATGTCTAAGAAACTAGAGCTAATGCAGTCTATCCAATCAATTTTCTGAATCAAATAGCCCCAGGAACAACCCTAAAAACCAAGATGCCAAGGTTTTTTTTTGTTGGACTGTGTAATTCATGAAATATTAGAGATCTTAGGGAAAATACTTTATTTGATTGTGCCATGTGGACAGAGGTGATTATTTCTCACGAAACCTTTGTGTATTGTGCTGGGCAAGTACTAATTCTGAATTGTTTTCTAGAGGGTATGGGCGCACATACTTCAGCTGCACATCTGCTCACACTTGTACTGGAGATGGGACAGCTATGATTACTCGGGCAGGCCTGCCTTGTCAGGATTTGGAATTTGTGCAGTTCCATCCCACAGGTAAAAGTTCTGTAATGCTACCGTCAACAAAACTTTATTATGTGTACATATATTACTGATTTCTCTTTGTATCCCTTTAAGAAAAAACAGATATGATAAGGAATTGAAATATGCAGGTGAACACAGGTAACGTGCCAGTCAATTTGCAGACATAGTGGGTCTCACTCTCCTTTCCTAGAGATGACCAATCTATGGAGGATATATGAGGTGACATGGAGTCCATTCAAAAAATGAGGTACCAAAACATAGAGCAGGTGCAAATACCAGATAGGTTGGCATATCTTCAAGATGAAGTGGACAAAGGTTTAAGACTAATACACTGAAAAGATCAGTGGCAGAAATGTTGTAACAATTTTGACATTTGGGAACTGTTTATTTTGAGCTAATCTCATGTCGGAACACAGACGCCTTAAAGGGCCAGACTCAGAGTTAGTTCTAAAATAGAGTTTATTAAACAAAAAAAAAGGACTCAGATACTTAACTCAGTGTCTCTGGCCAAAACTCAAAGGTGAAAACCAGTCCTAGTTCAAAAAGGTAACTAAAGCAATAACCTGGATTATCTGGAGAAAAGAACCGGGTTAAACAAAAACGCTACGAAAGTCACACAAAACAGCTCAGCATGCAAACTGTTAACAAAACACAGAAGCCACAAGGAAGAGAGCGTGGTCAAACGAAGTCCAGGGTCGTAGCAAACAAAATCCGAAGTAGCGAAGTTCCAAAGTCCACAAATGTAGCGTTGTAGTCAAACCGATCCAAAGTCAAGGAAGGGGAAAATCCACACTCACAAGAACCCAAGCCAAGTCGAAAGCACACACAAACAGAAGTAGTAACCTGTAGACTATAAACACACCACACGTTGAGTAAAGAAACAATCCTTTTTATTAAAGCTTAGCAAAAAAGCCAGTAGAAATAAATGTTCATAAGGATAGATAAGGTTCCAAAAAGCAATAAGGCATTTAAAGGCAGCCAGATAAAAGTGTCCAAATGTAGCAATCAAAAACAATGTCCAAAAACCATGACATTATAATCCAAGGCAATGATACCCAGACAGGAATCAAACAAGAAGCAAGAACAGACCAGAAGCTGCTGGTCACCTTATAAAGTTAGAAAAATCCATGAAGACAAGACCACTTGAACAGGGATTCCATGAGGCTTATACTTGGTTTCTAAACTATGCCTGATCTGACGAGATTTTCTACAGACAAAACTTAAATCCCAAAAACTAGTTTCGCTTTCCCCCAGACTTTGACTTTAATTGATGAATTCTTTCAGATCTACGTAAACATTGGGCCTCTTGTCGATTCTGGCTAATCTCCAGCCGCTGACTCTGCTTATCTGACTCCTCATTAACTTTAGCAGGTGTCAGACTGTTTTCCAAACGAATCTGAAAAGCTCACAGACGAAGGGAGTAAACCTTTCTCCCAAGGCCTGACAGAAGCATTTTGCCCAGGGAATTCAAAATGAATAATCATTCACCATAACTACCAACTTTTCATAGCAAAAGCTATCTAATTTCAAATTGATAGCTCCACTATAGAACCGTAGCCCTAAGGACTGACAAAAGTTATAGCATATACATTTTTAGGCTTATACTGATTTTTATCAGATTCATCCATTCAATTCCTAGGTTGTTTGTGTGTGAAGGAGAAAAAAAGGAGATGATGAATTTCAGGACTAAAAAAAGGCTGTGAAAGGCAAAAGATACTAGAGAAATGTGTGTACTTTTGGAACCCAAATATGTATGACATTAAAGCTTTCCTGAAATGGATGCGTGCTCATAGAAGCTGATCATTTGTCAAATGTAAATAGTTTAACAGGGTGTGACTTCTGGTTCTTCAGGGATCTATGGTGCTGGCTGTCTTATTACTGAGGGCTGTCGTGGTGAGGGAGGCATTCTAATCAACAGTGAAGGTGAAAGGTTTATGGAGAGATATGCTCCAGTTGCAAAGGATCTTGCATCAAGAGATGTTGTGTCTCGTTCTATGACTATTGAGATCCGTGAAGGAAGGTAAGCCTAGTTGTTTACAATTGCAATTTCTGTGAATGTATTTATAGAAATATGTGATGGCTGGATTGTTCAATTTCTTAAATTAGATGAGTCCAATATATTTAAGAAGAATGCCAGGATGAGGGAGGCAATGGTTCTCAACCTTCCTAATGCCACGACCCCCTAATACAGTTCATGTTGTGGTGATCCCCAACCACAAAGTTATTTTTGTTGCTACTTCACAACTGTCATTTTGCTACTTTTATGAATTGTAATATAAATATCTGATATGCAGGATGTGTTTTCATTCACTGGACCATATCTGGCACAAATGCCCGATAAGCCCAAATTTGAATACCGGTGGGGTTGGGAGGTTGATTTTGTAATTTGGGAGTTGTAGTTGCTGGGATTTATAGTTCACCTACAATTAGAGAGCATTCTGAACTCCACCAACGATGGAATTGAACCAAACTTGACACACAGAACTCCCATGACCAACAGAAAATACTGGAAGGCTTTGGTGGGCACTGACCTTGAGTTTGGGAATTGTAGTTCACCTACACTCAGAGAGCACTGTGGACTCAAATAATGATGGATCTGGACCAGACTTTGCACAAATGTTCCATATGCCCAAATGTGAACACTGGTGGAGTTTGGGGAAAATAGACCTTGACATTAAGAACTTCCTGACTGTGGGAGCTGTTCAGCAGTGGAACTCTCTGCCCCGGAGTGTGGTGGAGGCTCCTTCTTTGGAAGCTTTTAAACAGAGGCTGGATGGCCATCTGTCAGGGGTGATTTGAATGCAATATTCCTGCTTCTTGGCAGGGGGGTTGGACTGGATGGCCCATGAGGTCTCTTCCAACTCTTTGATTCTGTGATTCTGTGATTTGGGAGTTGTGGTTGCTGGGGTTTATAGTTCACCTACAATCAAAGAGCCTTCTGAACCCCACCAACAACAGAATTGTGCCGAACTTCCCACACAAAAACCCCATGACCAACAGAAAATATTGTGCTTTCTGATGGTCTTTGGCAACCCCTCTGACACCCCCCTCGTGACCCCTCCAAGGGTCCCGACCCCCAGGTTGAGAAATGCTGCCTTAGGGGCATTGTTCTGGCATGACTTCTGTTGCGTTTTATGCAAGATAGTGTAATGATATATCCTGTACTCCCCTAGGCAAGTAGCTCCCAATTTACCCAGAGTATGGTGCGCTGGGTACTGCCCCTGCAGAACCCAGGCCTATCCCTATCTCACACAACTGGAATGGCCACTTATAAGCTGTAGGGTGCACTGAGAAGGTACTAATTGTATACTTTCCCTACCAAAACAGCTTTTTGTGTTATCTGCACATAAACACGCCCATGAAATGTATGCTCTCTCATCTTAAACAAGATGTCACCCTGAATTGATTTTTCTGAAAATATTTGTAGAAGGAGCAGGATATAAATAACTGTTACATGAATGACTTGTATCTAGAAATTGTGGGTTTTTTTGTAGACCAGGTGTCCTCAAACTATGGCCCAGGGGCCGGATATGGCCCTCCAAGGTCATTTACCTGGCCCTCGCTCAGGGTCAATCGAAGTCTGAAATGACTTGAAGGCACACAACAACAACAACAACAATCCTATCTCATCAGCCAAAAGCTGGCCCACACTTCCCATTGAAATACTAATAAGTTTATATTTGTTAAAATTGTACTTCATTTTAATTAGTTTATTGTTTTAAAGTGTATTTTTACACTACAAATAAGATATGTGCAGTGTACATAGGAATTCATTCATGCTTTTTTCAAATTATAATCCGACCCTTTAACAATTTGAGGGACTGTGACTTGGCCCTCTGTTTAAAAAGTTTGTGGATCCCTGTTGTAGACAATGCTGGATGACCAAACATGTCTTTAAAATGTACTCCTAGAAACACAGTTCAGCTTATATTAAATAAACATGTGGCTGTGTACACAAAGCAAGGATGTATGTAAAGGAATTGTAGGTTTTTTCAGGCTATATGGCCATGTTCTAGAGGCATTCTCTCTTTAGTAGAGAATGCCTCTAGAACATAGACATATAGCCTGAAAAAACCTACAACAACCCAATATTCCGGCCATGAAAGCCTTCCAAAATACATATGTAAAGGAAGATGGAAAAAGTTCACAGCTCCATGATACGATTCCTAATCTTAATCCAAATTCTAAAGGTTTAAACTTTAGAAACCACCACTAGGCATACATTTGTTTGACAACTTCATGTTTCTGTTACTGCAGTGCTTCCAATTTTTTTCCAGCTAAGTTAGTCAGTGAATTAACAATGTTGTATCCAGGATGAATTATGAAGAGACTGTAGCTACTTTTTATTTTAAATAACAGAGGATGTGGACCTGAGAAAGACCATGTGTACTTGCAGTTACACCACTTGCCACCTCAGCAGCTAGCAACACGTCTTCCTGGGATTTCAGAAACTGCTATGATATTTGCTGGTGTAGATGTCACCAAAGAACCCATTCCTGTTCTGCCCACTGTGCATTATAATATGGGAGGTGTCCCTACAAACTACAAAGGGCAGGTAAATTTTCATAAGTATTCATATTCAAAAAGGCAGTATATTAATGGACCATTGTGGTTTTGTTTCTTGCAACTGAGCTTGTGACAAATCCACCACCATTTTTATTTTCCCTTGTCCCACCTCTTTTTGCCATCACTACTTTCTTTTCCAGTGTTGGAGAACAGTATTTTTCACTGCAATAAGGAGAGTATGGCATGTGAGTGTTTGTTATTTTCAAATGCAGGTGATTACATATGCTAATGGCAAAGATCAAATAGTACCTGGCTTGTACGCTTGTGGTGAAGCAGCTTCTGCCTCTGTTCATGGTGCTAATCGTCTTGGAGCAAACTCGCTTTTGGACTTGGTAGTTTTTGGACGTGCGTGTGCTCTTACCATTGCAGAAACCTGCAAACCTGGTAGGTCTCCTGTTTTGTTTTTTACTTATTGTTCCAAAAACTTTATTGTATTCCCAGAAATCAGTTTATATCTGAAAGTGATGAATGCAAGTATACAGCCTGAGTTAATGTACTGGCCAAGACATCGTATCACAGTATCTTTCACCTATTATGTTGTTGTTCATTCGTTCAGTCGTCTCCGACTCTTCGTGACCTCATAGACCAGCCCACGCCAGAGCTCCCTGTCGGCCGTCACCACCCCCAGCTCCTTCAAGGTCAATCCAGTCACTTCAAGTATGCCATCCATCCATCTTGCCCTTGGTCGGCCCCTCTTCCTTATTCCTTCCACTTTCCCCAGCATAATTGTCTTCTCTAGGCTTTCCTGTCTCCTCATGATGTGGCCAAAGTACTTCAAATTTGTCTCTAGTATCTTTCCCTCCAATGAGCAGTCGGGCTTTATTTCCTGGAGGATGGACTGGTTGGATCTTCTCGCAGTCCAAGGCACTCTCAGCATTTTCTCCAACACCACAGTTCAAAAGCATCTATCTTCCTTTGCTCAGCCTTCCCTAAGGTCCAGCTCTCACATCCGTAGGTGACTACAGGCAATACCATGGCTTTGACTAGGCGGATCTTTGTTGCCAGTCTGATGTCTCTACTCTTCACTATTTTATCGAGACTGGACATTGCTCTCCTCCTAAGAAGTAAGCGTCTTCTGATTTCCTGGCTACAGTCTGCATCTGCAGTAATCTTTGCACCTAGAAATACAAAGTCTGTCACGGCCTCCACGGTTTCTCCCTCTATTTTCCAGTTGTCAATCATTCTTGTTGCCATAATCTTGGTTTTTTTGACGTTTAGGTGCAACCCGGCTTTTGCGCTTTCTTCTTTCACCTTGATTAGAAGGCTCCTCAGCTCCTCCTCGCTTTTGGCCATCAGGGTGGTGTCATCTGCATATCTGAGGTTGTTAATGTTTCTTCCAGCAATTTTCACCCCAGCCTTGCATTCATCCAGCCCCGCACATCGCATGATGTGTTCTGCATACAAGTTAAAAAGGTTGGGTGAGAGGATGCAGCCTTGCCGTACGCCTTTCCCAATCTTGAACCAGTCTGTTGTTCCATGGTCAGTTCTGACTGTTGCTACTTGGTCCTTGTACAGATTCCTCAGGAGAGAGACAAGGTGGCTTGGGATGCCCATCCCACCAAGAACTTGCCACAATTTATTATGATCCACACAGTCAAAGGCTTTAGAACAGTCAATGAAGCAGAAGTAGATGTTTTTCTGAAACTCCCTGCCTTTCTCCATTATCCAATCGATATTGGCAATCTGGTCTCTCGTTCCTCTGCCTTTTCTAAACCCAGCTTGAACATCTGGCAACTCTCGCTCCATGTATTGCTGGAGTCTTCCTTGCAGGATCTTGAGCATTACCTTACTGGCATGAGAAATAAGGGCCACTTTACGGAAGTTTGAGCAGTCTTTCGCATTTCCCTTTTTTGGTATGGGGATATAAGTTGATTTTTTCCAGTCTGATGGCCATTCTTGTGTTTTCCATATTTGCTGGCAAATGGCATGCATCACCTTGACAGCATCATCTTTTAAGATTTTAAACAGTTCAGCTGGGATTCCGTCGTCTCCTGCTGCCTTGTTGTTAGCAATGCTTCTTAAGGCCCATTCAACCTCACTCCTCAGGATGTCTGGTTCTAATTCATTCACACCGTCAAAACTATCCTCAATATTATTATCCTTCCTATACAGATCTTCTGTATAGTCTCGCCACCTTCTCTTGATCTCTTCAGCTTCTGTTAGGTCCCTGCCATCTTTGTTTCTTATAATACCAATTTTTGCCTGAAATTTACCTCCAATGTTTCTAATTTTCTGGAAGAGGTCTCTTGTCCTTCCTATTCTGTTGTCTTCTTCAACTTCCATGCATTGCTTATTTAAAAATAGTTCCTTATCTCTTCTGGCTAACCTCTGGAATTGTGCATTCAATTGGGCATATTTCCCCCTATCACTGTTTCCTTTTGCTTTCCTTCTTTCTTGGGCTACTTCCAGTGTCTCAGCAGACAACCATCTTGCCTTCTTGGTTTTGTTTTTCTTTGGGACGTACTTTGTTGCCGCCTTCTGAACAATGTCGCAGACTTCTGTCGATAGTTCTTCCGGCACTCTATTTACTAAATCTAGTCCTTCAAATCTGTTCTTCACTTCCACTGTATATTCGCTAGGAATGTTAGTGAGATCATATCTAACTGGTCTGTGTATTTTCCCTGATCTCTTTAGTTTTATTCTAAATTGAGCAATAAGAGGTTCGTGATCTGAGCTACAGTCAGCCCCAGGTCTTGTTTTCACCGACTGGATGGATGTCCGCCACCTTTGGCTGCAAAGGATGTAGTCAATCTGATTTCGGTGTTGACCATCTGGTGAGGTCCATGTGTAAAGCCGTCTTTTAGGTTGTTGGAAGAGAGTATTCGTTATACACAGCGAGTTTTCCTGGCAAAATTCTATCAGCCTGCGTCCCGCTTCATTTTGTTCTCCCAGACCATGCTTGCCTGTGATCCCAGTTGTCATTTGACTTCCCACCTTGGCATTCCAGTCTCCTGTAATGAAAATAATGTCTCTTTTTGGTGTCTTATCCAGTAGGTCCTGCAGATCCTCATAGAACTGATCTACTTCTGCTTCTTCAGCAGCTGTGGTTGGGGCATACATTTGGATCACTGTAATGTTGAAAGGCTTTCCTTGCACTCGAATTGAGATCATTCTGTCATTTTTTGGGTTGTATCCAAGCACCGCTTTAGCAAATTTCTTATTAATTATGAAGGCTACTCCATTTCTTCGATGTTCCTCTTGTCCGCAGTAGTAGATCTGGTGGCCATCTGATGTGAAGTGGCCCATTCCAGTCCATTTCAGTTCGCTGACCCCCAGAATGTCTATCTTTAGTCTTGACATCTCACCAATAACAACATCCAATTTGCCCTGGCTCATAGATCTTACATTCCAATTCCTATGGTGTGTTGATCTTTAGAGCATCGGATTCGTTGTTCACCTCCAGCTCCGTCAGCCGCTAGCCTTCCTCTTGGCTTTGAACTAGCTGTGTCATCACATCTGGGGCTAGTTGAACTTATCCTCTGCTCCTCCCCAGTAGCATTTTGGCCATCTTCCGACCTGGGAGTCCCATCTTCCAATGGCATACCGACATATCTCTGGTTGTACTGGTCCATTTAGTTTTCACCTATTATAACTATCCTATTTTTATAATAGTTAATTATAAACAAAAAGTGCAATGTTTGTATTCCACCTTTTCTTCTAGAAAAATGTGGAAGCATGAGTACCTCTTCCTATTTTATACTCCTGAACAGTTTTTTCGGGTGGTGTCCTATGTACGTTATTGTTGAATCTGCCACCTTCTGAACATTTCCAAGATTTATAGGTTTCTAAATTCAAACATTTCCCATTGGTTAACACTATTTGTTCAAATGTCCTGTCCAATACACTTTTCATGGGTGTTTCCCTCATTGATGAATCAAAATATCAGGACCTCTCCCATGTCTATCTTGCCCATGAGAACGGCCTTGGGTATCAGGAGTTTTTGGATAGTTATTAATTTATTTGGGGTTTCACCACTAAGGCAGATGCTTTTGCCTTTATTCTTGTGTCTTTTTTCCTGGCCTCCGGTGGTTTTAATGCTCAAGTCTGCTTCTTGTCCCTATGACACACGGCTGCTTTTCCTCTCTCTTGTACTATACCTAACTGGTTGCTCCCTTCCTTGGCAGTAATCTGCTAGTGGCAACATGTTACTTGTAACATGCAACCGGTCTTGAATAAACATTCCTACCCCAAGTATTAGAAAAGGCTACCACATTTCATTTGGTTGACAGTATACTTTTTCCACAAGAGCAGGACTTTCCTGACATAATTATGTCTGTTCCAGATATCATTCAATTGAGAAATAAACACTGGCTTTGAGGCAGCATCTAGTAAGAAGAAACATCCAAGGCACAGCGAGGGGGATCATTTGTAATGAGAAGTGTCACTTTCATGCATCCAGTCCAGCTGGAAGTGGTCAACAAAGCTATGCTACAAGCATGTTCGACTGTCATAGGTTGAGAGCAGTGGTGGCCATTACTTACCTTTATTTATTTATTTAAAACATTTATATTCCGCCCTTTTCACCCGAAGGGGACTCAGGGCGGAGCACAGCATATATACGGCAAGCATTCAATGCCGGGGCACAAATTCACATACACATACATAAATATTAAAAAACAATTATCAAAATGGGTTGTTGTAGGTTTTTTTGGGCTATATGGCCATATTCTAGAGGCATTTTCTCCTGACGTTTCGCCTGCATCTATGGCAAGCATTCTCAGAGGCCTATGGGAACTGGGAAAGTGGGCTTATATATCTGTGGAGTGACCAGGGTGGGGCAAAGAACTCTTGTCTGCTGGAGCTAGGTGTGAATGTTTCAACTGACCACCTTGATTAGCATTTGATGGCCTGGCAGTTCCTGGGGTGATCTTTTGTTGAGAGGTGATTAGATGTCCCAGATTGTTTCCCCTCTGTTGTTTTGCTGTTGTAATTTTAGAGTTTTTTTTTAATACTGGTAGCCAGATTTTGTTCATTTTCATGGTTTCCTCCTTTCTGTTGAAATTGTCCACATGCTTGTGGATTTCAATGGCTTCTCTGTGTAGTCTGACGTGGTGGTTGTTAGAGTGGTCCAGCATTTCTGTGTTCTCAAATAATATGCTGTGTCCAGGTTGGTTCATCAGGTGCTCTGCTATGGCTGACTTCTCTGGTTGAAGTAGTCTGCAGTGCCTTTCATGTTCCTTGATTCGTGTTTGGGCAATGCTGTGTTTGGGGGTCCCTATGTATACCTGTCCACAGCTGCATGGCATACGGTAGACTCCAGCAGAAGTGAGAGTTGATCATCCAGGTGCCTCCTTCCATGGAGGAAAACACCCGAGCCTTTTTAAAAAAAATTGTCTAATAACTATTGACAGTAGTAATTACAGACCAGGGGGCTTTTTCAGGATTAAATATACTTATACAATACTTCTTTTTTCTGATTAGGTGAACCAGTTCCATCAATTAAACCAAATGCAGGTGAAGAATCTGTGGCAAATTTGGACAAATTGCGCTTTGCTAATGGAAGCATCAGAACATCAGAATTGAGGCTTAATATGCAAAAAGTAAGGTTTTTTTTATTATTGGGCAGAATGTGAATTAAATGTATTGTGATTAATGCAAATAGTTAATGTGTTGTCTTGAAATTTTCGTTTTGAAACTTATTTTTGCTTCCCAAAAAGATTATACTCTGGTCTTTTCTTAGCAAATAGCTGAGTCCTACTGTAGTTTAATTGATGAATATGGGAGGAAGTGTGTGGTGGGATCAGGCTGGAACCCAAATCTAGCAGCCTAGTCACTTAGTCACAGTAGGGCTCTGTCATTTGCCAATAATAATAATAACTTATTAATAACATTTATTAATATTATTAAGGTGCCGCTTTTCGTTGGCAGGGGGCTTAACTACTTCTTTGATGTTGAGAGCTGTGCTGGCGCTAAACTACCAGCAGGTTCAACCAAGCCAGAGTGATCTCAACTGAGAAGTAGAACTAAGTGCACCCAAGCCATCTAAATAGGGTGAAACAAACTCTAAAGAAGTCTATACTGGCTTGGTCGTCGCCAGAATAATACTACAAGCAGAGGCATAACACTGTTTCTCTGATGATTCATTGGAACTTGTGCCACAAATACTATCTGCCTGTAACAAAGAACTGGTGCGATCACAAGCCGGAAAAAGTTACAGAGAATGAACATGTCAACCTACTCTGAGACTTCCAAATTCAGACAGACAGAGTTTTGGAGCACAATACTCCTGACCTCACGATTGTGTTAAAAAACAAAGTATGTATTGTCGATGTCGCAATCCCAGGTGACAGCAGGATTGGAGAGAAACAACTGGAAAAGCTGACACGATATGAGGATTTAAAGATCAAACTGCAAAGACTGGCACAAGCCAGTCAAGGTGGTCCCAGTGGTGATCGGCACAGTGGGTGCAGTGCCTAAAGACCTTGGCCTGCACTTAAACACAATTGGTGCTGACAAAATTACCATCTGCCAGCTGCAAAAGGCCACCTTATTGGGATCTGCACACATTATTTGCCAATACATCACACAGTCCTAGACACTTGGGAAGTGTCTGACGTGTGATCCAATACAACAGCCAGCAGAGTGTCTGCTGTGGACTCATCTTCTGTGTTTCAAATTATTATTATTATTATTATTATTATTATTATTGACACAAAAGCACAGTATGTCACAGCAAACGAGATCTATATCCTGGATTTTGTATCACAAAATCACAAGTCGAACACTTCCCAAGCATCTACGACTGTGTGATGTATTACTATTATTATTATTATTATTATTATTATTATTATTATTATTATTATTATTATTATGCACTGACCTACAAGAAGTACTGCCTGAATATCAAGCTGGTATTGCATCCACTGGGAAGTAGCAGCCAATAGTGAAAGGACCAAGGCAGCGACATCTCCAGTTCATCCCTTGTTTGGGTATCAGCCAGCACATCAATGACTTAAATCAAGAAATAGTTTTCTAAGATCTACAGAGACACTCACTGGAACACCCCAGCAAGCCAGAGTCCAAAAGTGGCAGTCTCAAACCCAGAACCTCAATCAATGGCTGATACCAAATGAGAGACTCCCCCCGGGCACACAGAAAACTGGGCGACTTGGAAGGTGCTGAACAGACTGCACTCTGGCACCACGAGATTCAGACCCAACCTTAAGAAATGGGGCTACAAAGTGGAATCCACAACATGCGAGTGTGGAGAAGAACAAACCACTGACCACCTGCTGCAATGCAACCTGAGCCCTGCCACATGCACAGTGGAGGACCTCCTTGCGGCAACACCAGAGGCACTCCAAGTGGCCAGATACTGGTCAAAGGACATTTAATCAACTACCAAGCTTGCAAACTTTGTGTTTTTGTCTGTCTGTTTGTTTGTTTTGTTAAAAATGTAATACTGGTGTCTGGTTGCTCCTGACACGATAAATAAATAAAATTATTATTATTATTATCATTATCATTATTATTATTATTATTATTATTATTATTATTAATGGAAAACTCTAATTTGGAAAAGGTCAGACCTCAGAGTTCCTATATGGCCTTTCTTATCATTCAGCTTAAATTAACTCCGAGTTTTAATAGCTGTGGTCCTTAGAAAAAATGTAAGATACAAATGTATTTCTCTGCAACTATAAACTTCTATGTGTATCACCTTGAAGACTGAAGGAGTGATGTGTTCAAGAGAAATTGCACATAATCTCAGCACGCTCTTATTTTATGATTTTGGTTACTATGTAGAGGTGTTCAAGGTATATTTGAGAAAGATATGTGTCCTGCACAGACTCCGAAAGCGGTTGTTTACGGACTCTGAAATGACTAGGTAGGGATTATCAGACCATTTTAGAGACTGGAAGTATTCTGCAGAGTGTGTTGTCAAAATGATTATGGAATTATGGAATGGCTAACACTTATTTGCCGATATTCAGAAGTATTATGATACAACCCATCATAAGTGTTTTGAAAACTGTAGAAAGTTATACTCTTCTGTTTCTAACAATTTAGGTTCTTATCTTTCCATGAAACTTTGGAAAAGTGATCTTTTTTGTTTTTATAGACGATGCAGAGCCATGCTGCAGTGTTTCGTACAGGCCCTGTCCTACAGGAAGGTTGTGAGAAAATTTCCAGCCTTTATAGCAGTATGGATGACCTGAAGACATTTGACAGAGGTACACCAGGATGTATATTACTACACTCTTTTGTAATGTTAACATTATCTCCTCAAATGTTTATAAGCTTGGTAATACCATATATTCTGGTGTATAAGACTACTTTTTAACCCAAGGAAATCTTCTCAAAAGTCAGGAGTCATCTTATATGCAGGGTCGTCTTATACGCAGGAGTAGTCTTATGCATGGGAGTAGTCTTATACGCTGGAGTAGTCTTATACACGGGAGTAGTCTAATACACAGGAGTAGTCTTTTACATGGGAGTAGTCTTTTACATGGGAGTAGTCTTATATGCTGGAGTAGTCTTATACATGAGAGTAGTCTTATAGAGTGGGTGCTGAAACTTCCAATACGGATTGGAGAATCTGTGGTTGCCGCATATGGTGGGGAAGTTCAAAAATGGCAATGGCCATGTCCCTGCCATATGCAGCGACTGTATAAAAGCATTAAGGGCAACGCTGTAAAAGTATGGTAGAAGAAAATCCATTCATCAGGATTCGTGGACTTAATGCAGTCCTGATGGTGAGGTGAAGGGGCGCAAGCTGCAGGCATCCGGGGCTCCTAGGGTATGGAAAAAAGAGATAGAGTGGCTCTGGGACCAGAAAAACACACTTCTTTTACCTGTCTGGCCCGCCCTTGTATCCTATTGCCGTACCTCCTCCTCTGCCTCTCAGATCTCGCTCCTGAAGACTGCAGTGAAGCGGTGCAGGTGCGCATGTGCGAGATCGGAGAGGCAGAGAAGGAGGTACAGTAATAGGAAAATTACCATATTGAAATCAAATCTGATGCTTTAAAAAAAAATTGGTGTTCGTTGGAAAAGGGGAAGTCTTATACGACGAATATATACCAAACTCTATATTTTAACTGGAAAAGTTGGGGGTCGTCTTATACGCCCAGTCTTATATGCCGAAATATACGGTAAATGTTTTTGTGGCAACCAAGCAGATATTTTTAGGATCAGCTTGATTTGAAAGCAAGTATTAATGAGATAGCATCCTTACACAAAAATGATCAAGGATATCAATTAAAATATTATAGGGCATTTTAATATATTGGAAAATACCAAGCATACATTTTAAGCCTTTCAACTTTCCAGAACAACTCTGTGCACTTTGACTTTCATGTCATTGCTTCTGTAGTGTGTTCAAGGGGGCATCCTCTATTCAGGTGAAGATATGAGTTGGAAGTTCTGGTCTCATTCGTGGCCCATTTACTTTACAGTATGTAAACCCAAAATGTTTTGGACAACTGCAAATCATGGTGACAGTGTTCTGATGTCATGTTCCCTTGAGGGCATTTGGAAGCAAAAACACTTTTGGGATTTTTTTTTAAGAGATAGTACAATGCATGTTGAACATTAGGGAAAAGTTGATCACTAAGGGATCAACTACCATTTGCATTTGTAAAAGAGTTTATAAACTAAACCAAAACTTCAAATAATGGTACAAAATCAAAATTGGCTGTGTTGAAATTTGCTACACGCTGCTTAACTACATGGAAGGCACCGTTGCAAACTATGAGATGAGAGTTTTGATATGAGAAGTCATTCCTGACCGTGTGATCCAGTGCACATTTTCTTAGAAATTGACTCCATTGTGTTTCATGGTGTTTACTCTTGGGCAAATGTTGAAAATTGCAGACTAATTCATAAGAGGTGTTTTGTACTTGTGTAATTGGTGAGCAAAGGTTACACCATTTTACTAAAGAGAAACTAATTCAGATCTCTGAATCTCCTAAATTTTCAAACTGCTTGTATCCCAGGGGCTGCTTGGAATACTGACTTGGTGGAGACTTTGGAACTACAGAACCTGCTGCTCTGTGCTTTGCAAACTATTTATGGTGCAGAAGCTCGGAAGGAGACACGTGGTGCTCATGCTCGGGAAGATTATAAGGTATGCATACATTAACTTTAAACCAGGGATGAGCATTATGTAGGGCTCCAGATATTGTTGAGTTTCAGTTCCTAGTATTCCTTGTCATTGGCTCTGTATATTATTGATATGTACAAGACTTTTCTTTTTTTTCTAAGTAAAATCTTTTCACAGTTAAAATTTAGACATTTTTACTTGGAGAAGTAGATTTTCAGCATACTGAAAAAGAGTATACTACATGTTTTGGTTATGCTAAAGAATAAGAATTTTACATTTTAGTCATGTGAGACCATTTCTGCACAGGTTTCCTCATAGTCTCAGTTATATTTTTAAAGGAGTTAATTAACTTAATCTTGTATCCTATCCTTGATGAATACTTCTCTTTCTTGTAGTTTTCATCAGTAAGTAATTTTGTAAGTGTTTTAAAGAAGAACTTGTGATTGCTTTTGCTTACGTTTTCTCAGATTCTCAGTGTCATTCATCTTGAAGGTTACTTTACCTTTTTTATCATCAGAACCTTCTACTTTTGACTTAAAGCGTAAAATACCTTCCCAATCCATCTCCATCAACTCATCCTCCTTAAGGAAGAGATGGACTTGAGAGATGCCATTGCCCTGTTCCAAGGAATAGTTCTTTCTGAGTTTATCTAAGAAATAAAAGATACCAATTTCTATTCCAGTTCTTGCAATTATTTAATAAATACCTAAGCCTAGAAGAATGTTACATTTATTTGGGATGGATACACAAGACTCTCGAAATTCTGAAGGAGTAACTCAGTTCAAAAGGGTTTGAGACCCATTTTGTGTAACATAGTGATATCTCCACAGTGGAACCTTAGTTTTGGTTTCAGTATTGAGGATATTTTGTTTTTAAGCTAGAGTTGTTAATACATAGCTATCCTATGGATACATCACTAACTCTTCTGTAGGGGGTACAGCCCTAGTAAGGTCTCGCTCCCATCTCAGGCAAATCATGGTCTCTTTTAATATCTCTCCCAAGTGTACAAGTGAGGTGGGCAGTTGTACAATCGGTGCTTTTTTAAAAAAAATACACCATCCTGAGAAGATAGCATTTCCCTTCCCCATAAGTCTATCAAGGTCTGTGTGAAGACTGTTGCATGTTTATGATTATAATTATGCTTCTAATACAGGGATGGGCAAAGTACAGAACCTGGAGGCCACCCAACTCATCAGTCCCCAAAGCCTACCACTAAACCCTCAAATGTTTCAATTTTTCATTTCATTATGATTTGAGAGTCATTTTAGTGCAAGAGTTGCACCCAATATTCCTAAATATGTGTACAGAAAATATTCCCCAAACTTCCCAGAACCCCCCCCCCCCCCCCCCCCCAATTGTTTAGTTGGGTTTTCTTCCTTCCACATTGATGTTGTGTCACTCAAGGTCATCACTTTGGAGAAGAAATGGAGCAAAGCAAGACTGGTTGGTGTGTGTGTCTGGAAAATTGACTTAGTTACTCTCCCTTATTTCAATAGCTAACTGAATCTAGATATCTGTAGTACAGTATTACAAAACATTTAATACTGTTTTGAAAGACTGCTAATATTGCTTATTTTCCGAATCTGACTTCCAACTGTTGCTCTTATTTAACATTGCATTATATTGTTTAGGTTAGGATAGATGAATATGATTATTCTAAACCAATCGAAGGACAACAGGAAAAACCATTTGAACAACACTGGAGAAAGCATACCCTCTCTTACGTTGATGTCAAGACGGGGAAGGTATGTAAATCATAGCATCTCTGAAATAGGGTTTGTAAATAATCATCTTAATGGGGAGAGGTTTGATTTACAATAGAATGTAGATGAAGGATGTCATTTGAAGAAATGGAGTACTGAGTATGTGTCTGAATTATTTTCCAAGTTGAATCATCTAAAGTTGAATCATCTATAGTAATCATCTAAAGTTTTTTTGCAAGATTTGTTCAGAAAGCGTTTTCCTTTTGCCTGTTTCTGTGGCTGAGAAACTGTGACTTGCCCAAGGTGAGCCAGTGAGTTTCCATAGCCAAGTGGAGATTCTATAACCCTGTTCTCCCGAGTCATTGTTTAATACTTATATTTGGATTAAAATCTGAATAGCAGGATAACCAGATGTTCTAGTTTAGCCTAAATAACAGGGCTAATTATAAAAGATGATGGAAATATCAGGAAGGTCACAGATTTATTACCCTTCATCTAGAGCTGTGATTCCAAAACTCTAGTCCTCCAGATGTTTTGGACTTCAACTCCCAGAAGTCTCAGCTATCTAGGCAAATGATTATGGATCTGAGAGGTGAAGTCCAAAATACCAGGAAGACAGAGTTTGAGAAACACTGATCTAGAGAATGTTATCTTTCCACCATAGTTTTAAGACATCTGACCTTTTCATACCAAAAATTTGTGCAACGTTGACTTGCAGAAAATGTGGCTTGAGCATGATGGAATCATACCTTTTAGCTTTTTGTCATGTAAATACTTGTTAAAATAAATATTTAACAATACCAACATGTATTGTCTCATTTGTGATGAATGAGAGAATCAGTGGGCAAAATAATAGCATTATTTTCAATTTTGAGTTCAGTACTTTTTAACTTGACTTTCCTTTCTTTGTTTTAAGGTTTCTCTGGACTATAGACCTGTCATTGACCAAACCCTGAATGAAGAAGACTGTGCAGCCGTTCCACCTGCTATTCGCTCATATTAGTGAATTTAATGCTACTTTCTATGTGCAGTTTTTTCCTCCTGCTATTTGCTGCTATTTGTGTTCCACTGGCTATTCACTTGTATTAGTGAATTTAGTTCAACCTTCTATGCTGTTCAGCTGTTTCTTGGTATAAGTGTCAATATACTTTACCAGACAGTTACTGACATGTAGTCGTGGATTATATTAAAATGCTATCATAAAGACTTTTTTCATTGCAGCAATCAGGAAGCTTTGCATTTTGGCCAATGGCTTCATTTTGTATTGGGCATGACTATATATGGCACATTGTTAAAAGTGTCTCACTTCTCTGATTTCTATAGCTCTGCTCAAAGTTTATGAGTGTAAATATAGTCTGGTTAAAAATTTTGTGTATTGTATCAGAAGGAACAGTAATCTCCAAATTTCGTATTTGCTGGGCACTCATGCCTAATATTGTAGATCAGGCTTTCCCAACCTGGGGTGTTGTGTGGTTTCTGGGCTGTGTTCTAGCAACCTGGTTCCTACAGTCTGTATTTCCTAACGAACATGACTAGTAGTCAGGGTTAATAGAAAATGTGGTCTAAAACATGTGGAGGCCATCAGATTGCTTTAAATGATCCCTTTGTACAATATAGCATAACAGGCAGGAAAAAAAGATGGCTTGTGTCACAAGTGAAACAATATGTTAATTTCTCCCTTAATACTCTAATACAAGTTTTTTATAAGGTCAGAATTTTAGCATATGAAAAATAAATAATTTTAGCAAGATTTAATTCCTGAACATAAATACAGTCAAGCTCTCCACGTTTACTAGTTTGACAACTGTAGATTTGATTATTCACGAGTTTATTATCACCCTGTAAGCAGCTGCTTTCCAGAATGGAGAGCAGGTCCACTGAGGACCACAGCAGCAGCATCCCATGTCCCTTTGCTGCTCCTTTGAGTGCCCCAGAGATATTTCTGTTTTCTCCACTTTTCTGGGGGTGTGCACAGGGGCTGACTTTTGAATTAGTTTCAGTATAAACACATTAATGCATCAGTATAAACACATTAGTGCATCTTTATTGCAAACATGATTCCTGCCTCTGAGCATACAAAAACTAAAAATGCCTTAGAAATTTCATAACATAGATGCACAGTATACATAAAAGGGTGGATTACTTCAGACAGGATGGACCTATGTTCATGAGATTGCATTAATTTCAGTGGGTTTGCTATGTAACTGTTTATATATCCAGTCTGAATAGCCTGGTTACAGATGTATTGGCTTGCAGGTAGGAGTTCTACATACCAAAGAAAATATTATTTTGTTAAATAAAACTACAGTTCATTTTAACTCTAGAGACCATGCTATGTATGGTAGCAAAATATCAATCACTCTCTTCCCCCCAGTATATATGCTTAAATATTCAAACAACTTTTATCTTATGAATATTTCTTTAGTTCAAGAGATTTTGATGTCCAAATAATGTGCTACCGTTTTTGTATTTGGAGGAAAGGTATTTTGTTTGTATTTTTACCAGAAGCTGGAAATTGTGTGAATTTAGAAGTTGCTCAACTGCAATTATTTTATGCATATGCTTATTTATTTAATTTAAAGGCCATCTTTCTCCCAGGGTGGGAACCAAAACAGTCTCCAAGAACAATTTGTTTTTTAAAAAAGATCTGCAGTACAATTATAAAATTGCTAAAATCATTTCATAATACATTTTTAAAAATCAGCTAAAAACATACAAAAGTTAAAAAGAGAAGTAAACATGCACAATAAAAGCCCCAGTTTTTATATAAATTAAATGACTGCTTAATCAAAATATTCTTGTTTGCTGATGAAATAAATCATGGGATGGGGGCAGCCTAGCCTCCTGTGGAAAGGCCTTCAAGACAGTCTGGACACAAGTTGTATAGAACCTTATTGGACATGATCAGCATTTTCAAGTGAATCAATAACTAGTAAGATTGTTTTAACGAGAAGGTGGTATAGTCCTTATAATTGGCCTCAATCAGCCTTCTGGACACAGCATTTTTAACCTGCTGAAGTTTCCAAACATTTCCCAAAGTTACAGCAGTGTCGTCAAGGCATGTATCATTATGGCCAGATCTAACATTTTAAGGAACGGGTACAGCTGGTGCACTAGTTTTGTGAATATGCCGTCCTTGCCATCTCTGAAATCTGGACATTCAGGCTTAGAGCTGAGTCCAGGAGAACACCCAACTTGCAAGGCTGAAATTTTCGGGGTGTGTGTAATGTCATTTAGAAGAGGCTGATCTGCCTTTTGAGTGATTGGGAGCACCTCTGTCTTGTCTGGATAAAATTTCATTTAGTTTGCTCTCATGTAGTGCATTGCTGACAACAGACATTGCTTCAATCCTGGCAATCAACAGGAAGGAGAGGTAGAGCTGGGAGTCATCAGAGTTGGGTGACACTGCAACTTAGAACTCTGGATTACCTCTTCCAGATGTTAAATATCATGACGAACAAAACAATCACAGGCAATGGCCAAGGCATCAAAGAGAACCCAGAATGATACCATGACTGATGATAATAAAAGCCATTGAGAAGGCAAGCAGAATCAACAAAGACATAATCCCCTTGTTCAGTTATTTGTGTAAGCCATCCATTAAGATGACCCAATTGTCTTCATCCCACAATCAGATCTGAAACCAGATTGAAATGTAGCTAGATAATTAGTCTCATACAGAAACCCCGAGAATTGGGAGGCCATCACACACTCCAGAACCTTCCAATATTGGAATCTTAAGAGATTGATAATTATTCAGAAAGCTAGGATCCATGGGAGGAGGGGGGGAGGTTTTACAACAGCTTCTTTTACTGCGGTGAGGCATTCACCTCTCCCTTAGCCAGTTCCCCTCTAACTACTTTCAGAAGACAGGAGGTGCAAATATCCAGTATATAATGTGATTGCTTGCACTATCCAAGGATCCTGGCTACATCATTAGGCTGCACAAATTTAACCATATCCGATGAAACAGTACAGGCTGTTCCAAGCACAGAATTTTAGAGCAGATCCAAGTTATTTTGTCTGTAGTGTCTTGCCAATTTGTCATAACAGGCTTTTGAGGCACAGCAAATACATTATAGTGAGTTTTTTAATTCTCAGCAGTGCTACCCAACATAGTGCTGAATAATGCTGGAGTTGCAAATCATCTAGGGGGGTCATGCAGTTGCCACATTTATTCTGATCTATAAATGGGTTGGCTCTCTGGTGTTTTACTCCTTCCAGATATATTCTTTATAATATGAGGGTTTTGTTAAGTTGCCCTTGTTTAATTTCCAGTTGATAAATCTGAGGTAAAAGGAGAAATGCTATGCTACTCACTGTGTTAAATGTTTGTATTCTCTGCGATTGGTGACACTATATAATCGCATACAGCTCCTGATAATTTGTGCCAGAGTAGGGAAAAAAATCACCTTTCAGATATTGTTAGATTTCAAGTCCATGGAGTCCTTTCCTGGAAATGATGGGAGTCCTTTATATACAACATCTAAAAAGGCCTATTGTGCATTGGAAATTTAAAGTCACTTTTATATCAGGAGTTTGTTGCTGTCTAGTGTTGACTGCAGTTTGCAAAGTCTGCCTTTGGTTGGAATTCATACTAATGAAGCATTGCCCGTATTTAAATATGTATCTTTTAGGCAGCCAAAGGTATGTATGAAGTATTAACTTTATGAAAAAATAAAGTGTGCAAATAGAAATTAAATGAATCGGTTACTGACTATAACTGTGCTGAAGACTGATTTTTTAAAAATATTTTCTAAGTTAACTTGGGTTTTTTAAACCTGTGTGAAATGTACAGATACAGCCAGCATGATGTAGTGGTTTGACTCTCGTCCTCAGAGGAAGGCAAAGGCCTTTCAAACCTTTCAAGAAAACCCCTCTTTAGAATGACCATAAGTCAGAAGTGACTTGAAGATGCACAGTAACAAAATTTTGGAAATGCTGCTCGTCTCTTGAGTCAAAACAGCTTTTTGAATACAGTAGGTTCATATCTAATTAGATCTCATTTGGGCAGATATCAATAGTAATCTCAAAGTAAATTTCCCATTTAAATGCTATTAATCTGTTCCAGCCCCCTGAAAATAATTTTTGTTACATATAAAATATTCAGAGATAGGCACTGCTTGGTTCCATCCAGCCACTGTGGCAAGGAAGAACATTGAGGCAACAGATGTGTTGGCTAGTGTAACAGCAAAGCAAAATAGCATCATCTTCATACTGTAATTCCAGCCTCCCACCCTCCCTTGCTCTCCATCTCTCTCTTCTTGAAGGAAACATACAGTACTAGCTGTATCTCATACAAGTGTCAAACAGGGATGTGTTATTGCCCCAACTTTATTTTCCATCTTCATCGCTATGATATTTCACCTTGTGGATGGAAAGCTTCCCATCAGAGTGGAAACCATCTATCGGACAGGTGGCAAGCTGTTTAACCTCAGCAGACTGAAAGCCAAAACCAAGGTTACAACAACATCTGTTATACAACTCCAGTATACTGATGACAACATCGTCTGTGCGCATTCAGAAGACAACCTACAAGCCACTCTAAACACCTTCGCAAAAGTATACGAGAAGCTCGGCCTGTCATTGAACATCGAGAAAACCAAAGTGTTCTTCCAGCAGTCACCAGCCAATCCCTCTCCAATGCCAGAAATACAACTTAATGGTGTAACATTATGTTGATCATTTCCGCTACCTTAGCAGCTACCTCTCCACAAAAGTCAACATTGACACTGAAATTCAACACTGCCTGAGCTCTGCGAGTGCAGCATTTTTCCGAATGAAGTAGAGAGTGTTTGAGGACCAGGACATCCAAAGGGATACCAAGGTGCTTGTTTATAAAGCTATTGTCCTCCGCCCCCAACCCTGCTATAGGCCTGCAAAACGTGGACTATCTACAGATGGAATTCCTGGAACGATTCCATCAGCACTGCCTCCGGAAAATCCTGCAAATCTCTTGGGAAGACAAGTGGACAAATGTCAGTGTGCTGGAAGAAGCAAAGACCACAAGCATTAAAGTGATAGTACTCCGTCATCAACTCCGCTGGACTGGACATGTTGTCCGGATGCCTGACCACCGTCTCCCAAAGCAGTTGCTCTATTCCGAACTTAAGAATGGAAAACAGAATGTTGGAGGACAGGAAAAGAGATTTAAAGATGGGCTCAAAGCCAACCTTAAAAACTAGTATAGACACTGAGAATTGGGACGCCCTGGCCCTTGAGCACTCCAGCTGGAGGTCAGCTGTGACCAGCAGTGCTGTACAATTTGAAGAGGCACGAATGGAGGGTGAAAGAGAAACGTGCCAAGAGGAAGGCACATCCGCCTTCCACCTGGAAATCGATGCCCTCACTGTGGAAGAAGATGCAGATCAAGAATAGGGCTCCACAGTTATCTATGGACCCACCGCCAGGACACCGCACTTGGAGGACCATCATCCTCTGACAACGAGGGATCGCCTAAGCAAGACAGTCCTAGCTGTTTAGGCTGAGGCTCTGCTGCACCAGGCTGGACTGCAATCTCAGGGAAAGCAGTCACATGGAGCTGGAGTTTCTGCTTTGCGGGAAAAGGCAGAACTTCTCTGGCTAGGAATCCAGTCCAGGTTTTGTTTCTTCCTGCTTTGCTTTTAGAACTGGTTTAGGGGGCAAAGGAGCCGAGCTGACCGAAAGGTCGAAGGTTCGAATCCAGGGAGGGTGTGAGCTCCCACTGTTAACCCCAGCATCTGCCTACCTAGCAGTTTGAAAACATGCAAATGTGAGTAGATAAATAGGTACTGCTCCGGCAGGGAGGTAACAGCTCCATGCAGTCATGCCAGCCACATGACCTTGGAAGTTACTACGGTCAATTCTGGCTCTTCGGCTTAGAAATGAAGATGTACCTCTCTGTAGCCAGCCAGTGATCCAATACATTTAATATTCTACCCTATGAGTTTTGTTCCTGAGTTATAAATGCCATTTCTTATTTGGTTCTATAATTAAAAACATGGTGAAAGTTTATTAAATTGTAAAAACTTTGTCTTTGTGCAAGGGACATCGTTTTATAGCACATTTTGCTGTCCATCAATTTAACATCCACATTTAACAAAGTTTTTGTGCCAAAACACAGTACAACCACTACTTTCAAAGTAAGGACTACACAATTAAACTGGCATCCTGGCTCTTTTCCCGCCTGCTGGAGCCGAATGAACAAGACAGAGGTACTCCTGGTCAGTCGCAAGGCCGAACAGGGTATAGCAGGGGTCCTCAAACTAAGGCCCGGGGGCCGAATGCGGCCCTCCAAGGTCATTTACCTGGCCCTCGCTTAGGGTCAACCTAAGTCTGTAACGACTTGAAAGCACACAACAACAACCCTATCCCATCAGCCAAAAACAGGCCCACACTTCCCATTGAAATACTAATACATTTATATTTGTTAAAATTGTTCTTCATTTTAATTATTTATTGTTTTAAGTGGTTTTTGCACTACAAATAAGGTATGTGCAGTGTGCATAGGAATTCATTCATGATTTTTTTTCAAATAATCCGGCCCTCCAACAGGTTGAGGGACTGTGACCTGGCCCTCTGTTTAAAAAGTTTGTGGACCCCAGGGGTATAGGGTTACAGCCCGTGCTGGATGAGGTCGCACTCCTCTTGAAGGCCCAGGTTCGCAGCTTGGGTGTGATCCTGGATTCATCGCTGAGCCTGGAGCCCCAGGTCTCGGCGGTGACCAGGGGAGCATTTTCACAGCTTAGGCTCGTGCGCCAGCTGCGCCCGTATCTTGGGAAGTCTGACTTGGCCACGGTAGTCCACGCTCTGGTTACATCCCGCTTAGACTACTGCAACGCTCTCTACGTGGGGTTGCCTTTGAAGACGGCCCGGAAGCTCCAACTGGTCCAGCGTGCGGCAGCCATGATACTAACAGGCGCGGGACGTAGGGAGCATAAAACCCCCCTCCTGTACCAGCTCCACTGGCTGCCGATTTGCTACCGGGCTCAATTCAAGGTGCTGGCATTGGCCTATAAAGCCCTAAACGGTTCCGGCCCAAGATACCTAACTGACCGCCTCTCAGCCTATGAGCCCACGAGGACTTTGAGATCTTCCGGGGAGGCCCTGCTCTCGATCCCGCCCGCCTCACAGGCACGGCTGGTGGGGACGAGAGATAGGGCCTTCTCGGTGGTGGCTCCTCGGCTGTGGAACACCCTTCCCGTGGACATCAGGCTAGCCCCCTCCCTGCTAATATTCCGCAGGAAGTTAAAGACCTGGCTATTTAAGAAGGCATTTGATCAAGAAGTGCAATGACTGGCAATTGACCATAGGAATGGAACAACGGAAATGATATCGGATTGTGGCTTGACGATGAGACGATTCGGAATGTAGTAGTAATTTTGTAGTAATGTTGTTTTGATAAGATGTTTTTTATGATTATGATGAATTGTAGACTGTTTTGCACTATGCTTGTAGATTGCACTTGTTTTTTCATGTTGTACACTGCAATGAGTCGCCCCAGGGCTGAGAATTGCGGTATATAAGCGCAGTAAATAAATAAATAAATGAAGCAGACGCCTCTGCCAATAGATAACGCGCTCCTGCTCCTTCACAGGCCTCGCCCTCCCAGTGGCGTCTCAGTTGCTACTGCGCACGTGCAAGGGAAGTGAGGCGTGCGCATGCGTCTCTCTCGCCTCGCTCCCCTTTGAACTGGGCTGGATGTGCTTGTGAGGGGGTCGCTGCCTCGCTCGCTCCACCTTTCTTCCCATTGGCTGACGCGCTGCTCCGTTCGCAAGCCCCTCCCCATACTTTGGACTGCCGGGCCTTGCACAGCTGCCATGCTCCGCTCGCTTCTTTATTTGCAGCTTCGCTTCGGCTGTGCGCGGGCTGCTCACGCGCACTTTCTGGCTTGCCCTCGCGGCCGCCCCCCGCAGAGAAGGATGGTGAGCGCGCGGCGGAGGGGAGGGGAGGAGCCTCTGGAAGGGAGAGGATCCCATAGAGGGCACCTTGGGCAGAAGAGCCTGGGAGCTTGGGAGAAGGCCAAGGTGGTGGTGGGGTGTGTTTGTGTGTCTTTGGGGGGGGGGGGGGGTTATGGTTGCAACTCTTCTTTGTGGCCAGAAAGCCAGAGTTTCTTCAGTCTTTTCCACACAAGGCGCCTTTCCTCCTCAGCACTTTTTCTCCAGACTTTTTCTCCAGTCTTATCTATATAAATAAAAATGTAATGTTCGTTTGTGGGATTAACAGAACTCAAAAACCAGTGGACCAATTGACACCAAATTTGGACAGCATACACCTAACAACCCAATGTTTGTCCTTCACTCACCTAACAACCCAATGTTTGTCCTTCACTGGGATTTATAGTGCACCTACAATCAAAGAGCATTCTGAACCCCACCAACAATGGAATTGAACCAAACGTGGTATAACAGGACTCCCATGACCAACAGAAAACACTAGAAGGGTTTGGTGAGCATTGACCTTGAGTTTGGGAGTTGTAGTTCACCTACATCCAGAGCGCACTTTGGGCTCAAACGATGGATCTGCACCAAACTTGCCACTAATATTTCATATGCCCAAATTTGGACACAGATGGAGTTTGGAGAAAACAGACCTTGACATTTGGAAGTTGTAGTTACTGGGATTTATAGGTCACCTACAATCAAAGAGCGTTCTGAACCCCTCAAACGACAGAATTGGGGCAAACTTCCCACACAGAACCCCCATGACCAACAGAAAATACTTAAGGCCATCCAGTCAAACTCC